ATTTATAGTCTCATAGGTTTTTTGTATTTTTTATTGTGGAAAAATATACTTAACAAAAATTATTTTAACCATTTTTAAAGTATATTATTCAGTGGCATTAGGGACATCCACAATGTGGTGCAACCCTCACCGGTGTCCTGTAGCCTCTTTACCTGATGTATTTCTGCTTAAGCCTGAAACTTGATTGCTGTAATTCTCTGGCAAATTGTTTAAATCCCTTAATCTCAGTTGCGCTGTCCATAGAATGAGGATGATGCCTCCTATGTTTTAGGAGAGTTGTGGAGATAAAATTAGGGAAGACAACAAATATAAAAACACTTGGTGTATTATAAATACTTGATTAATGATCTCTCTATCCTTCCCAGTATAATTGGTTTTAAAGACTGGTATAGGGAAGATATTCCCAATTGCCTCTATTTGTTCTTCTCTCCTCCAAGATATTCATTGTTATTTTTGCCTAATTTTCAGTAGGAAATTTGTAGGTATTGGAATAAACTTTTGTTTACTTCTTATCTGAAACCTAATATGTATGTTCTGTAGATTATGAAGCCCAAATTACTAGTTAATATTATCCCACCAACACTTACTGCTAATAAGCGCTGTTCTGCAAGAGACCACAGAAATTATGTTTTGAAACCATTTTCCTGACATCTTTCTGATTTTGCCTTAAAGCCTCCTAGTTTATAAATTAGAATTTATTTTGAAGAGTTGCCTTTAGGCTGTATGTTTGGTACTTTGGGTGTTAGGACACTTGTTTCTGAATTCCTTGATAGAACCCCTTTAGAATAGATCAGTTATTGTTAAATAACAGTATTTGAGGCAGTCATCTTAAAGCCATTTGAAGAGGGTAATTTTGCTTTTTGTTTTCATTCTTCAAGACATACAGATAATTATATTTGAGGATATCTTGCTAAACATTTGCTAATTATTTCTTATAAATCCTAAAGTAATCCACATATTTATAAAATCTTAAGGGGTTATAGAGCACTGTGTTATGGTTCTTTAGGCTACTATTGTTTGTAACTATTATATGAGATATAATTACATTTGGGAGGATGCTGTTAATTTTCTCCAGGAAAACCTCTAGCTTTTTTTTTTTTTTTTTTTTTTGGTGTGTGTGTGTACTCTAAAGATACACATATAAGGTTCTGGAAAGAGTAGTAAATAGACTTGTAAAATACAATGTAGTTAATGATCAAATTTATGAGCTACTTGTTTTCTATTCAGAACTGTATTAAAGATACTCAGTAACTCCTGAATATTTCTGTGCACACTTAGTTGCATGCAAGTTTCACTTCTAGGGCCTACAGTCAGACTGTTTTGCTGTATTTAGACACTTCTCTTGATGTTATGATTAAGAGTGATACACACTTGGCTTTCATTGAAAAAAATCGACCTTTATACTGTGCTTTTAAATATTTATATATAGAATTTTAAATTTTCCTTTCTATATTTAACAGCTATAATTACATATTGAAGTAACCTAAGTTCTTGCTTGTGGCCATTTACAACTATAGGGTAAATAGTGTTGAACTTGATATAAAACAAATTATGAAGGTGGAATTTTTAAAGAAATTTGAAATAAAATTATTTGTTTCTAATTATTTCCCTTCTGATTTCTAAGGATTAAAAATTGTGGTTGTCATATTACAAAAAGATCTTTTATTTATGAGCATGAGAAGTCAAAATATTTATTGTGCAATCTTTTTGACTCAAACCAAAGTTCTATTTTTTTTTATTGTCTGTTTGCAGGATAGGGTAATACTATTTCTGTTCTCAGTTGTAGATTTTTTCCAGATTTCTGTCAATGAAGGCATATGGGTACTAACAAACTCGAAAAAAAGGTGGTAAAACAGCTGTATTTAGAAACCAGTTACAAGAACTGCAACTAGAAAATTATGAAAATACATTACTTATCCAAATGCCTTATACTTGCTAAAAACAAAAAATGAATTCAGAGATTGTTTTGTAATTTCATTGGCTGTTTAGCTAAGTTGTAATTATATTAATTTATATTATATTAAGAATCCACTTTCCACTTCTATGTCAAACCATTATATTACTGGATATTTAAAAGATGAATTTCATTGAATGTAGAATAATGTCAGGTTACATTAAAGGTGAAGGAAAAAAAAAAGACAAACCCCAACACCATAATTAGATTAAACTCTAAAACTAATACATGGAAATGAGAATGCTAAGATTTGTATTGTAATTCTGCGCTTTTTGTTATTATCAAGTACTGGATCACTGTGTCTGTGTTATATAACACTTCATCTGGTTGCAAGTAAACTTGACTTTCGATTGTAAGCACGTGCCACTGTAGAAAATGGTGTGAGATCTTAATATTAAACGTTGTAGCACATTGATACATGCTAGAAACGAGGTAAATATTTGCATTCTTGTATTTAGCATGTTCTTACATTTGAGGTCTTCTAAAAATACACATTTTTGAAAGGAAGAATGAATATTATATTGATAGAAAGTAGTATCTTAGATGTCTATTATGTGGAGTTATGTGATTTGTCATTATTAGTATATTTTATACACATATGTACCACAGTATATGTGCATACTTCACACATATGATGCATAGCAAGTAGAATCCCAGAAGATTCTGTAATAAATTAAATGCTTTGCTTGAAGATTGCTTTTTTGGTTGTTGTTTTAAAAAGTTTTTTTCTATCTGTAGAAATTATCTATGCCTTTTTTATTCTCCTAAATTTAAAAGCTGAGATAATAAAGGTAATTTTTAAAGATGGAAACGGTAAAGAATGCTTATTTGCATAGAAGAAATGGGAGACGTGGAAAGGAATATCTTCTCATTGTTCTCTTAAAGAAGATTTTATTGCAACTTAACCATAGAATTTATCTCAAGAAAAATAGAAAATTAGTCCATTTCCATTATAAAAATCACTGTAATATTACTGTATTTCTAACAAAGCAAAATTCAAGATTCTAACATTTAGTTTTATCTAGCTTGAAAAATTTATTTCCCCACTATAAAGAGTAGTATTTCTTGCCTTTTAAAACCCATAACCTCTTTTTGATCAATAAAAATCTATGTTCTCCTTTAATATTGTTCATATTTTTAAAATAAGTTAGCTTTTGTGTTTAAAAACAAAATTAAAGTACATGTTTTTGAGTATCCTTTTTTAAAAAACAAAACAATTTTTCTAACCTTCCTCTTGCCCAGAGATAGATTTTAGAACCCTTTACCCATGTGAAGACATATCCCCTCCCTCTCCCTTGCTGACAATCTACTAATTAGAGATTACAGTCATTGTAGCTATGGCCGTCAATTAAGTAAAACATGGGATATTGTCACTTTTTGTTTAGGTGAGAGCAGGTCACGAAAAAATTCAACAAATGAGGTATTAAAGGCACTACATTTTCTTGATGATTTGGCCCTATTTTGCTCCTTCTTATGGAATGAAATGGTAGATGTACTGTATGTTCATTTAGACATTATTAAAATCCCATGAAGTAAAGAAAAACCAGTTTATAACTAAGATAGCTATAAGTTGGCAAAACATAAAAATGTTTCATCTTTCATAATTGTGAGTCAGTTTCACGTCACATTGATTATGCTGTTCTGAGTAGAGCAAAACAAGTGCAGAGAAGATAGCGCCTGTGAGCTTTAGTTATTGCGCACTGTAATTCTGCAGCACTAGTTACCTACGTCAGGTAGTATGAGAACTCGGCTTTTGAGGCTCTGAAGCTCTGTGTATGAGCTACACGTGAGTGTGTTGAGCATCCAGTGCTTCTGACCTTTAAACTTTCTTTTCTTTTCTTTTGACATTCTAGATCAGGGCAGGGAGTAAAGCTGTGTCAGAGTGGGACATTTTTGAATGTCTCCCTTACACATGTTTTCTTTCCTTTTCCCATCTGGAGTGCAGCTCTAAAAGTGTGTTGTATTGCACCAAGATAAAGCAATAGAAGTAGTGGTATATTGGCATAACTGAAGATTTTTTATTTTTCTCTTCATGTTTATCTATTTTTATTACTTCTGCAATAATTCTGCTATACTTGCTTTAGCTTTATGTATTAAGTTGATTACAGTGGTTGGTAGAAGTGAAAACAGGTGTGACCTTGATTAAACGCGTAAGCGATGACATCTGTTTTGGAGAAGTGCTAGTTTCATTTTGTCAAATAGTAATGGAGTTTTTCTTTTTTTATAATGTATTTAAGTTTTCTAATGTCTATAGAAAATGTCAGACACAATAAGATGTTCTTACTAGTAAATGTGGGGCCTAGAGTCCTATATTTCTTTGTTAGTTTGAAAAATCAAGGCAGGAAGAGCAGGATCTAAGAAGGTAAAAATTTTCCTGAAATAATTGACTAGACGATATATTTAGTGGAGCTCATTATTTCTGACTAAAATTGGGTCCCAGCTTTACATGATTATTTTTCCTTAATTTGAAAACTCAGAGTTTCACTTACTTATTTGCATTATTAAAGTAGATCCAGAGAATTGAGTTTTCCTTGAAATTAATTATATATACAGATGGTTTGGAAAGTATTTAATTGATATTCCAACTTGTTATATTTAAAATGATTCTGTGTATCTGTGTTAACAGTTATGTAAATGTTCCACATGAAAGCAGGTTAGATGTTATCAAACTTACTGACTTCTTAGGCTAGTTTTTATCATTAAAAAATATAGCTTTAATCCTAAAAAAAATTGTTCTAGTTATCAACGCATGGCTGTCATTGTAAAATGTTTAATGTAGTAAGCAGTATAGTAACCACATTTTAAGTACAGCAGAAGTGGTTCCATGTGTTGGCTTTTGCAAGGTATAAAAATGATTGTGTATACCTATTTTGACTTAGTGCAGCATGTCAGTTTTGAAAAGCCACGTGCAAGTTTGAGATTTTGCGATTGGAACTCACGTGGAAAGCTTGGGATAGCAAAATATTTAAAAAATAATTTGCTGATGGCCTGAATGATAATGCTTTTAGGTACATAAAGCTTTGAATTCCCCCTCTTTTTTAAACAGACTGTGAAGACTGCTGAGAGACATTTGTGATCCAGTCACGTAAGTGTAATAGAGAAATATTGGTCCTCATGGAGGAAGAGCAAGATTTACCAGAGCAACCAGTAAGTATTTCCTTTAACAATTTAAAGTTGATTGTAGAAAAGTTAATTGTAAGAGATTCTAAATATTATTCAGTTATACTGCAGATTCCAAATGAGAAATAAAAATAAGGAAACGACTCCTTAATGCTTTCCTTCTAAGAAAACAATTTTTTATGTTCTTAAATGCATATTTTGCTAACAATGCTAAAGAGTCTGCTTAGAGAAGTCAGCATCACAAAGTTAGTATTGTATTTGGAAATGTCATTTAAAAAATCAGTGGATTTTTCCTTTTAGAACACTTGCTGGGTCTGATATGTGGCCTGGGGAGGTGTCGGGGAAGGGCAGAGCAGTTGACCATCGCTGTGGGCAAGACGGCAGCAGGATGTGCTGTGGGTTTCAATCTGTTGTGGGACAGACCAGAAGAAAATAGGAAGAAAAAGAAACCTAGTTGCTGTCCTTACATTTTTTAGAAAATAAAAGAGGACATGTATTTACCAAGCAGTATACACCACTTCTGATAGAAAATTTAGTTTTATCTTTACCTAAATTTCTCTAATTGACCTAACTTGTAGTAGTTAAAGAAAGTATAAGCTGACCACTAGCTAATTCTTAAAAAGATAACACCCTAGAGACTAGGTTAAATTCTTAATTTCTTTTAAATAGTTAATATAAATAAAAATCATTTTAAATGTCCACAGGTGATACGGATTTATTGCCTTGCATGATTTCTTTTTTCCTTTTTTTTTTTTTGGTCTGTTTTTTGATCCTTAGCATTTAAAAAAGGAAAGCAATAATAACTATTCTTTTAAGATACTTTTATGTTAAAGAATCTTTTCCTTTTGTCTTGAATTTCTCTTTTTGAAGTTAGATAAATACTGATTCAGTTTGCTATCCTGAGTGAGCCTCTTGGATTTCAAAGTAAAAGAGAATATAGAGTGGTACATGTTTACCTTTCTTTATGAAAATCTAACAGAAAAATTTGAATTTTGAAAGCAGGTAATAGGTTATGTTTTTCATGTACTAGATGTATTATTTACATTACAGAAGGATAGACACCAGCTTCCACTTCAATATTAAAGTCCTTTAATATGTTTTTAATATTTTTCTTTATGTCGAGAAATGTATACTGATGATTACCATATTTTTCCATGTATAATACACTCCCTTGAATAATGCACACCCATGTTTTTGTGCGCATTATACATGGAATTGTTATACCCATAGTATGTAATAATTATGCCCATGTATAATGCACATCCTTATTTTTCCCTCAAAAATTTAGGCAAAAAAGTGCACATTATACATTGCAAAAAACAGTATTTTGCCATTATTTTTTTAGCCCTCTCACTTAGGCATAAAACTAGGAAGACATAATCAATTGGTAAAACCTTTTGAGAAGTTTGGAATGTTATTCCCTAGCACTTTTGAGACATTAATAATCAGGGAAATGATAGGGTTGAAAATCATCCTCAGCAGTGTTTATCAGACACTGTAAGGACAAATAGCTAAAATAGAGACACTAAATGTACCAAGAAAAATTACTTCCTTGAGTTTTTAATGTAGTAAAAGGTCTAATCATAGTTGCAAAAGACTTTTATAAGTTGTTGAAATGAGTATTGTTGTTAGTTGTTACACCTTACCTATTTAAGGTAATGAGAATTGTGAGGCTGACCTGCTGGCTGGTCTTCTTTTCTGCTCTGCTTCATTTCCTTGTCATTCTTACTCAATTTATTTAACATAACGTATAAGCAATTAAAGCACTTTAAAAACAAATTTTCTCCTGACTGTAAATGGTGATTGTCTTGGGGCATGATTTTCTTACTGATTTTTGCCTGGGTCTTAATTTATAAAGGTAACTGAGGGACAACAGGGAGAGTTCAGTGCCATTTGAAGGAAAAGTTTAATGTTACTCACAGTTCCCTTAAAAATTAGAGGCATGGCATGCCACACAGGGCCACTGGGGAGATTAGGAGGAGGGGAAAGCTCCGGTTTTGATTAGGAGGCAGAAAGAAAGTAGGGGAATGCATAGATAGGCCACCTTTATTGGGGTTTCTGCAGGCAAAATATTGCAAGGCAAGGCAAGGTAAAGAGTTTACGATTGGTTAGCTTGAATAATTCCAGGGAGCTTGATGTATAGAGGCCGTTGTCTGGTATTCATCTGGCCCTGAGTTGACTTAGAGCAAGGGGCATACTGACTTGGTGTGTATGAGTTAGATCAAGGAGGTGGTTCAGAATGTGGGCTCAGGTGAGATATAAACAATTTTTGGCTCTGTGATTAATGGATGCTAAATAAATACAAAATCTAAGAAAACAAAGAAAATTAATTAGAATAGAAGAGTTAATGTCAGACTTTGAGGAGAAAAATAAATTCTTACAGGCCATAGTGGAGATTGGACACTTGAGTGGAAAGAATGGTTCTATACCAAGTTGATGATAATAAAGCCAAGATTTTTAACCCTACTGTTTACCTGCATATCAAGAGATGTTACCATTGGGGATCTGTCTTTTTCTTATTGGATTACCCCTCTTTTGTTTCTCTACTTCTTACTTGCTCTATCTTAAGTTTTAAGATTTGTTCAGGTCATTGTAAACATTGCAACATAAATCATAGTCACAGGTTCTATTTTTCACTTTCCCTTATTGCCAGTCAGCCCTCCATTTTCTGCAATCATAAATTCTTTTTCCCAGTGGTCATTATTTACCTAAGTCAATGTTTTTCTCCCAGTTTTCACATTTTTTAACTGCTCTGAAGCAGCTCATATTATTGTCCAAACTGCAGCTCTTTTAAAGAGTGAAAGGGGGCACTAACCAAACTCAGTTTGGGATAAGAGGTATAAACCAAGACTATTTCTGGCAAACTGGAAGCACTTAAAAAACTCCTTTGTGGCTATCAGGAGTGCTCTCTGAACTCAAGTTTTGAAAGGACATTATATGTATAGAAAAAAATTTTAGCCCTGGCTGGTGTGGCAGTGGATTGAGTGCCAGTCTGCGAGCCAAAGGGTCGCTGGTTCAATTCCCAGTCAGGGCAGGTGCCTGGGTTGCAAACCAGGTCCCAGTAGGGGGCGCGTGAGAGACAACCACACATTGATGTTCTTCTCCCTCTCTTCCTCCCTTCCCTTCTCTAAAAATAAATAATTAAAATCTTTAAAAAAAAGTTAGAATGTATATATCAAACTCAATATTCAATATCATCATTTTACTGTTGTTTGTTCATATGTATTGGGGTGGTTTTCATTTTTTTGGCTATTTTGAATAATGCTTTTATGAACATTATGTGCAAGTGTTTTGTGTGGATGTGTATTTTCATTTTTCTTGGTTATATAACTAGGAGTGGTATTGCTGAGTTATATGGTAACTCTGTGTTTTACCTTTTGAAGCACTAGTACTAAAGTACTAAAGTAGCTGTACTCTTTTACATTCTGTGAGTTTCTGGGTTATGTTGTTTGAACCAGTACTTTTGTAATCCAATAAAATATGTCTGTATCCTTTGAGTTTAACTGCCTCTGGTGCCAAGGTAGTAGTACATGCTTCCTATCCCTGACCTACAAGGGGACGTAATTACCCAAATCAAGACACACAAGGGGCTGTGAAAGGTAAAAAAATTAGCTGATAACACATTTTCCTCTCCCAGTCTTTTTGTTTGGTAGGACTTCAGGTATATTTTCTTCATTTCTGTTTATGGGTACTTTTTATACTGGGTTGGCACTGTAATAAAAAAGTGAGACCATGGTTTTTACTTGGAAGGCCTTATGGTATATTTCAAAATTTTGCTCCAAGACAGACTTTTTTTTTTTTTTTTTTTTTAGTTCATTAGCTAAAGTGTTCTGTGGTTCTACTAAAATTAAGACTAACATAAAATAGATTCTTCAATCTAGTTCTCTTTGTATTGATTACTGTTTGAAGACTAGAGACTATTTTGGTTACTAAACCACCAGCTCATAAATACATTTCTTTGATCACAAAGAGGGTCTTTGGGTAAGCTAAGCGTAAATTCATCCCTATTATTGGAAAATTACATTATTATCTGACATTATATAAATACTGTCATCTTCAAGTGGGAAGGGCAGCACATTTTCTAACAAAAGCCTGTATTTTGTCATTTGTGAAATTATGGAGGGCAGATAGTTTAATTTTTCTTTGCTTTAGCCTTGCAGTTTCCAGTCAAAATACTGTTTTCTAACTTTATTAAGTCAGCTCGTTTTTCTCCTGCCCCTTTCAGAAAAGTCATGTTGTATGTTTGTTAAATTCTCTTGTTCCAGTCTGTATATCAGCCTGGGATTCCTTGACTTCCTGGTTGGTTTAAGGTATCTTTTATCATATAGAAGTTTTGAATTTTTGCATAACCAATGCATTTTCTCCTTTGTGGCTTTTGAATTTAATATCATGCTTAGTAAAGGTTTATCTACCTCAAGCAGTTTCGTTTTTGTTATTTCTTTTCCATTTGCTTCTGTAATTTTGTTTTTAAATTTAGAGGGTTTTTAATGCCCCCTTTTTCTTTATTTTATCTTTATTTTTGGTACCTAAGAAAGTTAAAACAACATTAAATGTAACATCTATTGATATGCCATAATCAAGGGACCAAGAATGAAAAATTTTATGAGCCATGTATTTATTTTACTTTTATTATTTCCCTTGTCTTGAGGAACTACTAGTAGCCACACTATTTTACATTCTGTTATTTCTGGACTATGTGTTTGTAATATAGTGAAGTACGTGTATATCTGTATCTTTTTAATTCCTTTACCTGCCAGTAGTGCCAAGGTAGCACGTGTGCCCTATCCCTGACTTATAGGGGGACATACAATTGCCCAAATTAAGGAGAACAGTATCTGAAATGTTAGATGTAATCATATTAAGTAGCTATAGTCCCTCCTGTTACATTTGTTTAAAATTATTTAGCAGCATTTTTGCCTATTGTTAGCTTGAAATACTTTTAAGTATTCATAATTTGTATGGCTAAGTGTACTAAGCATGCTTCTACTGTAACTAGTTATTCTAGCCAGAGAGCTCTATCAGATTATCTTGTAACATGAAAGCTGGGAAATCATTAGCAGTGTTAAACATTGATTTTCATTTGTGGATTAAACTTTTAATGTAAATGTTTTTACCTCGGAAGGAATTAGGAAAGATGAAAATTTGGGGAAGAAACAGAATAGTGTGAAGAATTTTTTTTTAATTACTGGTAACCTAATAAGAGTTTATCTTTATTTTTTCTAAGTAGGTAATTTAAGTGTAAAGACATTTTTGTTAAATAAATTTTGGGTAGATGATATCAAGAGTTCCATATTTACTGTTTGGTGATATAATTATGTATCTGTTAAAATTTATAACCAACTAATTTATATCCAAGTTTAAATATATCATCCTGATAAACAGTTTACCTTGAATCTGATAAACATTTTTTTCTTTAAAGTTAAAAAACATGTGTTTGTGAAAAACAAAGTTTATCTCTAACTCATCAATATTAATAAGGGTTAATTAAGTAAATCTAAGCAAGACAAGACAGTTATCCTGAAATTTATTAGTTCATGTTACCCTGACATTTGAGTAGCTAGATGATTTCAAAAACAGATCACTACATTATTCTTTGTATATTTATTATTACAGGTTAAAAAAGCCAAGATGCAGGAATCGGGAGAGCAAACTTTAAGGTATGTAAAGTTGAATTTCCTTTTAATGATATACTTTTTTTCACATGCTGGTGGTGGCATGATTTAGGTTGACTACCCTTTTTATGGTTTTTAGCATCAGTCTTTACATTTTGAAATTATTTGGTTTAAAATAAAAATTCCTTCCAAAAGTCTTCTTGAAAAACATAAGTGCTAATTTATTTATTTTTTTATCCATTCATTATTTATTCCACAGTATGTACCAAACTCATGTTACCTGTCAGAGCCTGAGATATATGGAGGAGACACAATGGTGAATATTCTTTAGTCAGATGTAGAGAGTATGAAATGGGAAAAATAAGAAGTAAGGGAAGTGCAGAGGATTAGGCATTAACTACCAAATAGATATGGGATGCCTCAGTCATTAGCTCTGCTTCCCTTTAGAAAAGAGGCAGCTTCTATGCACCTCATGCTCTGGCTTCTACAACATCATTGGTTTTAGTTTTCCACAGTTCTTATCTCCTGTTGTTTGTCCACCAACTATATGAACCAGTAATCGCATCACCTCTTAACATCTTAATTTCAAGAATCCTACTCTTTTACTACCACACATTACATTCAACCTCATTTATTCTACTGCCACACTATCCATGTGTCTTACTATACACTTGCAATGAAATGATATATCATATTTTCCCTATCAACCATTGACCCTTTTCTCAAAAAAAGTCTTCAATATCTTTCTTACGCTGCTTAAATTGTAAGATCTGTTACTTTAGTCAGTCCCTTGCAAATAGTCTTAACTTCCTCCCTGTTTCCTCTGTGTTGTACTTACCTAGCAAAATCACAGCCTTGGTTAAACTTAGCTCTACCTATTACATATTTATTTCCAATCACCTGAACATTGTGAGAGAAAAACCAGCCTCAGTTTTCGATCATAATTACATCTCAAGCAGGCATTTAAACACTCTTGGTGGTCCAACCAACTTTACTGGTGTGTTTTATTTCCAAGTCGCTAAAATTATCTTTCTTCCCTTCTTTCCTTTCTCTCAACTGAGGAAAAAATGTTTGAACATTCAGAATATACCAGAGGAGAAAAACTTTATTGATACTATAGTCCAATATTAGAGTTTTGTTCAGAAAAGACATGAGAGCTTTAAGCATTTTGGTGCTGTGTATTTTTTTAATATAAATAACATTTCTTTAAAAAAATTATCTGTGTAGAAACTAGTCTTTGTGTTATCTTTCCAGATATTTGGAGCCTCTGGTACAGTGTCCTTCATTTCTCCCTAGAGTATAGAACAGCAAAGTAGATTTCTTCCTAGGACATGAGTGTAGGAAGGATGCCTCAACTGGGGAGAAGTTGTACTGTAATACTAGCTGTAGTTATATTGTACTTACTCTGTTCTAGTCTCTGCTCTAGGTACTTTTTATATATTAATTTATTAATCTCTATAACAACTCCGTGAGGTGGATTCTATTATTACCCCTCATTGACAGTTGAAGAACTAGGGCACGAAGAGTTGAGTGACCTGTCTAAAGTCGTAAAGCTAGATTTGGCAGAATGGAATATAAACTCAAGCAGTCTGGCCTTAGAATCTGTACTTCCAAAGATCATGCTATACTAGTAGTTGAGGGAATAATTGAAGAGTGAAAATTAAAGTAGAAGGAAGAGGAAGGACATTGTGAACGATGAAAGTTAGTATCACCTCCATTCCAGAATTTCAGTGAGAATCTTCTCAACATTCAAGTGTTCAACACAATGACTTATCCTCCCAATTTACATGATTCATCTTTTGCAATTTCTCTTAATTTTCCTTATATTTTAAACAACAAACAAAAATGATGTTACTTAGTCTTGGGTATAATAACAAATTAAAATTTACTTATTTTTAATTGGGGTAGAAGAGAAATACAGTGGAATGAGCCATTTTAAGGTTCAGAATCCCAGGAAGCAAGCATATATAACTTGAAGAAACTTCTCAAGTTATTATGAGAACCATTGTCTTAAAGCATTTTTAGGTATTGTGGAATTTTTCTTTTACCACATTGTCTTTAGAGAAAATCTGACTTGCTTGTGACTTAGTTGGAATTTCTGTGATATAAGAACTGAAGGGGCATAGGAATATGAGAAAGAATAGTAGAATGCTGTGGGCACTAACCCTGGTCATAGCTCTTCAGGTGGTTGCTAAAAACCAAGAATAAGGATATCATGAAGACTTCCTTTGCTGTTTCTTGTATAGCCTCAGAAGAAATGAGTTTGATTTAATTACTTTTAGCAATGCAGCACATCAGTCAGGGGCTAATTTATTCATTCTGGTTCTCCCAGTCAAGTAAGCAACCCCGAAGTCAATGATCAGAAACCTGAAACTTCAAGCCTTGCTTCAAACCTTACCATGTCAGATGAAAGTAAGTACCACGTTCTGTGCATGACAGAAGCGATATTTCTATAAACCAGGTGAGGTTGTTCTTTTATAATTGGTTTTAACCAGTTGGGCCTCGTTTGTCCCAGAATGTTCAGAAGCCTTGCCTTTCCTTGTGAGTGTGTGTGTGTTCATACATATATGAGACTAAATCACATGGAATTCACTTACCCAGGAGTCACACTTGGTGATTTTATGTTTTCCTTTCTATTGGACTGTTGGATGTTTTAAAGATAAGAGTGCCTTACTCAAAATCAGAAAAGTTTATGGGTCTACTTCTGTTACCCCAGAAGGCTTGATATGTTTCTGCCTTCTCCAAAACTGAATTATACTATCAATTCAGGCCAAAAAAGAAAAGTAATCCCCTTAAGAACCTAAGATTAATACTGGACCCTCAGGGAGATTCAGTTCAGTAAGATATATCCTCCACTTACTAACTCTCACTCTCCTGTAGAACAGTTATATTCATTCATGCAGAAAAATATGTAGTGAGTAGTGTTTGTTTGTTTGTTTGTTTGTTTTTTCCTCATGGAAACATAAGCTTTCTCTAGCACACCCACTTCCGCAAATTGCCTTTATAGGGCAAATAGTCCTCACTGGAAATAAATGGCTTTGCCCTTATTTTACCACACTCTTTAAAAGAATAAATTTGTATAAGACACTAAAAAAAAAAAAAGACACTTGTTTTTCAGATATTTTTTTCCTCTTAAGATGATTATGGTTAATTTTATATACTTTCCATGTATTAAAAAATAACATGACTTTAAAAAGCATGCTATGAGGTGGGTAGTGAGTTGTATATATTATTTTCTCAAAGATAATATTTTAGTGGTTCTCAAATTTTTGCTGTACCAAAGAAGCGTCTGGAGTGCCTATTTGTAATATATAATTTCAGCTTCATCTTCAGGGATTATCATTCGAAGATCTGATGTGGATGGGAATCTGTATTTTCAAGAAGACAGGTGGTTCTGATCCATACAGAAAACTATCCATACTGTGGGAAACTGCTATAATCAATGAAATGTCTCCTCTAGTTTTTTAAAACTTTAATTTATTGATTTGGGGCAGAGGGGGAGAGAGAAACAATGATTTGTTTTTCCACTTACTCATATGTATCCATTGGTTGATTCTTGTATGTGCCTTGAGCGGGATTGAACCCACAACCTTGGCATATGGAGACGATGCTCAACTGAGCCACCTAGTCAGGGCTCTCCTCTAGTTTTTTGAATGTCCAACTCATCCCCAAGAAAAGACCTGTTTCTTACCATATTTTAGGGCCAGAAAGTAAGTTGTCTTTTTGCTCCTTCAAATCATTTCTCTTTTCTTTTTTCCTTCAAACACTGTAGTTCCTTTGAAGTTCACGTTTATGCCTCCCCTTACCTTTCTTTTTACTTCAGACTGAACTCCTAGTCATTTTGCTCTTTAAAGACTAGATCTTCTTTGTTTTCTTCTCCGTCAGGCTCTTACTATTCTTTGTGACTTCAGCATCCATGTAGATGACCTGTCCAGTGCCCATGATATCCCTTGTGTTGTCATGTCCCTTCGTACTCAGCATAGACTCTATGGTTCTTTATTATAATTACTCCCTTACAAATACTTTCAATAATAACTTTGACTCTTGTGCTTTCCTTGCTAAACCCTAGTTCTAATTTAATCCAACTTTTTACCTTCTCTGTGAGTGCATTCTAACAGCCAAACATTATTGAATAAATTATTTAGCTGATTATTCAGCCTCAAGTGGGCACCTAGAATGTTTGGAAATTTTACTGCATTTCCCTAATGAGTTTTATCTTTTAACAGTTCACACCACTTCTTTTCCTTTCTAAGTACCCAGTACTCACTTACCATTTCTTATTCCCAACTGATGACTCCTTCTCAGTTAGAAGCGGGAGACAGGAAACCCCTCCCCCCCATTATCCCACCACCACCAAATACTCGAAGCTACCTGTTTTTGTACTCATGGTTTTTTACATCATTTTTGTCAGAATGGAAATAGTATTCTGGCTCTTGTCAAAGATAAGACCTTTTATTTGTGCTCCATATCCTGTCCCTTCTCACCTTCCCCTAGGACTTTGGTATTGTAGTTATGCTAAGAACACTTCCGCATCATCACGTACTTCTCTTTTTAATACTTCCTATCAGTAAAGAGACATGATCCGGTATCTACCATCTTAATAACAAAAAACCGTCCTTTGGCTCCATACCCCTCACTAGTTGTAGACCTCTTCTTTGTTCCATGACCCATTGGAACCTCTGAAAAGAGTTGCCCTCATCTGATTTCTCCCTTCCCATTCACTCTTCAACCCTCTCAAAGTTAGCTTCTATACCACTTTTCCAATGAAATTGTTCTTGTCAAGGTCATCAGTTACTTTCACTAACTGCAAGTACTAGTTCTAGTGGGCATTTCTGCCTTCTCTTATCCTGCCTCTCACTACTTTTCCTCCCACCTTTCTCCTTTGCTGGCCCTTCTTTTTCTGTCTGAACTCTAAATGTTGGTGGACCCTCAGTATTTGTTTCTAGTCCACCATGTTTTCTCTCTCTGCATTCTCTCATCCATGATTATGTTTCCAGTCCAATTTAGCTCTAAAAGGAAAAGTCATACATAAAATGTGTAAAGCTTTTTATTTCTTTAGCTCCCATCAAATCTATTCTTTTCCCAAACTTTCCCATCTTAGGAGGGATGGTTTCACTATCCCTCCAGTTTCTCAGGCTGAAAACCTAGAAGTTATCTTGTTTTCCCCTTGCACACTAATCCATTAAAATGCCCTGTTAGTTTTACCTTCAGAATATATTTCAAAGTATTTCCTCATGTCTACTGCTGTTACTCTAATATAATAGCAGATTAGGCCTTGACTCTTTATAATCCTTTTATAGTTCCCAAATACTGCAAAGATCAAGGCTCATGCATCCTCTAGAAAAGTAAAAATTGGCCTAAACTCCTAGGATATTTTGTCAGTCTCTTCTAGAATTAACTTAAATCAGGAGGAGAAGTGTTTGGGTTTTTGAAAGTACTTGTCAGCAGAGAAGGAACCATCATACAGAATTCAAATGAACTTACATTCTTTGTGATTGATAGTAAGAAATTCAGATTTAATTGAGATTTCCTTCATTTCTGTCAAAATGACTATGGATGAATGTGACTTCCAAATTTCCAGTCATTATTGTTAGACCTTGAACAATGGCAATGGACAAAATCTTAAATGGTAAACTCAATAGATGTTCATTTGTCTCATTGTTGAGCATGATTATTCCCCTCATCTGCTCTTGACCAGAGTTCCTTTTTTGGATCAGACACTGAGGGAACCCAGCTAGACATAAACTTAATTGGTTCACTCCTAGTCCCTATTTATAATAATAGAGCAACCTCCTTTACAGATGTTGAAGGAAGTTCTTAAACAGTTCAGGAGTCTGGTACAAGCTCTATGACATAACTCTGTCTATAACATGGACTGAAATAGTGCCTTATGAATAGGATTTTGCTGTCTGTCAGACTTGAGTTGAATATTCATAGCATTTATCCAAGATGAAAACGTGAGGGTCAAGCCTTCACAGCAGCTATTCTAGAAGTCAAGCTGTGCAAGTCTCTCTCCTTGCTCATTTATCAGAGCATCACATCAGTTCCTCGGGTCTGTCTCTGCTTTGCCAAACTTAAAGCCTTTACCACAGAACTGAAAAAATAGTAGTATAGAAACTTATTTACATCTTTTCTGCTGTTGATTATATACAGCAGTAGCAGTAGTTTTCTAATAAAATTAGGTATTCCCCCATAAATCGGTCTTCCTGCAAGTCATCCACATGGCCAAAATAGAGGGTAAGCACCTAGAAAATGAATACGTTGAAGAAGTATAGTGTGTTTTCCTAGATATGGGTCTTGCTTTTTAAGTTTGCCTATGAGCACAGCTAAGAGCTTAGGTTGCTTCATCTGTAGTTTTAAATCAGCCCAGGGAAAGGTAAAGATAGAGATCAGCTGGTATTAACCTTCAGCTTTTTACCATATCCCTCACATTCTGGTTTCTTTTACTGTCTGAAAGTCTCTAATCTGTTATTAAAAAAATAAGATTATTTTCTATTACATAGTCTTTTTAAGTTTCTGATGCCCAAGCTGTATTCTGTAATGTATTTTGAAAGACTATACAGTGAGATACGCAATTCTCATTTTATTTTTGAAATGTTTTAACTTTTTACCTGGTGATATCTGTCTTTCAGTTATGACATGCACCGATTACATCCCTCGCTCATCCAATGATTATACCTCACAAATGTATTCTGCAAAGTAAGTTGAATAACTATTTTGAAATTCATACACTTTTTCTCTAGGTTCATTGAAAAATTTAACTTGATATTTAACTAACTAAGTTGACATTTAACTTATTTTCACCTCTCTTGTTCTCTGTGTCCCTACTCCAATTTTTTTATTCCCTCCAAATATGGAGTCCATGTAAGACCCTTTTAAAAAAGTAGATGGTTGTCTAGAATGGATCACTGTTACCTGGAAGATTTCTCTAAATGAATAGGCACTGAAAATGAAAAATACTGGTAGTGATCAAAGCATATCACTGATTGACCTCTGATCATTTTCTCTTTCCTTTACCTTGATAGACCAATAAAAACAACTCAAGCCAGCCTTACACTAGAACTTCTCAGCCCAATCTATGTTCATTTTCTTGTTGAATGTCCTCAAAGTAGAAGTGGACTTGAAGTTAGACAGGTTTAGTGCGTTGAAGTCACCAAGAAGCATTTTGAGCCTGTGAGGGGTTATGATCAGCATTTAAGATTCACCAAGTTAATCATTTCCAGGATGAGGAGGTGCAGAACAGTACATATTTCAAGCTACCATTCATGATACATATTAATGCATCATCATCATTGATGATACTATACATAATGTACATAAATATTAGGTTGGCCAGAAAGTCTTACGTTTTTCCATACAGTGGCCCTAGTAGTGTTTAGTTGTCTTTAACTTCATTCGAAACAAATTTTGTTAAATTGTATTGTGACAGCTATCATATCAGTGTGCATTTTTAAAAAAGTGTCAAAATTTGTGAATTTTTATGCAGCCATTTGAATACTGAAAATGGAAGAAAATACACATCTTTGGCATATTATGCTTTGTTATTTCAAAAAAGGTAAAAATGCAACTGAAATGCAAAAAATGATATACTCCATGCAGTGTATGGAGAAGGTGCTGTGACTGATCGAACGTATCAGAAGTGGTTTGCAAAGTTTCTTCGTACTATTGGCACTTCGGCCAAATAATTCTTTGCTTTGGGCCTGTCTTACACTTTGGAAGATGTTTAGCAGCACCCCTGTCCTCTACCCACTAGAAGCCAATAGCAGGAGATAGCCGACATACTCAAAACATCCAAATCAATAAAGTTATTAGTGAAAATGAAATATGTGTCTTTTATTTTACGGGAAAAAAATATGACTTTCTGGCCAACCCAAAACTTACACATGTGCTTGTTAAACTAGGATATATTCTTATGTGCTTATATAATGCAGTATACAAAGAAATTGGTAATAGAGATGAGTGATGCCTATGGGGCTGTTGTAAAAAGAAAACTGGCATTTCCCCACTTTTGTGCCCATATATACCTTGATTTTGCATCAATTAAAAAATACCCTAATCAGCCCTGACTGGTGCAGTTCAGTGGATTGAACGTTGTTCTGCAAACTGAAGGTCGCTGGTTCAATTCCTGGTCCAGGCATATGCCTGGGTTGCGAGCCAGGTTCCCAGGTGGGGGCATGTGAGAGGCAACCAATCAATGTTTCTCTCCCTCTCTTTTTCCTTCCCTTCCCCTCTCTCTAAAAATGAATAAAATCTTTTAAAAAATACTGTAATCAAAAAGTTAACTCGATGAGTTTTCCAAATTCCAATCTGGTATTAACACTAATAGCATCCTTGAGCCAGTCATTTTCCTGTGGTTTTCTGAAATGACTAAACCTTTTCTCTAAGATCATTATGAAGGTGATAACAAAATACTTTGAGTTACAAAGACACTGTATGAAAAAGAATATGATCTTCAATGTAGCTGGAGATTAATCACTAAGGTTTTAAGTAATTCCCCATGTTAAATTTGATTTAACAGCTACGACCTGAGCTATTTCCTGGTCTCAGATCTGGCTAAGGATAATAGGAATTTTCAAATTCAGTCTCTTACCATTCACTGAGATGGGAATATGTTGCATATTCCAAATTCATTTACTCATTCAGAAGAGATTTGCATACAAGCTGTATTCAGAATACCCTATTAGCTATGCCTTGTATCCTAATTCAGACGTCCTGTATATGTTTTGTAACTGTACATCTATTTCCGGTTTGTTTCCCTTGTAATCCATTTTACAAAAAATGTCAAACTAATTTGTATTTAAAAGAGCAGCTCTGATCTTGTCACTCTGCTCAGCAATTTCAGTGACTCCCACTTGTTTCTGATTTGTCTGAGCTCTTTTAGCCTAATATTCAAGGTCTTAGCTACCTATCTTTCTGTCTCTCACTACTTCCCTTCCCTTTATATACTTCCCTTAATATAATCTATGCTTCTTGCAGGCTGAAGCCCTTGCTTTCCTTCCTCAGTAGTTTTTCGGAGTTTTTCTGTTTTCCTAGAACACCTTTTCTTATCCATTCCTCCACATCCTATGTGCATAGCTCACACATCACTTCTATATAGCCTTCCTTCATGTTTTTGCCGTCCGAAATATCCCTTCCCTCCAGTATTTTATCATTATTACTTATATGGCACATATAACACTTTTTTATATCATAAGTGCAGCAATAACTCACCATATAATATAACTGGTATCTAAAAATTCAGTGCATAACATGAATGAAATGACCAGCTCATCGAGCTAGTCTAAATTCCCAGAAGTTTCACTGCTGGGTTCAAATCCCTAGTTAAACCTGATGTGATTGGCCACAACTAGAAGCCGTATACTCTGGCCTAAATATCATGGGGAAATTCTGAGTCCTATCTGGGATTTCCCAGATTTTACTATTTACCTGGCTCCTGTTTTATAGGCTTAATCTGGCAATATTTGAGCCCACTCCTATTCCCTGTTTTCTAATGGTTAGTTGCTTGTCTTTTCTCTGTCGCCTCACCCTCTTTCCCAAGCCCCACTTTTCCTCTTACAACTTTTGTTTGGCCCAGAGAGCTGGGTGGAGAGTGAGAGAGAGCCAGTTGTGAATCTTGTTCTGTCCAATTTTCTGTTATTTTAGTTTTTATTTTATATGTAGACATAAAGACATAAACAAGTTTAATCCATCCTTGTATCTCACAAAGGGGCGTATACATAGCATACCACAAATTGGACCTTGTGAGGAAATTTGAAAATATTATATTTTCTATAAAATTGTTTCTTAGGTAGGTTATGGTAGAACCTGGAAAGGAAATATTAGCTCTACTTTTTGACCACAGTAAGAAAGATTTTTTGTATAGGATGAGCATTTTGTTAGTTTCTTCATTGCTGGTATTTTGCATTTAATGGTATCGGCTATTTCTCCTGTTTTTCATTACTAAAATCACACATGCATGTTTTTGTTGTCTTGAACTTTTCTAGACCTTATGCACATATCCTCTCAGTTCCTGTTTCCGAAACTGCTTATCCTGGGCAAACTCAGTACCAGACACTACAGCAATCTCAACCGTATGCTGTCTACCCTCAGGCAACCCAAACGTACGGACTACCTCCTTTTGGTAAGGCGTCCTATTATAAGCAGTTTCTAAGTATGTTGACTTTTATCCTCCAAAAACTAGAATCTTCCCCCAAAAAGCAAGCATGGCTGATGAGGAAGCCAAGAGATGAGTTGTTCTTTGCAGAGCACCTACTCCATTGCAGGTGTGATAGAAGTTGTGTAGACAGCTTTCCAACAGTATATTTGATGCATGTAATACAAAAGCATTATTTTTCAGTACCTGTTTGTTTGAGAAATTACTATGGATTTTACTTAATTTATACCAAACATGTTACCTTAGTTAGGTAAACATAATAAATATATTTTGAGGTGACCAGTTTCTTGCTAAAGCCAGGTAATCTAAATGCCCACATGGAATGTGCCTAATGATGGAGGAAGTCCCCAACTTTGTACAAACTTCCATGCATAGAAAATTTTATTTTTTGGTTTTAGATATCTTGGACATGAACTATAAATTAGAATCATTTACTAGAAGACAGTTTGAGATTCTTTGGACACTTAATATCTGCACTGAATTTTCTTTGTGTATATAAATTTTCTTTGTGTATATAAAGCACACTACTTAGTGTGCTTTATTACCTTTTCCCTGCTTTCCTAGAAGTGGTGTCAAAAAAATTGAAAGAATACTGTATTATTTCTAAATATGCAACATATTAATAAAATTCTATCTCTATTGCCTTAACTGAAACTAGCTGGGAATTGGAAAAATCTTCCAGACAGATCACCACAGATTATGGATGTATTAGTGTTGCCTGCTTTTGGTTTCTACATTGCTACTTTTCCTGGCCCATGTAGCTAATCTTTTATGATAGTGACTCCTTTCTAACTTTTAGGCATTCTGTGGCTCCTGATAACTACTAGAAACAAAAATGGGGGATTATGTTTCATGATAGTGGTTGTTGGTAACTTCGCAAGAGAAGAGAAACAGAAATGCTCATTGTTCATTTCCCCGTTTGTAGTCCATGTCTGCATGCCTGTCAGTTTCAGCTGGTATACTGAAATGTTACATCTGTGATATATTTAACTAGCCAAGACTGAGCAGTCCTTTTGGAAACAGAACTGTCTGTGTCTGTGTTTGTATTAAAACTGAATTTTCATTAGCTGGCTAACAATAGGCTAGCAAATATAAAGTAAGTATTTTCACCTTGTTATTTAATTCTCTGTTTTGATTTAAATTCATTATTAGCAAGCCAAAGCCCTTTATTATATTGTTGATCATTCTTATTGTTCAGTGTTAAATAACACTCCTGTTATATCTTTGAACTCAGATTATATAATACCTAACATAGTGCCATGTGAATATAGATCTTAGATATTATGGTATCTTTTTGTGATCACTGTGTTTCCCTTGTATTAAAGAAACAGGAAAATTCTGTAAAATAGATCAATCTTTGTTGAAAACTTAAAGGAAACAGTGTTATATGGTGAAGAAATACTGGTCATAACATTCTTTTATTACTCTGTTTTTGTTTACTATTTGGGAACCAGGGAAGCTTGTTTTATAAATTCATCTATCTGTAATTCAGAGAGAGGTAATCGTTAGTTTAATTTGACTTTAAATAATATATGAGACTTACTGGAGAGAGATTTAGGTTGGGGTAGTATGAATGATAGATGTAGCATATTCTCATATTTCATACAGGACATTATAAACAGATGTTTGGAATACTTTTTAAAGTAACCGTTTTTAAGACATTTTCTTATGTTTTAACATGGCTTTTTTTATGTGTTCACTCAAATACAAAACATTTCTTCTTGTGAAGATTTTGAAAATTTTGTCATCTTAATGCTTCCTGTTAGCACTAAAACTAGATTAGCCAATCTGTTATTTTATTTCAAGTGTAAACAGGGCTTCAGAAAGTCTCACTGTAATATTGTCTAATATATATTGAGTGCTTATTATACCAAGCAGTATGCTAAGAATAAATACTTTACACTTTACATTATTGTTTTATCTGTTCTCTTGAACCTCAGAAGTAAGGAGTAGTAGTATCCCTTTTTATAGATGAGGAAACAGGCTTAGAAGGATTGCATGACTAGCCTGAGGTCATACAATTAGTAAAAATGCCTATGATTAGAATTAAACCCAGGTCTGTTTAACCTAGAAGTCCTCATAGTTTAGGTCAGCAACTTTCAACTGGTGTGCTACAAGGATTTTTAAAACATACAATACCTGACTATTTAGTCATGGGCACTGACCGCTTTTCCTTTTGATTGTCAAATAAAGAAATAACAACAGCCAACACAACAATAGCCATCTAGTGTGAATGCCCTGTATTGAACCATAAATATATAGGTCATATAATAGAGTTGTATCTTATTGGTCATGTTGCATAAGGTTGCGTCTTACTGGTTAATTACTGGTACCAGAATCCTTATATACAAGTATAGGCATCTGATTTTTTAAAAAGTCACTTTGGCCCTTGCTGGTGTAACTCAGTGGATTGAGCACCGGCCTGCAAACCAAGGGGTCGCTGGTTCAATTCCCAGTGTAGGGCACATGCCTGGGTTGCAGGCCATATCCCCAGTAGGGAGCGCTTGAGATGCAACCTCACATTGATGTTTCTCTCCCTCCTTTCCCTTCTCTAAAAATAAATAAAAATCTTTTTAAAAAATAAGTAAAATCTTTTTTTTAAAGTCACTTTGGAGCAAAAAGGGGAGTAAATTATTAGTATTTATTTTTTATAAGTCAAAATTATACCTTTTTTTGTCAGATTGGCAAAAAAATATAATACAGTTTTTGGTGTGCCACAGAATTTTAGTAATTAGTTTATGTGTACCATGAGATGAAAAGGGTTGAAAAATCACTGGTTTAGGTCTATATGAAAAAGATAGTCTCACAGTTGTTTGGAATTTAAAACTTTTCCTCTTAAAGAAAGGAGAAAGACTAGAGGAAGGAAATCCAGGAAATCTATGAGTAATATTTAAAAGTAAAGGAATAGTGGTCATATTATTTTTTCAGAGCTATATAGAAACTTGGTGGGATGGTAGAAAGAGGATTAGAGGTTTAACTTCTAGTGAGACCTGAATGTGTGAGGAAAAGGGTAATTATTTATTTTAACAGGGCTCATAAAAGATTGCCTTAGCTGCCACTATTCTGACTTCTTTTAAAAGATCTTTATGGGAGATGGAGATTTGACTATATATTGAGAGCCAAAGGATGTTCATACCATTTCCCTCAGTAATTCACTTCTAGGAATGTATCCTATGGTACTAAAGATATCCACAAAATTTTACTATGATATTCATCATACCATTATTTATAATAGTAAAAGATTGGATACAGCGCACAAAGTCAGTGGAGAGGAATGTGTTCAATTGCAGTGTATCCATAGAATGGAAAACTATGTAGCCATTATAAATCATATTCTTAAAGAATATTTAACATCTTGAGAAAACATTATTAATTGAAAAAAGCAGTATGTAAAACTGAAAATACAATATAATATCCCCAGTTAGTATTTTTTAAAAATATGTATGTAGAGACTAATTTGGAAGAAAAAAAATGTGAAATTAACAATCCAGGCACTATACAGTTTGATCCTAGAACCATGCAAAGTGAGAACTGCCTATATTTTTTTCTGTGTGGTAAGACTGAATTTTTTCCTTACATTATATATTTTCCTAATTTTCTATAATATACATCTACTTACTTTACATTTATAAAAATATTTATATTTTACTAGGATAAGTAATCAGAGTAAATTATTTAGTATTTATACTAGTTCATACCAGTGAGCTATTAAATCAACAAACCAAGATATTCTTTCATGTGTTGTTGTTTTTTCCTAGCATTAATGTGTACTTCAATTCCTAACCAAACTAATCTCTAAAGATCCACCACTCTGATATGTGTTACTATAAACTGAACTGCTCAGATTAGTTTGGTTATTAACTAACTAATGGTGACTCTCATTTGTGCTCAGAGACTTGGATACAAAGTTCATGATAAGACCCCTGTATGGGGCAGTAGGAGAATAGCACTCAGAGACAGACTTCCTTACCCATTGTTAGTTCAGCTGCTGCTGCATATAAGACTTTTTGTGCTTAAAATGACCTAAGAAGCTTTGTAGTTGTAGGCATAGAGCAGTGGACTAGTAGTCAGGAAACCAGGATTTGGTTTCATCATTTGCTATGGGCGGTAAATAGTGCTCTACAGTCAAATCATACCACATATTACTTGGGATTCTTGGAAGGGTGCTTTTAAAGGAAGATGCTTATTAAAGAGCAAGGCTATAGTAACACTGGAGGCAGTGCCATATTGTCTTTTATTTCTCTAGTCTTCATAAAATAATTATGTGTTAAATATCTACATCGTATTTCTGGCCAAAAACATTCAAAACAATCTACTCCCCTACTTGGACATTTTGCCTTAATTTTTGACCTTATAAAAAAATCCAGTTTATAGACTGTTTACATTTTGAAACTTTAAAATGATACTAAATAATGAGACTAGCAAAACATTCTCAGTTAATACTATTTTTACTAAGGTAGCATTTTAGTACAGTGTAATAAAAAACGTTCACAAATCCAACATCTCTGGTTCAGAACCTATTTAGAAAAAAATCACATTGATTACAGTAAAATCTGAAAGTTTTTATGACATTGAAATGAAATTTGTTTTCTAAAAATTATGATACCACCTAGAATCATGGCACTAATATTCAAATTTCACATTGTAAATGTTTAAAGAATAACCTTAAATAATTTTTTTTGCTGGAAATCAGATATAACAAGAATAACCTTAAATAATTTTTTTTGCTGGAAATCAGTTCTGCTTTTGGAAGATAGTTGGCTATGACTAACCTGGACAAGAATTTTTAAATGACCATGAACTGTGTTGTGGGGGTGGGATGGGGGTGGAGTCAGTCCTCTTAATTCATGATAGAGATGGTGATGTTCCTCAGTCTCAAATAAGTCGTTTCTTGTGTTTAATAGGTGAGAAAAGAACATCACTTTTTTCTTTTAATGCTTTTAGTTTGGGTCAAAGCAATTATCATGTCCCATTATCAACCTTTTTAAAATTTTCCCTTTACTATTCTTATATTTACTTTTTTGACAAATTTTACAGGTCCAAGTTGTGCTAAGATATCTCAGTGCCCTGGTGAAGCAGAGATTCTTATTATTAAAGCATTACATTTCTATGTATTCCTTATCAGATTAGGATTAAATGAAATGAGGTAATGTTGAACTGGAAGCTGTGGCTGATGTTGGTATTGACTTTCTTACCTGGAATGTGTTTGATTGGTGAACTTCTTGAAACAAATTACCAGCTTCAACTACACTGATCCAGCAACCATAGCTTTTCAGAACACAGTGAATAACCAGACAGTAAGGTTTTGTTTTGTTTTTTGTATTGTTTTGTTTTTAATAAATAGACTTTACATAGCCAAAGTTATCACAAAAACTATTCACTTATAAAGGACAACCTTAGGCTCTCATGTAGAAGGAAAGCTTTGTTTTTGGTTTCCTAGTTTACTACAAATGAAAAAGGAAGGAGATAGGTAGATGGGAGATTGTCAAGAAGTGACAAATCACAGAGAAAAGACAAAGTGGTATAAGAATCTACAAATCATAGAACCATAATTTTTATTTATTACTGAGCAAATGTCTTCACATATCACAATAGCCTCTGTTTCTATAGTATATATAGCACAGCACAATATACTCTTTTAACAATAACTGTGAGAAAATCTAAAGGTATGCTTACTATTTCCTCCCTGCTGAGAAAGCAGGAAAAGATATAAATATATTTTAGAAAGATTGTTTCAGGAGCATTGTGATAAAAATAAAGTAAAACTGAACAGCTATGATGTCTATCAGTATGAAATAGATTTATATGTTCTGACTTGGAAATATGTCTCTTAGAGGTATGTGGAAAAGCAAATTTTGAACAGTATGTATAATTTTTTTTAATTTTTATTAAAATTAAGAAAAAAGATTAGTCAATACATAGGAGAACCTGAGTAATTCTTACGGAAACTTCATAGTGATTAAGTCTGGATGACTTTGATTTTTCTAAGTCACATATTTCTGTAATGTTTTAATTTATAAAAATGAGCAGGTGTGTCTTTCTTAATCAGAAGAAACAAAGGCAGCAAATTAACCAGCTTAAGAAGGCAGAGAAATATTTAATACATTTTAGAAAACTCTGGTGCTTGTTTCATGGGTAAGTGAATTTTAACTTATGTGGAATGTCTCCCGCCTTGACAGTGCAGATAAGTGATTTGTTGCTGTACATGAATATCAGGCACTCTTTACAACAAATAACTCTGGTTGGGTCTCAGTAGCTTCTTTTTTGAACCCTGGTCAATTTTCCCCAACTACTGAAATGAAAAAATATATATATATAGATATAGGTATTTATCACTATTGGGGTTTTGACAAGAGTTTTGTTTCTCTGGCCCCATTCCCCAGTTCTTGGAAATTGTATTTGCTTGTGGTACATAAGTGAGAGAATCAGTAGTATTCTCTTACAAGCAAATTTATTTTTCTTTTAAGATTTATATTTTAAACTACTGGCTGATATTTGAAAGCATAACCATGCTCCTCAGTCCCAGTGTATTGTTGTAATTGGTCCAATTTATCTGATTCAGGTGCATTGTGGCCAGGTATGAAACCTGAAAGTGGTTTAATTCAGACTTCATCTCCAAGTCAACACAGTGTTCTTACCTGCACTACAGGGTTAACCACAAGCCAGCCAAGCCCAGCACATTATTCTTATCCCATTCAAGGTAAATAGGCATGGTCGTGTGTGTTTTTTTATTGTTGGTTTTTGTTTTTAATCTCTCTGTATCTCCGGCAAATTGGGTAATAGGAGCTCTGTCTTCTAAAATAGAAGGGGGTGATATGTGCACTTGTGCATGCTTTTCATGTTAGGCAAACCAGAACCTGGGGGTGTGGTTTGTAAGTAGTTTAACCTTTGAATGTGAACTGCTTGGTAGAATTGAAGCCTTTCCTTTTGCATGTTTGGTGTTCAGAAAACCTATCTGTTCTCAGTGGCATTTTGTTCTGTGAATGAGCAGAAGACTCCATGGGTTAGAACTTTGCTGACTTCTTGTATATGAAGTCCAGATAGAGTGGAATGTGAAATGAGTGCTGCTTTGGAAGATATGTGCTGCTTTTCTGCTGTGGTTTTGTCATACCTCTACCTCTATTTACCACTTCCTGGTGAGAGCATTTTTTTTTTGCTCACAAAGTTGCCTTGTTTCTATTTCATGATAAAAAGCATAGCATTAAAGCTTGAACTCTAAACATCTCTGCCTTCCCACGTTCTTCTCTAAAAGGTTAGAAGTATGATGGGACTATTAGGAATGAAGACCAAGAAACTCAAAAGGCACTATGGAATTAATGCTCAACCTTTCCAAGTCCAGTGCAGGCAATTTACCATTGATCCAGATGGAGAATTAATGTCCATGTATCTGGCTTCTCATCTGTCTCCTTACTCCTGACATAGCCCAGCTTTTGAATTTTATTCCTTATAAAATGGGTGCCCAGGGAATAAGGGTGGGACAGGAAAAACTGGTCTGAGATACTCTGAAGATACAAACTTCGGTGATAAAGTGTTTTGATGTAGATTATGTTAAACAAAATATTTTGATTTTCAGTTTTAACTGTTTTCAGTTAAATGATTGAGAATTACTTCTGCTTGGTCCATTGAGAACAGAACTGGTCACTACATTCTAAGACATTGCTCTTGAGCTACTTTTACTTTCTGTTGTTTACCAAGTCTCCTCTTATTTATTTTCCCTTCTTTCTAGGTTTGTTCCCTCCCCCTTCTTTCTTTCTAAAATGAGAACAACCCAGCAGTGAAAAAAACCTCAAAGAGCATGACTTTGTCTGTCTTGCCCTCTACCCCTTTTCATTTTAATAAAGTATTTCTCTAGGTTGGGAGGCCTTTTTGAGTCCAACTACAGGCAAATCTAGTTGCCAAATCCCTCTAACGGATAGATCCCTGAGGTCCACATCTAGGTTGACTACATCTCGGTCATGAAAGAAAAACATACGATTCTCTTTTCTAGTGTTACTAACCCTTTTCCAAGGTGTAAACTTAATAGCTATGCTTGCTTCTCCCTCTTTGTAAAACAAGAGGAACCACCTTTTGAAGGTCTTTAGAACTCATTGCTATAAAAGGGTCGTGAAAATATATTTTAAACTCTGCTATCCACTATCCTGAGTTGTTAATACATTTTTTCCCCTTCTGTTAGATTCACCTGGTTTCCTCACCTTTTGCTAATTATCATTGCTGATGTTTATTAAGTGCTTACTCTGCTCTTAGCATTGTTATAAGCAATAGATATTTCAACTTAAAGAAGGGGAACATACGACACAGAAAAGCAAAGGGGCTTGTTTAAGGTCAAAAAGTAAACAATTAAGTCAAGATGTTGGACAGTCTGACCCCAGAGCATGAGTGATTTATTATTGAAAAGTTATTATTTTTAATATTAAACTTGTATCAATATCAACCCTCCCATAATTAAGAACCTAGAGTGACAAATATCTAAATTCATTTTCTTCCCTTTTTCTGGTTAACCAATTGGTACATTGTGTTGTTCATTAACACTGTGGCAGACAGAGATTTTAAGGCAGAAGTTCACCAAATTGAATGTCAATTATAATAGAAAAACTTCTTAAATAAAAAGTTTACCATTGAATTAATCCATTTTTGGTTTTTGCCACTTATTTTGAAGAAAAAAATGATAGAAAACAAATTGAAACAATTGGCTAAAATGAAATAGGAGTATTATTCACACATTTAAATTGCTTGGGTTCTCTACTCACTCTCCTCACTCCCACTTTTTATTTCCTTTAGCACGGATAATTAATGTTAGCTGTCCAGGACTTCTTCCTTACCCCTGTGTGTAAATAGCTAGTCATTCCACAGAATAAAAACAAAGAACATTGCATTGATTTTTTTTTAAGTGGTCAAAACAGCAATGTTCCCTTATTCCACCCCAAAGCATTCTGTAATTGACAACAGCTCTTCTTTCTTAGGGAAGTTATCTCAAAAAACAAATTCCCCTTCTGGCTTGATCAACTATGACCAAAACCTTTCATTGATACCTCAGTACAATGAAAACCCTTTGATTAAGTAGATCTAGCTTCTTGATATCAATCTTGCTAGACTGTCTGTATGTGGCCCAAACTCTGGTAATTTTCTTTAGTTGAGATGGGTTAAATGATTAATATTCAAGTGGCAAAAGTAATTACAAAAATTTCAGTTAATTTTAACTCAATCTTTTAATAAATGTCTTTGGGCTCTGAGGCTGTTGGTACTATACAGCAGTCTTTCATTGACCAGATTTTTTTTTTATAGACTTTATTTTTTTAGAAGAGTTTTCGATTTATTTAAAAGAATGAGCATGTGGTATAGAGTTATATATGTATCCTCCCACTTTGCACAATTTCCCCTATTATTAACATCTTTTATTAGACTGGAACATTTGTTAAAATTAATCAACCAATATTGGTATGTTATTGTTAACTAAGTCCATAGTTTATTCAGATTTCCTTAGTTTTTACCTCATGTCCTTTTTCTTTCCAGCATCCCATCCATGATACCACATTTCATTTGTCCTGTCTCCTTATTTTCCTCTTGACTGTGCAGTTTTTCAGACTTTCCTTGATTTTGATGACCTTGACATGCCATACATGAATTTTACAAGTTTATATGTATACAAGATATAAATGAATCCCATAAGTATTTATTGAGCATCACTTCACCTGTAGGCCAGGTGCCTTACTAGATATTGGAGATAATGAGTAAGATATTAAGGTTATGCCTTCATGGAGCTTACAGACTAGTCGAGGAGATAAGAAAACAAGCAAGCAAAAAAAGAGATTTTGAAAATTACTCTGAAAGGAATAAAGAATAAATTTCTATTGGAAAAACAGTAAAGGAGTTAGTTTTAATGGAGAAGTCAGAGAGAGTCTCTCTGAGAAGGAGGAGCCATCATGCAGTGAGGAGGAGAGGGACAGGCCAGGGAGAATAATCCAGGCAAAGGGGTGAGTAGAAATTAAATCTTGCACCAACTTTCATGTACCATTAACCCTCCAGCTTCGGGACAGTGTCACTTGATTCAACTGTGCCTCTCAGAGTTCTATAACTATACTCATTGATTAGAACTGTCTGTGTATTGACTGAGTTAGGTGGACCTCTACGGGGGCATGGTTCTCAGATGCTTTGTCTTTCTGTGATTTCACAGCTCCATTGTCAAAGCAGGAGTGGAGACTTATCCAAAGATAGTTTCCCTTGGCATTTGGAGAGCTAATAGCCTTTAGATATATATCAATAGGAGTTACCACTTGAGTTTTATTTGATTCTCTAAATTTGTACCTTTTGTTGCATATCTTATTGCTGCTGCTTTTGTTTTTAAATCTGCACCCGATGAAGAATTGGGAGATCCCAGTTTTGTCATCTTGATTATCTACCATTAGCTCCATGACTGTGGACAAATTAACTCTTCTTTGTCCCAGGTCCTTCATCTGAAAGCTGGCGTTGCAGCAGTAATTATTCCTTATATCTAATTTACCTTAATCTCTTCTACACTTTCTTCTAAGCAGAGTTCCCTTGAGGAAAGAGATAAAAAATTTCCTCTGATATTGACCAGTAGTCTCAAGTTTCGCCTGCATTGTTCATCAGCCTATTCTTAATCGAGGGTTCCTGTTCACTTCCCCTCTAGAGGACTTTCTTGCTAATGGGCTAGGTAGTTACCCATATAGCCAGGTCTACCTGATGCTGAACCCTTATGGTGTTTCTGACTGCAGTGGGAACCATGTCTAAATATGCTTATGATAAGTGAAGGGGAGGAATTTAAGACCTCAATCTCAGTTGCATTGTCCACCTGAAAAAAAGTCTCTGTGGCAAATACTTGTCACTGAGGATTTGATTAAAACCCTAGTGGAATCTGCGGTTCTTAGATGGGTATGAAAAACTTAACCCAAATTCCTTATCTCAAGATAGGCAGCCTAATTAAATTATCGGGTAAATATTTACCTGGCCAGAATAATATTTAATATTGTCTGAGTTTTTCCAGGCTTACTGGTAAAATAATTGAATGCCAGATCATAGTGTTTGTTGATTCACGTTAATAATTCATTAAAATGCATTATTTGAGTAGTGCCCAAGAAACACCTCCAAGTACTTTAGAATTTGGAGGACCATCTTTCTTTCTCAAAGGAATTATGCCACTTCAGGAAAGGCATAATTTGAGGCAAGTGACAAATACTATGTTGTAGGATTTACATGTGGATTTACCAGAGCTCTTGTATTTTCTACTAATTTTCAGTAGGCCACATTGCAGGTGAGTCATTTTTAAACTGCTGGAGAAGATGGACTGCATTCTAATTTATTGGTATCATTAGTATGAACCAGTGCATTGTGTATGTATCCTTCTAGGGCTTAAGTAGGAATAGTTGAAGACTCAAGTTGAAACAGAAAAATGTTTGAACTGTTTTATCTTATCAAGTCTAAATTATAGTATAGCATGTAAAAGAGCAAAACCAGTATTTGTTTCCTTTGCTAATGTTCTCTATATCCTTGTAGATCTGTTTATTTAAAATACAGTATATTTTAAATTTCTTCCAGCATTTTACATAATACCTTTAATATCTCAACACTCTCAATCCTGTAGCTTCAAGCACAAATGCCAGCCTGATATCCACTTCATCTACAATTGCCAATATTCCAGCAGCAGCAGTTTCCAGCATTTCAAACCAGGTACAGTGCTTTTGTTCATCTAGCTAGCTCTTCCTCTCTTCTTTTTGTGGTCAATTTGCCAATCTAAAAAACAACCAGTATGAGCTGGAGAGACCCTTCTCTAGATGCTCTGAGAACCAGCACCCTGGATGGTTTCTCAGGCTACCTTCCACTTTCTCTTATGTCTCTGTTAAGCCTCTCAGTGATAGGGTTCTTTCTGCTCCCTGTATCTACTGTGTGTATCTCTGCTTCCTACCTCACCCCTTCTAAGAAGTAAGCTCCATGAGGGTAGAGATTTATTTTTCTATTTTGTTCACTTATATATTGCCACAGGTTATAAAAATGCCTGACACTCCTTTTCAAGGCACATAATAAATATTTGTGGAATGAATAAACATTGCTTCCACATTTCTATTTAGCCACTCATTCCTGGTATGGTTTCATTCCTTGTTCTATTAACATTTTATACTTAGATCACTGGTAATGTTTTAGTGCTTTTGTTGTTTTTATTTGTTGTTTCTCTTCAGCAATTAGTATTATCAACCCCTGTATCCATGGATCTTTTTTTCTGGCCACAATTAACATACTACTATTCTGGTTCTTTCTTTTCCTTTTTTTTTTAAATGTTTGTTCTTGCATTTGTTCATTCTTTTAGTCCATAAATATTTATTGAATTCTTACTATGTACCTGGAACTCTTCAGGATACATCTCTCTCTCCCCCTTTTCTTAGCTTTTCTTTTTGATATCGTCTTCTATCATAGACAGTCTCTATTTAGTTTTTCACATGTTTTTCATCCCCAATAATGTTTCACCATATTTACAATATCCATTTACTACCTCTGAAATAAAGAGTCTAGTCCTAACCTTAGGTTATCTACAGGCTTCCTGCTGATTGGTGGACATATTTTCTTTAATGTCCTTCTACTTCCCTAAGTTCACCATATCTAAAACCAACCTTTCATTGTACCCTTTCTTCTGTCCCTTTGTTTTTCAACAGTAAAACTACTTTTCTCTATCACTTCTGAATTCTTACCAATAAGACCATTTTTAAATAAACCTAGATATCCCATTTTTTGCTGTCTGTTCATTTTCTAAAACATTATCTGATTAATTTCCTCTAAATGCCACTTTTTATCCTATACTCACCTGCTCATTATCTTTTTGTATTTTTATTTGTTGCTTTGAATTAGATAATCCCCATTTCCTGCCCCAACATAGGCTAACCACCATTCCCTAAAGTATCCAAATTATACAGAGATCCTTTCAGCCAGACTCAGCATTTCTGGTCCCTTAATAGAACCTTTTCAGAGCCTGTTCGTGTATTTATCTTCTCTGCCCACTTATCTCAGAAAGCTCCCTGACTATCACAATTTTCAGTAGTAGTTGTCTTCCTCTATATTTCACTCATTTGACATACAATTTACTGCCAATTTGTTGAAAATGTTTTTGTGTTAGCTCCTGCTAAAATTTTAACTCCCTTGAATACAGCTAGTATTATTCTTTTCTTTAATATTCTCTTCCCACTTGTGCATAGACACATACACACTTACAGTAGATGCTTATGTACTCTTTATAAATGATCTGATCATTTAGCAACTTCCTACCTATCACCAAGATCAGTATCAATGGAATTTTTTAAGGTGTGTTTTTGACTCATTTTTTAAACAGCTTTATTAAGGTATAAGTGACATACAATAAACTTTACAGATTTAAATTGTACAGTTTGGTAAGTTTTGACATATATGTGCTTGTGAAACCACCAAAACTTCTTTGCAAATGTCTTGTTGTTCTTTTTAATCCTCACCCAAGGATATGTTTATTGATTTTCAGAGAGAGGAGAGAAACATAGATCTGTTGCCTCTCTTATGCACCCCTATTGGGGATTGAACCCACAGCCTAGGTATGTGCTCTGACCAAGAATCAATCCTGCAACCTTTTGGTGTACAGGATGATGCTCCAGCCAGCTGAGCACCCAGCCAGGGCCTCTTTGAATATTTAGAAAAAATACTCAGTTTTTAAATGAGGAAACTTTAATGTGGGATATGTGGTTTTCTTTTTTCTTTTTGTTCTTCTTTTTTTGTTTGTTTGTTTAAGTCCTTCTGTCCTTAGAAGAAGCACAACTATGTAGTGCAATGGTTTATAAACTTTTTATAGAGATATTCCTTCAAGAATTCCATGCTGATATTTATCCAAAAATTCAGTACATGAAATAGAAAGAAAGAAAAAACAGCTGTTGTAGTAGAAAAAGGGACATTGTATGTAGAATGCATGGAACCTTTTCTTCACAGCCTTCTCCTCATCCCAGAAAGCCCCAAGGCATCTCCTCTTGACTCTTAGGTTTCCAACAGAATGCATTTTGAAAATCATGGGTTTAGGTAGAAGATAATAGATAGGCAAATGAGAAATCAAATTAATGTTTTAGGAAAATAATCGTGAATAAGAGGGACATGAAAGTCTCTTGTGTTGAAAGTCTGTTAATGTTTTGCTTTTTCTAAAAGACTTGTTTTTCTCCCTTAATCTCTTTGGTCTATAGGACTATCCCACCTATACTATCCTTGGTCAGAGTCAGTACCAGGCCTGCTACCCTAGCTCTAGCTTTGGAGTCACAGGCCAGACTAACAGTGATGCTGAGAGCACCGCATTAGCAGCAACCACATACCAGACAGAGAAGCCTAGTGTCATGGTACCTGCGCCTGCAGCACAGAGACTTTCCTCTGGTAAGCACCACAGCTCTGAAAACTTTGGCTTAAGTGCACTTCGTCCAACAGGTGATGGCGATGATTATCTTTTTCTGGTCTAAGTTACAGTTACTGTGCTATTGGCTCTCCCTCTCAGAAGTCTTCAGACATTGGAACCAGACTGTAATGAGTCATTGCCAGGTTGAGTGTAAAATACTTGATGCTGTGAACAGAAAAGTACCAAGAATGAAAAGACTTTTTATTGCTCCCACACTACCCTCCCTATGGCTTTAACATGATTGTCCCAGGGAACTTCAGAATCGTGGCACATTTTATAAAAATTGGAGGACTCCAGTTTTAGTCTAAATGTTTTGGACTTCTGCTCAGCTTCAGAGTAGTAGTTCTTAACTTTTTCTATGTCATGGATACCTTTAAGATTCTAAGGAAACCTAAAGAAATTCATGAAATTTAACCTACAAATTTAGATCTGTACATTTAGCTTTGAAATGTATAGATGAATTATGATGTCCAGGTTAAAAAACAAAAACAAACAAACAAAAAACCTGACCTAAAGGTTTTAAGCACACATTCAATAAATACATGCACATTCTTTTTTACTTATCTCTGTTTTTCATGAAAATTTGATGGTTTGCTGTCATGTAACATAACTGGAGGAAGGACTCTTTATTGTTATTACCACTGATGCATTTTCCAGAACAATGCTCTACATCAACTAAAGCAATTTTCTGTGTATCTTGCTTTTTACCACTCTTCTGAGTAATGGACATATAGATGGTAACTTCCAACTTATATAACTTTGAAATAATTACATGTACTGATGCTTTAGTTTTGAAATCATTTCTCTAAATATCTTTGTTCTTCATAGTAATTTTAACTTTTTAAAAATGGAGAATTTCAAGCATAGAAGTTGTCAGAGTAGTATAATGAACACTTAATGTATCCATCATCCATCTTCAATAATTAACAACTCATAGGCAGTCTTTTTTCAACTGTACTTCATCCAATTCCCTCCCCAAATTCCAAGCATCATATTTTAAAAGATAGGTACTCAACATGACCACAATTTCATTATCCCACCTAAAATAATTCAACAATAATTCCTTAATATCATAAAGTAGCAAAAGTTATTCATATTTCCAGTTGTTTCATAAATATTAGGAGTTTTGTTTATCTTTTTACAGTTTGTTTAAATGAGGAACCAAGTAAGGTCCATACATTGTGATTGGTAGATGTGTATTTTGTCTCTTTTAAGCTATAAATTTCCCCATCTCTGTTTTAGTCACTCACATACTTCATTTGTTGAAGGAACTATTGTTTATCCCATACTATTTCCCTGAATTTTGTTTATTCTTTTTTTAAAGATTTTATTTATTTATTTTTAGAGAGGGGGAAGGGAAGGAGAAAGAGAGGGAGAGAAATATCAATGTGTGGTTGGCTCTTGCACGCCCTCTACTGGGCACCTGGCCCACTACCCAGGCATGTACCCTGACTGGGAATCAAACCAATGACCATTTGGTTTGCAGGCTGGCATACAGTCCACTGAGCCACACCAGCCAGGGCTATTATATATTTTTCAAAGTATATTTTATTATATTATTATAGTTGTCCCAATATTTCCCCCTTTGCCCTCCTCTGCCTATTACCCTCCTTCCCTCCAGCAGTGCCCCACCTTAGTTCATGTCCATGGGCCGTGCATATAGGGAGTCCCTATAAAAGGCACCTGTAAATTGTGTGGGGAAGAGCCTTAGGTAATCTACGGGGTGGGCAACCAGCTTCACCACTTTGTGGCTCTGTGTGGAGGGGGGACTCAGAGAGGGGATTATGCTGCTGCCTTCCTTCTGGGGGTTTGCCCAGCACTCACCCCATTTCTAGTTACTTCACCCACTTCCCATATGCAACTGGTGCCCTCCCAGCTGCTGCCCTGGTGTTGAATCCCAGAGTGGGTAGGTTTGTATATGTTTTAAGACTGCAGGCCCTTTAAGTGAAGTTCCCTGAAATCCAGTAGTTCTTCCAGTGCCCAACCCCCACTAGTTTTTACAGCCAGAAGTTATGGGGATTTATCTTCCCAGCACTGGAACCCTGGACTGTGTGGTCTGGCCTGTGCCTGGTATCACTTGCTCCCAAGTATCCCTCCTGATTTTTATCCACCACACATGAATGTGGGACTGCCCATGCCTGTGCCACTGCCTCTCCATGCGACACCATGTCTCCTTGCCTCTCTGCTCCATCTCTGCTTCTCTGCCCCTCCTACCTGTCTGGATGAATGTGGTTTCCTTAAATCCTTGGTTGTCAGACTTCCATACAGTTCAATTTTCTGACAGTCCTGGGTGTTAACTTGTTTTGAGATTTAGTTGTAATTCTTTTTGTAGTTGCATAGGAGGCGAAGCGTGTCTGCCTATGCCTCAATCTTGATGGAAACTCTTGTTTATTATATTCTTATGGAGTAGTTTAACATGTCCTGCTGCCTTTTGTATGTTATTGTAAGTTAGTACATGGACATAGAGCAGTCTTTTTTAGTTAGAGGCAATATTGTGCTGTGTACCCCTCCTTTAACATTTGACAATGTATGAAAACATTTTTGGTTGTCATACTGGGTGGGAGTGCTACTGGCATCCAGAACGTAGAGGTCAAGGATGTTCCTTAACCAGACATCATACAATGTACAGGACAGCACACTCACAACAAAAATGATTTGGCTCAAAATGTTAATTGTGCCAAGTTGAGAAACTCTGATCTAGAGGCTTGATCAGGGTCAGTTTTTGTTTGTTGTTATTGTTTTTTGTTTTTGTAAAATAACTTCATAGATGTGTTCTATGGGAGGCAGGCATCTAAATTCTAGCTATAACTCTCTTAGCAATGTCAGGAACTTTTGATGCTCAGCGCCCACTTCTGCATTCTCAAATTACTTAAGATTACTTTGGTTTTTCATTTTTTATCCCTGCAATATGATTCTGAAGGGCAGAAAACCTGCTGACTCTCTTCCTGCTTTGGTTGTTACAGACTTTGACTACTGGCAATAAATATCTTGCTTTCCCTTTCCAGGAGACCCTTCTACAAGCCCATCATTGTCCCAGACTACACCAAGTAAAGATGCCGATGACCAGTCTAGGAAGAACATGACTGGAAAGAACCGGGGCAAGAGGAAAGCTGATGCCAACTCTTCCCAGGACAGTGAATTAGAAGTATGGGAAGAACCTCATATAAGTTACCACCTTTGTTTTTTTCCTCATTTCTTAAGTTTATCAAACATATCTGAAACTCATAAAATAATATGGTCTGTGTAGTGTACCCTTTAATTCCTGGGCTAGAGCAACTGAGTTGGCCAAGTGAAATGAGAAATGTAAAAACACATTTCTCTATGCCCATAACTTTCCATCTCACTTTAGATGCTTTTACTAAAAGCATCAAAAAAGCCTTTCTGAATGTATGGAACCAGAACTCTTTAAAGGAAAGAATAAGCTGTTCTCTATATTCCAGAGGAGAACAGAAAGAACAATGCATCATATTCAGGAAGAAGAAGGTATCATAAGTAATGTCATACTGTTTGCCATTCAAAAATCTCAAAGTAAAATGAGAATATAAGAGTGAAGTATCATTTCACTTGTCATTTCTTCTTTGATCCTTAGTTATTTAAGATTGTATTATTTAATTTTTAACATATTTGTGAATTTTTCAGTTTTCTCTTATTGATTTCTTGCTTTATTCCATTGTAATTAGAAAAGACGTTCACCCATTATTTTTTATATTTTCCTCCCTCAGCGGGTATTTCTGTGGGACTTGGATGAAACCATCATTATCTTCCACTCCCTTCTTACTGGATCCTACGCCCAGAAGTATGGAAAGGTAATTTGAACATTTCTTCCTTTTTTGTAACTCTCCCTTTCCTGCTATATGGGCAGGCAACCAAAACTACTTTCTCTACTACCTCCATCTTACCTTGTTGGCCTTTTATACTTTCCATGTTAAATTTCGCCTAATGGCTTGTACTAGGCAGGCTACGTAGTCAGACAGAGTTGGTGATAAAGCTAGAGACTAGACCTGGGACAAGTGCTAAAAGCTGAAGTTCTTTGAGAGTGGCATTTTGTATAAATGAAGTATGGAAATGATTCTCGAAACAGAGTGGAGTCTCAGGATTATGTATTTCAAAGACCAATCTGTTATCCCTTACGTCGCTTTTAACAGCCCAAACTGAACATTTCATTTAGCTGAGTAAATGCCAGATAGGTAAATTCAAAATATAGGTAAAATATAAAATATCTTTCTAAAATAGATTACATACCTTCTTAAATATACCAAGCAGAATTTAACTTGTCTAGTCATCAATATAAACATCAGCTTTAGTAGAGGGATGAGCTGTTTTTGAGTTATTACCTGTATATTTCTGTGCTAAATTACCTCAGGCTTTTATTTTTCTGTTTCTATGAATACATTTTATAAAAATATCTTCCTCCTTTGCTCTCTTACTATTCCCAGTTACTACTGTCACTGATGTTTCTATTAGAAGTAATTTCAACAGGCTTTTAATGTATAGACTGGCACACTGATATGCTACATAGCTAGGCTGTTTAAAAAGGTATATAGCATAAGAGCATACAGCCCTGACAGGTGTAGCTCAGTTGATTGGCCTCATCCCACAAAGCGAAGGGTCGCTGTTGGATACCCAGTCAAGGCACATGCCTAGGTTGCAGGTTTGGTCCCTGGTTGGGGCGCGTGTGGGAGGCAACTGATTGATTCTTCTCTCTGACATCAACGTTTCTCTCCCTCTCTTTCTCCCTCCCTTCCCCTCACTCTAATACAAATAAATAAATTATGTATTTATTAATTAAACAGAGTGTACAGTCTCTGTTGTTCATGTTAAAGCTAAATGCATTGGGGGGTGGAAGGAGGCTAAGTACATTGCTTTTCCCACAAATATTTTGACTCTTCATCCTTTGTTTATTTATTTCCTGGTTGTTGAGATTATCGGATAACGGACTTCTGGTGTTACCCTGCGTGTGTGTGTGTTTCTGTGTGTGTAGAGAAGATAATAGGCGTTACAATATCAACATTTTAGCAATAGGTAGAATTTTTCCTGAAACAGGGAATCTCCCCTCACCCAGAAAATTAAGGTTGTTTTTTTTTTAAGTAGGTTTAGTTTTCTAAGAAATAAAGCCCTGAAATTTTTAACTTTTCACAATTCCAGATTATTATAACTGTGAATGAAATTGCATCAGTAATAGTTGGAAGCACTATTGTGGGTCTGTGTTGTTTGGCCTTGGCCCAAAATAATTTTGAAATATTTAAGGATCAGAACAAGTGCTGTGAGTACCAAGTTAGGCAAATTTTTCTCTTTTTGTCTTCCAGGACCCAACAGTAGTGATTGGCTCAGGTTTAACTATGGAAGAAATGATTTTTGAAGTGGCTGATACGCACCTGTTTTTCAATGACTTAGAGGTAAGCATTTTAAATTGTTTCTGTTCTTCAGTGAATCATTTGTTCAGTAACTATTGAACCTATGCTTATTGTATTTAGAGGAAATGTGGTTAGGGCGGGTACAGAGAGGCTGGCTGGCCAAGCAGATCTATATAGTCTTGCAGGAATAATGCCTTGGTTAGGCCACCACAGTTTTGATTCTGGCTCTCAATTTTATTGGCCCAAAAATTTGATTTTTGTTCTGGAAGCAATCTTGTTCTAGAGGAAATCTCAACCCATTAGGCAAAACACTTGATACATAAACCAACAATCCAATTTATTCATGTATATTAAATAATATATAAGGTGGGTTTGATTATTTGTGCTTTAAGTATATTTGACTGTTCTTTGATTTTACCTCCTTAAAAGAGTCTCTGGATTTGTCAGATCTATAAATGACTGCTGTGACTCATTATATTTTATACATGCTGATTTTCCATGTATAGGTTAACCTTGATACCCAGAATCATTTTATAGTTAGATGCAAGGAAAACCAGGAAATGCTGAGCTTCTTGGGGGATTTTTGGCTTTGATATTCGAGTTCACCTTTGAGGTAAACATGGTTTAGTGGAAAGAACACAGAACTGGGAATCAGAAGACCAGAGTGTGAATCCCAGGTTAGGAAAGTTATTGTCCCATTTTTGGGCGTCAGTTAAGTAGTTACTCTACACAAGAAACTAGTAACAGTTGTTCTGTCTCAGGAGGGGAATGTGTTGTTGGGACATAGAAATAGGAAGGAGCAGATGTGTCACTTCATGTCCTTTTGAACTTCAAACTGTGTACCACATATATTACCTAGTTTTAAAAATAGTGAAAATTTTTAAATAAAATAAGATAGCATTTTATAAATACGAAATAACTCTGTTCCTCTTAAAATACAACCTAGTTCTACTTAACGGACAATTCTCCAACAAATTAAATTAATAGAGCTCTAAACTCCTGTACTCTTGTTAAGCTCCACAGTGCTTTAATATCTTTCCTCAACTTCACATGTTGATAAGTTAGGACATCAGAGTTTTTATTCAGCAAACATTTATTGAAAACCTACTACATGCCAATAATTATTGCCAAATTGTATTTGTAATGATTTTCTAGACATAGTCCTCACTCAGGACTGAAAGTTCTGTGAAGAATTTGACCTGAATGTGTTCCTGCCCCCCAGGTCAGTGGTTCTCAACTTTAGGGGGCATAAGAATCACCTGGGGATCTTGTTAAATAAAAATGAAGATTCTAGGACTTCACTCCCAGAAATTCTGATTCAAGTAGGTCTGGGGTGAACCCAAGAATACATACCTTTTAAAAACTTCCCCAGAGGATTCTGATGCATGTGGACATGATGACACTGTCGTAGGTGGTATCTGAGGAGTGTGTCTGAGAGTTAGGCAGTGGGTGGCATTTTATGTCAGGAGTAATGTGACCTTGGTGGAAAGAACCTTGGATTTGAATAAGACCCAGGCTCTTTCTAGTTTTTTTCTACCACTCGGGTAAATCATCTCACCTCATTTTTATAACATGAGGAGATTGACTTAGACAACCTCTCTGAGTACCAAGCTTGAATTTATAAATTTCTGTTTCAGTCACTCTCAGTTTTCATACCACACTCTACCGTCTGTTTTGTCTGCAAGAATATATTGGGTATATGCTACATAAGGTCACTGGACTAGACTAGAGGGGTACAAAGGAGAAGTAAGATAGGGGTCGTGCCATAAGAGGCGTTAAGTGTAGTAGAACTTTCAGTCTATACGATAGATCATGGACACACCTCACAGCATAAGGGAGCTTGTACTCATACTCATGAGCTGTTGGAAAAATGAACTATTGAGATAAGAGCATAAATGAGGGTGGGGTAGTCAAGGAAGATTTCAGGGAGACTGTGGTATATGAATTAGGCTTTAAAAGAAGGTGGGCAGCAAGGGGAGTAAGAGTGATCCTCCACCTGTAAGAGAAGCCATAAGGTATTTCGTCATCCCATTGTTTTTGCAATATGTCGTGGTGGTAATAGCACTTTTACTCACTGGACTGAAGTAGTATATGGTTTTGTCTTTTAACAGGAGTGTGACCAGGTGCATGTGGAAGATGTGGCTTCTGATGACAATGGCCAAGACTTAAGGTGATAAAAACAATGATGCTATAAACATCAGTGCATGTGTTATGAACAAAACACTGTCTAGGTTTAGAGTAAAAGACGATAAGACACAGCCTTAAAAGAGTTCACAATCTGTTAGAGGAGACAGACATAGTTAACAATGCCACACAGTGAAGTGAAAATAGAAAATGTGACAGAGCACAGAAAAGAAAACAGTTCTGATGGGTGTTGGGGAGGAGATGGTTGCCAACATTAGAGTGGCCTTTTCTGTGCAATAGAATTTGGGTGTGACCTTGAAGAATGGGTAGCAGTGATGGGATAAGGAAAAAGCATTCCAAAGTAAAGAATATACTGGTTTCCCTCTGGCCACATTTTTAGTCAGAATTGTGCTTTCACACTGGTTATATTTTTTAAAAGATTTTATTTATTTACTATTTTAGAGAGAGAGGAATGGGAGGGAGAAAGAGAAAGAGAAACATCAATGTACAAGAGCCAACCAGAAGACCTGGCCCACAATCCAGGCCAGGCACGTGCCCTGACTGGGAATCAAACCTGCCACAACCTTTTGGTTTGTGGGGCAATGCCCAGCCCACTGTTCTTATGAGATATTACTGTAGCTAACCAGTAATTGCCTACTATATGTCTTGGCAGCTTTATTTTCTTAAATATAGAATATCACACAACTTAATTGAACTATGTTTTGACTTTTGATTAAACTAACTTATTTATAATTCTGTCAGTCATTTTAAAATCTTTATTTAGGAAGTATTAGTCCCTCCCAGGCTGTTTAACTGTATAGGCATATCTCATTTTATTGTGCTTCATATTCTTGTGCTTCACAGATGTTACATTTTTTACAAATAGAAGTCAGAAATCTTGACCAATCTTGTTTTATTGCAATATTTGCTTTTATTGGGGTGGTGTGGAACCAAACCCATATCTCCGAGGTATGCCTATATTAGTTATTTATTGTTGTATAACAAATTATCCCAAAAATTAGTAGCATAAAATAATAAACATTGATCATTTTGTAGTTTCTGTAAGTCAGAAACTTGAAAGTGACTTAGCTAGGTAGTCCTGAATCTGGGTCTCTAAGATTGAAATCAAGCTACTGGCCAGAGCTAAAAATCATCTAAAGGTTTGTTTGGAGTTGGAGCATCTGCTTTCAGCCTCTCACCGGTGGTTGGTAACAAGAGGCCTCAGTTCCTCACTGTGTGCCTCTGCATGGGTCAGCTCCAGTGTTTTCATGTGACAGCTGGCTTCTTTCAGAATAAATTCTCCGAGAGAGCAAGAGAAGCCTAGTCTTTGAAGTCTAACACCATCACTTTCACCACATTCTTTTTGCATTCAAACACAGTACATACCAAAGGGAGAAGAACTAGAAGAGAGTATTAAAGAATTTGTGCATGTTTTAAAGCCACCAGTCTGAACCATGAACTTAATAAACTAGCCAACAGATCACACAGAGAGAATATCCCCATTATCTTACTCTTATTAATATTTGTGGTTATTTACTTCCATTATTTTTTAACTTTTTTTATATAATTGTTATCATTTGGTATGTGCATACACAAAAAAAATTATATTCTGTTTTGGGGGGGTAGTTTCACTGTAAGATACTGTCATTAATGAAAGGATGCTGTATTGTAAGCCAGCCTCTATGGGATGCTGGTGCTTGAATTGTTCCTGTCTCTCTAGCCCTACTATTTATCCTTTCTTCGACATGCTAATAGGGGTGAGATAGAGGACTAGTGAAAGATAGGTTCTGCCATTAGCCTTGGTGTTAGAGGACAGGAACAGGGCAGAGAATCCTAGGCGTCACTCATCCAAAAACCCCGTGAGGTATAGATTTTAATTTTCATTATCCTCTCTCTCTGCAGCAACTACAGTTTCTCAACAGATGGTTTCAGTGGCTCAGGAGGCAGTGGCAGCCATGGCTCCTCTGTGGGCGTACAGGGAGGTGTGGATTGGATGAGAAAACTGGCTTTCCGTTACCGAAAAGTGAGAGAAATCTATGATAAGCATAAAAGCAACGTGGGCGGTAAGTGTGGCATGCAGCCAGTCTGATTTTGTTTCCTGCTTATTTCCTGCTTTCTTTTCCAGGGATTTCTTAGAACTCCCAGCAACTGCTTATGAATTTGTGCCATAATAACATTTTTAATTCTGTATTTAAAAACATGAAGGTTTGAATGAAACCCTTTGTGGAGGAGCTCTGCATTTCTCATGGACTTCTTTTAGCATAACTGCAAAGTTCTCTTGTTCTTTTTAGACAAAGTCCTATTTAAAAGAAATGTGTTTCATTGATTATATTTGATGACGTGTGTTTTATTCTGGAATCAAAACTACTGTCAATACTAGTTAATAGGTTGCTGCCCTTTTTTTTTTTTTTACAGATGTATCAGGACAAGTCACATAGAACTAGTGACTAAGTGTATAGTAGATGGAAAACTAGGTCCAGGAGTATAGGTTGGCGGTATCCATGTGTTATGATTTGAAGGACCTTGGGAATTCTTCCTACCTAGAAATATCTTATATGTCAGGTGCTACCAGACCTAAAATTAATTGCTAATTAATTAATTAGCAATAGATTGTCTAAATTAGAAGAGATGTTAGATATCTAAATTCCTTATTTTGCATTTGAGAGAATAGATGTCCATTGTGAAAGTAACAAGGGCAGTTATCGTAGCAAGTTAATGACCTATCACAGCTGGAATTCACATCCCTTAACTCTTGTTCTACTTTACATTTATGTAGTTCTTTTTTTAGTATCATACCCTTATGAGAAAATATTTAAAACTGAACGATCACCCTTGAACTTCTACATACACACAAAATGTTGCATGAAGTTTCAGGGATTCCAGAGACTGCCAGAAACTGCCTAGAGATAATATTACCCCAGGTCAAGAGAACCTTCCTGCCATACCACGCTACCACTTTCTGTGGTACAGGAAGTAAAAATAGGGCTTTGAAGGTCAGTTTGGTTCATTTCTTTTATACCCCTCCAATACCAGGTAAAAATCACAGGCATCTGGGTTTTGGGAATCTAATTTAAGTGTCTGATTCTTTCTCTGCCTACTGAGTGCCTAGACCTAGTTTCCTGAAGAAAGTAATATAACCCTCTGTGAGAATCCCCTGAGCCTAAAGTAATGTCCACCTCTATTTTGTAAAAATTTTGAATTATAAAGGTGCCACATCATGTTATTCGTTAAGCATATGATGTATATATACTTAATGTGTTTATCATACATGACACAGAGGTATTGGTTTTGTTTTATTAGAAACATTGAGAGTCATCTAATTCTAGGCTTGCATTATGAAACTATCAGTGTGCAAATAAATTATACACAGTTCTAGTCCTCATAGAAATGTCTTCTGTTTTTATGGAATGTTAGTAATAGACTTCGGGATTTCTCATTTTACCTTCACTATAGAAAATTCAGGGCCAGATTTATTATTTGAATGTTATAACTCAAGTGTCTGATAAAATGCTCTCAGATAAATTGTTTCATTATGCTCAATTGTCTGATCTGAAACTGTGTTTTAGCCTATTATCAGCTGGAGTTGTTTCAGAAGTAAATACTGTACAAATAAATGACATTCAGAGAGTTGGCCATTTAACCTGGAATCTCAGGTGGACGTGTTCTGAAAGGGGTAAAAGTACAGTCACCATGGGAGCAGGGTATGGTAATGGAAAGACTCAGACCAAAAGCCACTACATTTCTGTGTAATCTTAGCACTCCTTTCCAGCCTGGGTTCTGGTTTCTTTAGAGAGAGATTAGAAATGCTGCAGACTCGTACAGCTATAACACATTTTTCTGCTTTGGTTCTTGAGGTGATTCCTAAATCAGTGCTACTCAAGGCATGATCCACCATTCTGCAGGTTCTCCTCTTGATTTGTGATGAAAGACCTTGTGTCAGAATCTAATCACAGTGCTCTCATTAGCTGATTTTGTTGTTGTGCCCTCTAGCAAAAACATTCTGACGAAGGAAGTCAAAAAGGCATTTTGAGTAGGCTACTCTAAAGTTTTACTAAGAAGAGAAATATATTAGCTCAGTAGAATATTTCAGTGGCACACTATTTCTAAATTGAATTTAGAAGTTTTTTCCTCAGTGTCGGCAAGGATATGTTGTCATATGATAAATGTGTCTGTTTTTATTCCCAAAGGCCTTCTCAGTCCCCAGAGAAAGGAAGCACTGCAGAGACTACGAGCAGAGATCGAAGTTTTAACAGATTCCTGGTTAGGAACTGCATTAAAGTCCTTACTTCTCATCCAGTCCAGGTATGAAAATAGTTCTTTTAGGTCTCTCATCCTCTCAGAGACACACACTTTCCTATGCTAGTCCAGGACAGGCCGCTCCTACAAAAGGATTTGGGGTAGGGGTGAGCGTTTAAATGAAGCAAGGAAGTATTTAGGTTAGGAGGCAGGCAAGGTCATTTAACACTAACCACACACCTTAGAGCTTTAAGAGAATATATATGAAAGCCTTTTTTTATCCCCTTACTTTTTGCTCACAAAATTAAAACTCAATAACACTCATTCTTCAGCCCATGAGATGGGCCTGGTGACATCAAAGAATACATATAGGAGACATAGCTCAAATATCCTGAGGACAGGAAGCTCAAAAGAAATGTACCAGAATCAACTCAGGAAGACAGAATTGAAAAGAAAAGGGTACATTAAGCAGATTAGGAGATTTCAGCTTGAAGGTTATAATGGAAAATAAATAGTCATATTTGGTACCAATATCCCTTACTGCTTCCGTCCTCGAAGTAGAAATACCAGATCTATAACCTAATAGAGCAAATAGTAAAAGTGACACCAAGGTTATTTGGTGAATTTTATAAAGAACATGTGAAATTAATATGTATTCTGGAATTTATATTGCTGTTACGTGAAGAGCGGAGAGGACTTAAATCACATCTCATTTAAGGGCTGAGTTGCATTCAGATGAAATGGCTCTGTAACTGAAAGTCTTTGTCATTTGTTTTCTGGAGAGTGGTATCAGTGACGTGGGTTGGTGGTAATTGCTAACAAGTGCAGTAAGATGGAATGGTCAGAGGGAAATGAGGCAAGAAGCAAGTGTCTTCTCTGTGCTCACTATAGAATCTCTGCCCTTTATGTGGAAAGTAGATAAACCTGAAATAGTTAGAACAATAACTGAGCATTGTCATTGAACAAATATACCATGCATGCCCTTTAAGGTTAGTTTTTAATAATTAGATCCTAAAGAGAAGATCATTTGAATGCTTGCTCCTGGGTTGCTTTGGTTTCATCTTTCTCTCTTCTTTTACTTCCTTTCTCACTTCTAGAAAGAATTGTGTGAATGTTCTGATCACTACAACCCAGCTGGTTCCAGCTCTGGCCAAGGTTCTCCTATATGGGCTTGGAGAAATATTTCCTATTGAAAACATCTATAGTGCTACCAAAATTGGTATGGTTTCTGCACTGTTGTCACTGGTCTTACTATAATATTTCCTATTTGTGATGCACTTACTATTTACCATTCTCTCTGTTAGACACTATGTATATCTGTAGCCCTCACAGAAGTCTTCTGGTAATGCTGATGAAGCAGGTCAGGCAGGCTTAACAGTTATATAGCTTGCACAAGACTTCATAGATAGCAAGTTACATAAACAGAATTCAATTCCAGATCTGTGGGACTTAAAACTTACTATGCTCTTTTCCTTTATAATATTTGAAAGAGCATAGTATCTAATTTAGAAGTCTACTTTTGCCTCATTTCAGATTTCTTTTTCACAGAAAGAGCACTGCAGTATAGTATAATAGAAAAGTCACTAGGTTAAAAATCAAGGATTAAGCTGTATATTTAAAATGGTTAAATCCCTCACATCTGTTAGGATGGCTGCTATCAAAAAACAGAAAAATATCAAGCATTGGTGAAAGATGTGAAGAAATTGGAACCCTTGTGCACTTTAGTCAGAGTGTAAAATGATGCTATTGCTATGGAAAACAGTATGGCAGTTCCTCAAAAAATTAAAAATGGAACTACCATATGATCCAGCAATCCCACTTCTGGGTGTACATCCAAAAGAATTAAAAGCAAGATCTCAAATATCTGCACACCATGTTCATAACAGCATTATTCACAATAGCCAAGAGGTGGAAGTAACTCAAATGCCCACCAAATGAAAGGATAAATAAAATGTATGTACATACAGTGGGATACTATTCAGCTTTAAAGGGGAAGGAAATCTTGTCACAGGTTACCATTGACAGACATTATACTAAAGTAAATCACAAAAATACAAGTACTGTATGTTTTCATTTATATAAGGTACCAAGAGTAGTCAAATTCATAAAACCAAAGTAGAATGCTGGTAAACAGGGTTTAGGAGAAGGGAAAATAGGGAGCTCTTTAATGGGTATAGAATTTCAATTTTATAAAATGAAAAAGTTCTGGAGGTGTGTCGCACAACAATGTGAGTACACTTAATGTTACTGAAATGTACATTTGAAAATGGTTAAGATGGTAAATTTTAGGTTGTGTGTTCTTTTACTGCAATTTTTTGAAAAGGCAAAAAAATAATAAGGACTTGCTTCCCCACTTACTAGGACTTTCCTTAGGCAAATTACTTTATCTCCATATTCTCAGTTTTCTTATGTAAAATGAGAAACTAACAGAGATGGGTTTTGAAAATCAAATGAGACTATATTTATGAAGGTATTTTTTAACCTCTAAAAATGTATTCAGTACCAGATACAGCCATACCTTGTTTTACTGCATTTCACAGATGTTACTTTTTTTACAAATAGAAGGCAAGACCCTTCACCAGCAAAAGGATTACAGCTTGCTTTATTACTATACTTGCTTTAATATGGTGGTCTGGGACTGAACCTGCAGTATCTCCAAGGTATACCTGTATATGAAATAGTAGGTACTCAGTAAATATTTGCTGAAGTAATTAATTGTCACCAAATTAATACAAAACTAGCTTGTTTCACTGAGAAGGCAGCAGAATGCCTCTCTCTGATCATTATGTGTGAGAAAGAGGATTATGACAACCATCTTCTTACCCCTCCAGACCCTTTAGTCTATACTTAGAGTTCATACTTCTTATTGTAGCAAGGGAGGGAAGGACCTGGAGATGAAAGATGAGCTGTGATCATTTATTTTTTAATCTACTACTTGCCTATTGATCAGATTTTTCCACCAAAACTAAACCAGGTTTAATTATTTTAATACACCATATCTGTGGAGGTTATAAACCCACCAATTGATACTTATTTTTTTCCATTCTTTCACCAGATATTTATTGATCGCCTTTTTTATGTGCAAGGCATTTTTTTTAGATAGGGATACAACAGTAATTTAAAAAGACAAAAGTCCTTGCGCCTAGCGGAAGGAAAGAGTCAATAGAGATGCAAGTAGAACAAACTATATCAGATGGTGATAAGTGGTATGGATAAACAGGGAGAGAAGATCTTGTTTTTAAAAAGATACTTAAGGAAGGTCTCAATGAAAAGTTACCTTTTAAGCAAAGACCTAAAGGAGGGGAGGGCATTTGCCATTAGCCTATGTCTGGGGAAAGAACATGCCATGGAGCGGGACCAGCAAGTGGAAGAGGTTGGAGGCATGTTCAAGGAAGAAGAATGTTGGGAGATAAAGTCACAGAAGTTAAATGGGAAAGTGGGAGGATCCAGCAGGGCCTACAGATTATTTTAAAGACTTTGGCTTTTATTCTGATGAAATGCTATTTTAAAGTTTTGAGCAGAAGAGTGACATGATCTGACAAGTTAAAGTTATCAGTCTGGCTGCTATGTAGCATCTTGAGGAGGGAACTGGAAGTCAAGTGAGGAGGTTATTGTAATAATCCAGCATGAGATCATGGGTGGCATGAACCAAGGTAGTAGCAATGGACGCTGAGAAGTAGTCAGTTACTGGATATATTTTGAAGGCAGGGCTGACAGCGTTTGCTGATAGTCTGGATGTGAGGTGTGAAAGAAAAAGGAGTTATGGATGACTCCAAGAATTTTGGCCTAAGCCACTGAAAGGATGAAGATGTAATTTACTGAGATGGAGAAAGCTCAGGTACAAAGATTAAGAGTTTAGTTTTGGACGATAAGTTTGTAATAATTATTAGACTTTCAAGTGAAGATGTCCAGTAGGCAATTGGATATCTGATTCTGGAAGTCAAAGGAGAGCTACTGGCTGGAGATACATGATTGGGGGTTCTTTGTGTACCTATGATTATTTAAGACTGGGTGAGGTCAGAGTGAATGCAGATGGAGAATAGAGGTGTAAGAACTCAGCCTTGGGGCTCTCTGATAATTAAATGTTTGGATCTTGAGGTGTGTCAAGCCTGAGAAAAAGTCTTGTAAGAGTTTATTTGAGCCAAACTAACCAACAGCTGCCAGGAAGCAAAACCTCAGTGGATTGAGAGAATGGCAGTTTTGCAGCTTATTTTATGTATTAAAATCAAAGGAGAAGATTTAAGGGGATTACAGGAAATTCAGTGGTCTTAGAGTACAGAGGCTGGGGAAAGCAAGCAGGGAAATATCTGAGATTAGATAAAAAGCAAAATGGAGAAACACATACTTCTTTTACATTGGTGGGTACAGGATAGTTAACATTTACAGAACATAGAGACAGTATGTGGACAAAATAACAGTGTGGTCTGGTGTTTTGGTGCTGGTGAACGTGCCTTTGAGCGGTCTGGAAAAAGTGATGAGTCTGACATTTTAGAGGTACGTTATCTTCTTAGATGCACAAAGACAGTAGACAATTTCAAAGATAAAGATTGGCCTTTGTCAAGGAAGCTGCAGACCTAAGACAAGACTACTCACCGTGACCCACTTTTAGTTAGGCTGTACCAAGCAGGACTTCTAAGTATGGGTATATAAGTGCCTGTCAATTGTGATATGGTCATCTTAGATTTGTGAATTTGTGTGTTTATTACAACAGTTTTCCAGCAGATGGCAGTCAAGTGCCTTGAGGAAGAGTTACCTTTTTTTATTCACTCAGGAACACTGGATTTGACAAGAGGAAAGGATGGGGTTATTGGACCTGAGTGAAAAAGGAAGCAGAATTAGGACCTTGCTTAACTGAAGAAGGTGGCAGAAGCAGGGAAATACAGTATAAGAGATGGTGAAGGAAAAGCAATGGAAATAATTTCCTTTGTATTTATTTCTGCACATAAAATATAGTATCATCTGTGCATGTTTTAGATGTAGGTTCCAGATGGGATTTGAATTTTGATATGTTGCCATATATCTAAAAACAGTTTGCAGTGGAGTTAAATCACCTACTTCCTAAGGTCAAGTTCAGTGATATAGTATCTCAGTTGCAGTTACAAAGTATGAAAGTGAGGAAATTCCAGATATGACAAATGTGGCTGCCATACTCATTGGTACTCTGGGGCTCCTCCCGCACTGAAAGACATAAGGCCTATGCCTAGGACTGTTTCTGGGAAGTGAAGAATTGGAAGGAGAATGACTATTTGTCTATTTCCTATTACTAACAAGAAATCAGGGTCTTACACTCCCACTTCCTCTTTCCTACACTACAACAGTTTCCTCTCAGGAATATCCTTTCATCATGGCACAATGTCCTAGACTTGGAGTCAGAAAGCCAAAGTCTAGGTATAAGCTTATTTGAATCTAGAGTAAGTCACTAGTCCCATTTCGTCTGTTGAAATAGGAAATGAGCCCGGACTGGTGTGGCTCCGTGGATTGAGCGCCAGTCTGCAAACTAAAGGGTCACCGGTTCCATTCCCAGCCAGGGATCATGCCTGGGTTGTGGGCCAAGTCCCCAGTAGGGGGCACTTGAGAGAAAACCACACATTGATGTTTCCCTCCCTTCCCTTCTCTAAAAGTAAATAAAATATTTTTTTAAAAAAATAGATGATACCTATCTCATAAGAGTAACTTGAAAACTGCCTTGTAAACTGTAAAATACAGGAGATGTGGAAGAGGGAAGTGGTATGCACAGTTCTCACACAGCCTCAGTCACTTAGCCTCCCAATTATAGATCCAAAGGGCCTGGTGGATCTCTAGCTGCCACCACTACTCCCCACGAAGCAAACTACAGAGGCTGCCACTTATTTTATCTAAGCACAGGCAGGTAAACCTAGAAGCATCCCTTTGCTTTGGTGTCGGGAAAAAGGTAGGGTGGAATGTCCTAATAGGAGATTGCTTTCTCTCATCAGGTAAAGAGAGTTGCTTTGAGAGAATTGTGTCAAGGTTTGGAAAGAAAGTCACATATGTCGTGATTGGAGATGGACGAGATGAAGAAATTGCAGCCAAACAGGTAACTATGGTAAAGAAACTAGTCTGTGTGGGAATGCATTGAACAATTAGAAAAATGGTGAAGCCCCAGAATATTAGCAGTCTGTCGTGCATTTACAGTGCTGTTTCCCTTTTCCCTTCCCTCTCCCATTTTTAAGAAAGAGGATCATTTTTTTCCCCCAAGTGGTTTTTTCTGTAAGTTGTTAGATTCTCTCCTTTCACCTCCTTGCAGCCACTCAGAAATCTTAAACTCTTTGAACCCTGCTATTGGACCACCATCATTAAACCTGATGTGGCCCTGTCTTCCATCTTCATTGTAGAGGGCAGTGCCTTTTTTAAAAAATAATCATTTAATTTTATTTTTGAGTTAGATATAACTCTGTCATCTGTGAAAATTCTCATATCTCCACACTTGAAGACAGAATTTTTCTAACTTGTTTTAAAGTCATCACTTTAAAATGAAGCACTTCATTGGGATTCAAACACTTCTTTAAAATTTGAAAATACAGTACCTTTCAGTTGTCAAAAACAGTTAACCGACAGTAGAAAAGGTAGAAATTTACTAATTTTCTTTTTTTAATATTTTATTTATTTTTACAGAGAGGGGAAGGGAGGGAGAAAGAAAGGGAGAGAAACATTAGTGTGTGTTTGCCTCTCACATGTGCCCTACGGGGACCTGGCCCACAACCCAGGTGTGTGCCTTCACTAGGAATCAAACCGGCGACTTTGGGTTCACAGGCCAGCACTCAATCCACTGAGCCACACCAGCCAGGGCTACTAACTAATTTTCAATAAAAAACTTTTGAACAATGAAAAGTGAGTATTGGATCTACAGATCTCTGAGAGTTATCTTTTTTCTTTTCTTTTTTTTAAATAATCAAGTATCAAGATAAGCTGAACTTAGAACTCAACTTTTGGTTTGTTGTATCAAAAAGTAATAACCCGAGTTTTTCTTAAATAATAATGCATAGTCACTTAGCACTCCCCCCCAAAATTAATAGTAATAGCAAAAAGGATTTTGTACCATTAATAAAATAAAATTACTTTTTAATATTTTTATATAAAATATTTGCCTGTATTTTATAATATACAATAATGTATAAATATGTAATAATTAGGTATTCCCTTGACTATATTACTCAATCTCTCTGGATTCCTGTGTTTTCATCTGTAAAATGAATGGTTTTGATTATAAAATCTGCTCAATTTGCTTGAAAATTCTTCAATTTTGTAAATCTATGCCTAGACATGCTTTTTGTGCCCTGTATGTCTACATTTTTAAAATGATACTATCATCATGTTTCTTTCAAATGTTTAAAACGTGTAAAACTTCTATTTTCTTGTAATTCAGACAGTTCATGGCCTCCTGCCTGATGCCAGTACCAAAGTTAATTAAGTATCCCTTGAGGAAAAAAATACAGTTTTCTTTCATGCTGGAGGCAAGGAGACCAGTTAGATAGCACCACTGTAAGGGAGGAATGAGAGAAAGGATTTACCTAAGACAGCAGGGGAGTGGTCAGGAACTGACATGAGGAATGACAGAGGAATTTATTATGAAGAAAGAAATCACAGAGTCTGCTGGGAGCTAAAGATAATTTAGAAGATTCTAGCTTTGGAGATTAGGATAAGGGTGATATTATGGGCAGATATATGAACATATTAAAAAGATGCCAGTTTGTGATAGGAGAATCTTGAGCTCAGTTGCAAAAGTTGAATTTGAAGTAATTTTGATACAGGTATTCAGATATTTTTTTCTACTTTATTTAAAAATAAATCACAGATTGGGGAAAAATTGATTAAAAAGGTAAAGATCAGGTTCAAATCAATAGGAAGAAAAACACCTATCCAATAGAAAAATGGGCAAACACAATGGCCAGGAATTCACCAAAAAAGAAAATACCCAAATGACGAATAACATGAAAAATGCTCAACCTCATAAACAATTTAAGAAATGTGAAATTAAAATAATAACTTGTAGGTGATCGGGATAGGCTTAGGCATAATTATATTGCTTCTTTGGAGAAGTAGTCTTTCTCTCTTATAGAAATAGACTTGAATCTCCTTAGAATGTATTTTGAAGCTGTGACTTTGTGGTCTGGCTTATAGAAATGAGAACCTGAGAGGGAGAAGGAGGCAGGAAGCTGGTTGGAGCACAGTAGGTAGATAATGACACTGAAAGGTGGGCCAGGAGTGTGCTGAGAATTGGAGGAAGTAATGACTGCAACAAATGAAAAAGATAATCTTTTGCAAACTGAAATGACATAACTCATTTCTGAAGGTGAAGAAAAAGTAAAATATATCCCCCAAATCCAGTTAGCATTCATTAACATAGTAATCCCAACATTACTGATAGAAGAAGTTGAGAAAGCACCAGCTACATATTGAAAAGCACCACAGGCACAGCATCTTAGGTCTATCAGTATATAATTTAAAGCCTGTCATATACATTCTAATATCCGATAAATGGAATCTTGTTTGAAAATCTTAGAGGAGTCCTAGGAATTCAGAAGAAAATGATAGATACTCTTACCAAAAAAAATCAGGAGAAACAGCAGATTTGTCTAATTCCATTTGAAATCTATAGAAGAAATTAAGGAATGAAACAATATTGAAACTTCATTTCACCAGCTTTGTGACTCTTTGTGGTATATTTTATAACAAGTCTTAACCTTCACCATAGCAGTGCAGTTAATTTTCTAGTCCCCTTCTGTGTATACTGCTGATTATAAGTCTTTAGCATCCACCCGCTATTCAAGCTGAATGAAGCTTAGAATCCAAGAAATGGCTTCTCATTTTGCAAGCTGAAATTTTTAAAGCCATATTTCCATGCTATGTAGAGTGGGATTTCAGGGCCTGAAGCTCTCATTTGTATATGCTTTGGAAAGGAAAAAAACAGTTCTAAGGAGACTCTGAACTTGACCTTCAGTGTACTCCCTTGGATCATCTGTCTACCTGGAGAGTCAGTGGCTTTCTCAGAAGCACTTTTTCTGTTAGGCTGCTCAGTTTTTCCTGAGGAGGACATCAGACTTCTGAGTTGTCTGATAACACACATTGAGTGTATATTTAAATGAACAGGCCAAAAAATCTATAGTTCAGAGTAATACTGACTCATAAAATATTAACTCATTGTTACTGAGATGTTATCAGTGTCTCAGCTGAGAGAAGTAATGTTTTGGGAAGACTGACCAGAGAATTTATGATCTGTAGAGGATGCTGTGGTGTGCACCCAGACCCTCTCCCAGAATTGCCCTCCGCAGAAGCTGCCTTACCTAAGGCTACATCACCTTCCCAGAGACAGCTTGCTTCTAGTCAGTGATGGGGTAGGGTGGGGGCACAGCTCTAGTCTCTTTCTCTCAACTCTGAGGGGTGATCTCGCTCCTGAGCTCTCTCTGGGGTGGGTCAGCACCTCTCAAGCAGCTATATCACAGTTGCCCTTCAGGCAGTGCCTTCTGAAGAGCTTGAGACTTGGCTACAAAAAGGCAAATAATTCTGACTTTTCCAGGCCTCAGATTTTCAAAAACCACTACAATCAATGGGGCATTGTTTGGACAAAGTCCTTCCTGCTTCTGAGCTCTGGGAAGATTGTTCTGATGTTAACCCTTCATCTTCAGTTGTCCCTTCTAAACACAGGAAACAGATCGAAGAGCCTTGGCTATGGAATCTAAAAATCACACAAATCCAAATCTGAATCATTAATTGACTGTGTGAAGTTGGACAATTTACTTAGCCTCTTTGAGTTTCCTTATCTGCTAGATGGATCTACAGACGAAGTTCTTTCCCTTCTACCCATTTTCTTCCAGCAACTGTATTTCTTAAACTTGGAGGCAGTGGGTTGTCAACTTGTCAACTAGGACTGCTGTCCTAATTTTCTTCATTCAGTGACATACAAACCATGAGCAACAATTAATGAACTGTGAGATTGGTGGTGATTTGGTTGGCATTATTAACTCATTGTGTTTTCATTTGCCACTTTATGTAGCAATTCAAAGACCTTTATTATTTTCCCACATGTTTGTGTTATTTTGGAGTTTTGATTCTAAAGTTCTTCTTGCCCTCTGGGAAAGATACTAGTAGATGTAGGTATCCGTGTTTCTTTGTCTGAAGAAGGGAGAAGGGAGATAAAGAACAACTCAAGTCATCAGCAGAATAGGTGTCTCTGAGGTGATGCCTATAATCATCTACCGTAGAATACACCTGTTGGAAAATGCCTTCAAGCCTTTGTGCAGTTCAGCCTCCACCCTGTAAGGGATCCTTTCTGCAGCCTCTTTAACAGACTTTCTAGTCCTTGTTTGAACATACCTAAACATAAAGGAGGCTGCTTCCCAGGTATCCTGTCCCACTGTGGGGTTGTCCTCACTGTTAGGATGTTCTGCCTTCCACTGAACTTAAGTTTCTCTCTCTGCCTTTCACCTCTTGGTCCTAGTCTGGCACTCCTGAGCACAACATAACAAGTCTGCTTCCTCTTACATCCAAAAACCTTTTAAATATGTGTGAACACCAAGCTACATGAAAACTGAGTTACATGCCAAAAGAACTGTTCTAGGACTTCAAAATTTTGGGTAATTTGTAACTAGTTTGAACAAGACAATCACTAAAGCGAATCTCCTTCAGCTTCATAAAACATGGTTTCTAACGCTTATATTTGTCAAAGCCCTCTTTCAGAATAGCACACAGTGTTCTGGACATAATTCTGGCTGTATTATATAATGGGATTATTATTTCCCAGATCTGTATGTTCCAAATCTTGGTCATGGACAAGATTTGGGCCATCATTAAAAAAAATGTACTATTAATACTAATTTCTTATGTGGCTATTCTATTTGATCCTGAAGACCCTATAAAGTAGCTGGAATAAGTATATCTCTCATAAAAGCAGAGTTACCACTGAAACCTAGTAGCAATCTCTCGCATTTGTGGGTCCTATAGTGTACAAAGTCCTTATACATATGCCTTATTGATCCTTTTGACAACCCCATGAGGTGGGCAGCAGCAGAGAGGTTTACCAAGTACCTTGGGGAGAGATCTGTAGAGAAAGGGGTTTGGGTACATATGACTTCCCAAAAGAAGTCGGGTTAACCAGCTCTCCCCGCTCTCTTCCAGCACAACATGCCTTTCTGGAGGATCACAAACCATGGAGACCTCGTGTCCCTCCACCAGGCTTTGGAGCTTGATTTTCTCTAAGAACTGGAATGAAGAACCTTCCCCATGAGATCCTTTTCACTCCTGAAGGGAGCTGGAGACCGGAACCAACTGGGAACTCTGTCACTCTCTCTCTCTCTCTCTCTCTCTTTCTCCCTGGAATGCTGGCGAGAACACAATCAGAACCAATAGCTGCAAGGGATGAAGCTTAGAGTTTTGCTAAGAATGAGCTGCAGCCCCGTGTGTTCATCCTTGTGCAGAAGCAGGAGACAGTTGGATTGAGAGAACAGTAGACTCACTGCAGCTACAGTGCTTTTAATTCTTCTGGGTTTTTTGTTTTGTTTTGTTTTATGTTGTTTCAAAAAATGAAGAAAAAAAAGGAAATTCTTGGGGCAGAGTTGCACTCTTCGTCCATGACCTGATTGAGAACTGCTGTTAACTTGTGATAGGATAAATGTGGCCGACTTTTGTAATAACATCTCTTGCAGTCTTTATAATCTCCTTAGCTGTAGAACATACTCCCAGTGAATGTATATGTAATTTTTATAGGTAAGGGGTCTGGTCTCTGAAGCAGGTTTTCCCTCCTTTTTCTAGCCAGAAAGGGGTGTATAAAGTTTCCTTGGAAAATAGTAATTGAGCTATCTAAAATACCTCTCTGTGACGATAGCACCTCTGTCGCTGCTCCAGTGGTTTGCTGTCTAGGATGGTTTCCCTCCTGTTCTTCCATCTCCTAGTTTGCTGAACTGTGGGGCACTAGACACTGATTAACTCTAGACTTTGTTATTTCCCGTCCTAGAAGCTTTAGTCCCCTTTTTAATCCCACTTCCCCTTTAACCAAATGGCACAATCTTGGAAACTCCTTCTCTTAGACAGTAAATGCTAAGCCTTCAGCTTGACTCTTATTCAAAGACAAGGCCCTGGGGGCTTACCTCCAAAGGAGAGAAGGGACTAAGGCTTCATGTGAATTTCCTCTTCGTGTGAATTTCCACTTCTTAGGTTCTTGAAACAGGAATATTCCACTTTTCCCCCTGCCAGAAGCACTCTTCCCCCAACAGATGCTCACCCTTGTAGCCTTCTCTTCCTTCTTAGACATCAGTGTAGGCTCTTGTCCCTTTCCTGCCCTGTGTACTTCACAGCCACCTCCATTCAGCTCTGGCCAATCCCTAGCCTTTGGACCCAAAATGTCAAATTAAGCCTAAGAACTCATAACTACATTTTGGGCAAAACTGTCAATGTACTTGACTTACTTTAAAACCTTTAAGTCCTATGAAGGGTATTCTGGGCCTATATTTACCCAGATCTCTGAAACTAAAGAGGAGATTGCTTTGATCAACACCCATTTTTCCCATGGTACAGCCTTCCCACATCTCAAATCTCAATCTGAAATGGGAAATCAGAAGCCAGAACGACTTTCCTGTTTTAAATGAAGTTGCTGGACCCTCTCCTCCATGCCTGGGCCAAATGCAGGAACATCTCCCAGCCTGACCTCTGGGAAGATTGGTGGGTGCAAGGCACTAGTCCCAGCCTTCTATCCCAACTGTGTTTGTGGATGCTCCATCCCTCCAAGACCACCCCAGGCATCTGCTAAGGAAGGATAAACTCCTCTGGAGCTGAGGAAGTTCAGCCCCTCCCAGGCTGCAGTGAGGAGTGACTATATAAGCACCTCAGAGAGATGTAGTCTGGCTTTTCAGTAGGAGGCATCCTTTACCAACCTGTTAAACTTCTTTATGCCCAGAGATTCTTCATACCCATTTCCAGAGATGTTGCAGCACACAGAGGCCAGACTCCTCCCAAGTCCAGGCCACCCATACAGCAGGGAAAGGCTGTTTGTGCGCATTCCTTCAGAACTCATTGAGAAACTGCTTTAGGACTTACAACTTTAGGGAAGAGGTTTCTGGAGAGGAGTTGAAGTCAATGTTCATTACTTAGCTGCTGCTTTGGACTTGTTTCCATTGATGGCTTGGGAGTGGGGGGCAGTTACGTAGTCTGAGGCAGACCTTGCCTTGGTCTAATTTCAGCACAGCTGCCCAGATGCTGTTCTGCCTTGCTTAATAATTGATCTTAGAAAGCTCTAGGGTGGTCTTTTCTTCAGTCCCCAAGCTCTCTACCTACCAGCAGTATAACTGTTGGTTTCCTGCCCTGGACATAGGCTACCGGGTGGGTGCTTTGCTTCAGGCTTTTGAGGCTGTGGAGTGGTACCCCCATTATGCACACAGATACCCCCACCTCCCTGCCCTTTGGGAAAAGCTCTTTATTCCTAGACTATGACTCAGACCCCTCTTTCAATGGCCTTTTCCCTCCTGCCCTGACTGCCCAACCTAGGTGTTTGCAAAAGGAACTTGAAATTGACCAAGAGAGGAGAGGAAGCTCTCTGAGCAGAGCCACATTTGCTCTTTTCTGGTTGTTGCCGCCCTCATTTAGACGGCAGGCAGAAAATGGGACCTGGCTTCTCTTTGCCAAAATGAATTGTCCAGGGAACACAGTGCTCTTCTTTTACCCTGTGTTTTCCTCCTCCCCAGCACAAAGATCTGGAAAGGAAAATAAGTGGGTAGCACCAAGAGCTCTTGGGAGCTGAGGGCCCAAGGACACTAGCGGTCCTTTCATCAAGGGGGAAGCCCTCTTTACTAAAGAGTCCCCGTGAAATTAGCCACATGATGAACCCTTCCCCCAGCTGGGGACTGTGGGTTCTATAAGATGGGTCTGCACATTTCGTGGTGAGGACTATCTCTAGTGAGGGATCTGGAGTTTTCAAGTGTGGGTTTAAGAGGTGGCTTGACTTTCGAATGTAAAACTGACTGTGCCTTAGCATCACCCTGTCCAGTCCCCCTGGGGCAGCTGGTGATGTCCAGGAGAATGGATTCCTGCTCCAGATTTAGATGCTTTTATTTGGTTTGGGGTGTTCCTGTCTTCAGCTCTGCAAATTGTGGGGGGAGGGGAGGGTGTCAAAGTTAGTGTCCCAGGAAACTTGTGCCACAGCTTGTTCGCAGTTTACACAAACTCAGTTTTAAGGCTCCCAAGTAGAATCTGGCAAACTCCAGCTGCAGCACATGGAGCTTCTAGATGTTCCCTCCCTTGAATGGGTGTCAGTGCCACTGAAGCAGGAGGGAAAGGTAGGGGAAGGGCAGCTATTCTCCCTCTTCCTGGGAGAGTGAGGGTCTGAGCCAAGGGGTGGTGAGCTTGGGGCCTTCCTCTCTTTGCTCCTGCAGGAAGGAGCAAGTAGCGCCCCTCTGAAGCAAGCTTCTATTTCTTACTACTAAATTGGTTTCCTTTTTCATCCAAAAGTAGGAACTCCCCAGATTCACATTATACAAGCCAAATCTGAATTCTGAGATTCTGAAATATCTTAAACCACGAGAGAAAAATCTAGTTCTGGCCCATCCCCAATCAGCAGGCCCTCTGTTTCTTCCTCTCCTCTGAGTCAGACAGCTCTCGCAAGCGAGGCTCATTGGCTAGTCCCTAATGCACTGACAGGAGCCATCCCATTAAGGACGACTTCTACTCAAAACCTGACCCTCCAGATTACTCATGCCTCATTTAGCAGGAAAAGGCATTGATTGAATTGGATATATTTATGTGACTGCGGGCATTCGTGGCTGTAGAGTCTTTGACCATAATGTTATATGTAATGGGAACTATCTTGTAAACTTGAAAAAAATAAAGTTTTTATTTTCTATACAGTTTGCTCCTGTGTCTTTTCTGAATCCCAGTTACCCAGCTGAGTAGGATCCTAAGTAAGGCTTAGGCTTCATAAAAATCTGAAGAGCTCGTTAGCAAGTTAGCATCCTTTAATAACTGAATGATTAATTTCACCAAAAAAGTAAAAACTAACCACTTGGTATAAATAAATGTACATGGAAAATAAAAAATATTTTAAAATAATTTGCAAGGGCAAGTTTATTCATTGTATCTAAAATATATTGCTTTTTAAAGTTTAGGACTGGTATGGTAACATTTCATTTGCTGTCAAATGTGCTGACATTTCATTATTATAGAGAGAATGACTTGCTGTACTGAGCTTAAAACGCAAAAGCAATAAACTGACAAACTGACATCAAACCTTGTTTGATTTGGCCTGATTTCATGTCACATCAACTACTTTCATTTCTTCAGATTTAGGTCTGATTGTCCATTATTGGCCTGGAAAAATGAAGAATTCCTTTGCCTTTTATTTCAATGAAGGAAATCAGAACTTGGTTCTGGCTTGCAAGTACCATACACGTCAGACTACAAAGTATATTTTTTCCCAAAATACCCCAGAAAAGAGGGAGTTGCATATATTCTAGGCATTTAATCTTTTTATCAGAAGGTGCACATTTTGGACATTTTAATTGAAGCAAACCTATGAGTGGCAAAAGCCTTGCTCGTTAGTACAAATGTTAGAATACTGATTGCTTCTCAAGCCCAAAGAGTAAACATCTCCATCTCCCCCCACAATAAGTATAACATCTGCATATTTCTCAAACTTCTGGTGGCAGGCAATTCAGGAAGTTTTTATCCTTCAAAAAGTTTCTTGGCATTTAAAAAAATGATTGACGGGAATCTTCAAAGGAAAAATTTTAATCGTATTCATTTATTTTTAGGGAGAGGAAGGGAGGGAGAAACTGAGGGAGTGAAACATCAATTGGACGCCTCTTGCACACCCCCAACTGGGGACCTGGCCCACAACTCAGGCGTTTGCCCTGACAGGGAATCAAATGAGTGACTTGGTTCACAGGCAGAGGTGCTCAATCCACTGAGCCCCACCAGCCAGGACTTCAAAGGAAATTTCTAATGGCACGTAGCATCACTCATCTTTTTGAAGTTCTTGATTCTGTAAACTTTTAAGTGTAGCTTTTTCTATAGCTTTTTAGGTAGTACAGTATACATTGTTTGCAGTTGAGTGCATATATATTGCCATCATTTGACAACTTCATCTAGAGTATAGATGAGAACTTTGGCAAGAAATTAAAAACATCTCTCTTGGATTTTCTCAGCGGAAAATAGGGCATTGCCTAAAACTTTGCATCTTCTGTTGACATGTTTGGCATCTCCTCTGAGCCTAGTCTCCACATACAACAGGTGGAAATGTGGAAACAAATGGAGCAAATACTGGGTTTAGTGCAACCTAAGACTATGTCCAAGGCTAGGTTGAGCACTTAGCCCACTGTCTGGGGTCTCAACCCTTGATAATCCTTTTGAGTTGAGAAAAATGATCATGATTTCACTGTTGTTGTATGTGTGCATGTGTGTGTTTAAATGTATGCAATTAAAAGAATGGACCTTTTCCTGAGCTCATTACATCCTTTTAGAGATAATGAAAATAATAGTGATAGTTTTTACTGCCTTTTTTATGTTAAAATTAAATTGGTGACCATGGTGACCATTTTACTGGCCCATGAAATTCAAAAGTCTGGAAATCCTTTCTGCCTCTACTATTGTGTGTGGAAAAGCACCAGCATCATGCTCCCAGAGCCTCTCCCTGCTCCCAACCCTCACCTCCATCATCAGCGGCTATAGGCCAGTATAGCTACTGCAAGCCCTGTCCATGCAGTCACTGCTGACTCGGTGTCTGGGATAAAATTCATGTGCATAGCATTCTCCCTCATCTCCTTTAGGGCTTAGTTTCTCAGGAAAAAACTTCTGTCTCCAGCACCCTTTGCTCTGTTCCTGTTTCTCTAAACCACAGACCTCTTAAGAGCAGCAAAAGTTTCCACCCGGCACCATCGCCCACTTCCACATACCCTCAGTCACCTTATCAGGTACACCCTCCCTGAGCTCGCAGCCTAAAGACCTTCCCCTGGGCTCTCGTATTCACTTCCTGATACCAAAGGTGTTTGTAGCTGCTCCTGCCAGGCCCGGCAGCAGAGCACGAGTTAGTCCAGATCTGGGTTCTGATGCTCACCTAAACGATCAACCCACACCAGTTCACCGGCTCCTGAAACTCAGAAAACAAGGTTGAGAAGTCCTGCCTAAACCAGCCATCTTCTCTGTCCCAGGGCCTTTACCCATTTTGAGCAGTGAACTTTGTGTTCCTGACCCCTTCTTTCCAGGTGGCTTTGAATTCTGCAGATTTAGTTTAATGACACAACTGGTTTGGTGGGTTTTATAAGCTTTTTAATAATAACCTAGTAATACTGTTTAACAAAAACACATACATGTCTCACTTGCAGACACATATGCACACCTCTTCTCTCACAATAGACTCTGAGGTAGAAAGTACACTGCCTAAAGTATAAAAAATACTCAGCAGGGTGAGTCATGGCCCAGACCACAGGTTCACAAGGCACTTGGTTGCAAGGCAGCCCCTTGAGAGCAGGGGCAGAGGCTGGGCCAGCTGCAGCAAGGCCTTGGAGGGGTCGATGGGGGCCAGCCAATTGGGCGTGCCTGCCTCCTGGCAGGAGAGTCTACGGCAGGAGCAGCTGGAGACGGTAAAGGTGGCGGCTGATCTTGTTCCAGGTGCCAAGGATAGAATGAGGCTCCTGGCATATAAAATGCCCTCAGTAAACATCTGGTAAATGAACTGAATGACTGAGATGGGGCAGGGGAGAAAGGACTCTAGAGAAGACATCCTGGAGGTCTCTGGACGTTCTAGCCCAGGATCTGGGAATTAAGGGGTGAGAGCATGTCCACCGATTATTTTAGAGGTGGAAGTACCAACACCTGGATGGATGCTCTGGGCACCGGATATACTGATTGGGAGAAAGAGAAAAGGCGATCTTCTCTTTCCCCCCAAAGTGTTTTATATATAATTGAGGCCCTTGACTCTCCGAAGGCAGGCCCTCCTCATCTTGTTCTTGTCCTTAAAGGGAGGACTTTGTCTTACTTAACTTTCATCTTCAGTGCCTGGCAACATCAGGCATCAGGTGCTTGTTGAGTGAATCAAGGCCCATAGCAGCATTATTAGCTTATCTCCGGCATTCTACCAAATGATTCCATCTATGCTTCTCTCCCTTGGCTGGATCTGACCCTGCCTCAAAGGACCCCATTTACCTCTCTCTCCCATGGAAGAGCAGTGTCATCCCAAGTCTTGGGGAAAAATTTCTGGGCCAAATGGACCATGCGCCTGTTCTGGGGCAGCTGATACAACTCAAGGTGGCGGAGGCTCCGGGTCCCATCCACCTCGGCAGGCTCCCAGTGGTAGCTGGGGTGCAGCCAGCGGTAGTAGACAAGCCGCAGAGCCAGACCCAAAAGGAAGCTGGTGCCGCCCACAGGCAGCAATATCTGCAGCAGGATCCCACTGGGCAGCCAGGCAGTTTGAGTTACCCAGGTGACCACCATGAGAATGCTGTCACTCAGGAGAAACACCAGGTGGATAGTGGCGCGGCCTCGAGTGCGGCCCTCAGCCACATTGAACCAGGCAAAATAAAGGATGGTGGCCACTGTTGCCCGGTACAGCCACTCGGAGCAGGGATCTGGCATAAAGTCGGTGCCCTGAAGCCAGACCCAGAACAGCAGCACCAGCCATAGGCCCAAGAAGTGCAGAGTCACATAGCGGGGGAAGAGGGCTGAGAACAGCGCCACAGCCAGGACTCGGGGCCACAGCAGCAGCAGGTTCCACAGGTAGTAGATCACAGAGGAGCCCAGCCCCAGGACGGGCTTGGAGGGGAGGCAGGTGCGCAAGGCCCGGTGGTAGTCAAGCAGTGCCCACGAGATGCCAGCGAAGGACGTGCAGATGCCGACCCCTACGGAGAGGAAGAGGAAGCAGCTGAGCACTCTGGGCAGCCTGCCTGGCGCTCCCCAGGTTCTAGGGCCCTCACATAGCCAGCCTGAGGTGGGTATCAGAACCCCCCGTTTGTTGAAGGGAAAACTACAGCTGGGGAACATTGTTCTCAAAACCAAAAAGGGACCTGGGATTCAAATATGGGGTCTGCCCTTCACTGCAAAGCTCTATTTCTCAGGTGCTACCATGGTGATATTTTACAAGGATGACAGGGTATGTGACATATCCATCCTCATCTGCACTCCTGGGTCTTGGCCACACCGCCTGCATCTTAGAGAGCCCTGTAACCCTTCCCTTCCCGGAAGAGCCCAAGCTTTTCTTGCATCTGAAAATCAGCAGTCCTAGTTCCCACTTTCTTAAGTTTCAGAAAAGGAAGCTGGAAACCCCATGAGGTGGCAGCAGGTCCCTGGCTGAAGCTGCCTGGCTCTATGGACGGAGCATCCTCACTCCCCTCTCCTCCACGCTCAGACTGGGCCCTGGCCTTGATCTTCCAAGACTTGAAGTTTACAGTGGTGGTCCCATCCCACCTCCTGGTTGCCCACCATGGACTAGAAGCACCAGAGCCTCCAGGGCCGGAGGGAAGCAGCACTGAACTGCCTCTAGAACACCTCCTCCCCACCCCCTTCCCATCTCATCCATTCAACAGATGTTTACCAGGGACCTGTTATGGGCCAGGAACCCACGCCTCACCTGGAATCACATCTATGGCCATCGTCCTGTCTAATTCCCCTCCTCACTCTAGGTCTCAGCAAGACTGGCATCCTTCCAGTCTGCCCAGCACGCCGCATCCTCTGACCTGGACAAGCCCTGCCCGTGATGTTAGGGAGGCTAGGAGCACGTGCCCCATTTCTTCTGGCCTACTCCTTCTTACCTTGCAAGTTCCAACCTGAGTATCCCCAAGAGCCACTCATTTCTGTCTGGAATAATTATCTATTTCCTTATGTCTCAGCTCCTTCAGGGTAGGAAACAGATCCTGCTCCCTTGGGATCCCCAGGCAGCCCAGCACCTGGCACATAATAGCAGCTGAATAAATGTTTGCTAAATCAAAAGCTGGGGAAGTCCGTCTCTTCCCTCGCTCCTCTCCTCCCACCCCATAGACATACAGTGTAGACTGTATCCATTTGTCCCTAGTCCTGGACACCCACTGCCCTCAAACAGACAAAAATGTGTGCCCAGCGAGTGCTGTGTGTCCCAGGGCAAATCACTTCACCTTTCTGTACCTCTTTCCTCTTGTGCAAAATGGAGATAAACAGAGCGCCAACCTAAAGGGCTCTGAACGTGAGCACTGCCAATACAGCCCTCTCCACAGTGCCTGGTTAACAGTAGGCACTCAGTCATGATGGCTGCTATTATTGGTTTTTCAATTAAGACTACAGACTCAAATTAGCAGCCGAAAGCGTCCTTGGAGAGCAAGTCCAACTCCATCTTGTACAGCTGTGGAAACGGAGGCCACAGAGGGGAAGACTCTCCAGGGCACAGTGGATGACGCCAGAGGGGAGACTGGTTCCTTGGGAGGCTGTGGCATTTACAGGAGTGGGCAGGGGCGTGACAGAGAAGGGGGGCCCTGGACCTTAAATCAGACAGGACTTGGACTCAGGTGGGCCACTAGCTGGTCTGTGACTTGGGCGTGTTACTTCCCTTTTATAGGAGAAACCCCTCCGGACCCCAGAGCTCCTCAGTGTACACACACACTGCTCCCACGGCTAATAAGGCCACCTGCCTCTCCCTTTTCGGATCACTCAGCACATTGCGCCTGCCTGCTTTACAGTTGTCCCAGCAAGGCAGGGGCTCTGTCCTTGTTCACAGCACCATCCCTAGTACAGGGACAGGCATAAAGATGCTCAATAAAAACTTAAGTGTAGGAAGGTGCTCAATGAACAGCTTCCTGACCAATAAGTTGCCTATTATGTGTCAGGTGCCCTACAAACTTTATCTGGTTTCTTCAAAATATTAAAAATTATAATGAAGATTTATTATGCTCCAGGCACTAGGCTTTATATTTATCACCTCCCTTAATCCTTTCATCAGTGCCATGAGGCAGGATTATTTGTTATGTCCATTTTACAGATGAAACCAAACTGATACTTAGAGAGGCTGAGTCACGTGTCCAAATTCATACAGCTAGTGTTCAGACTGGAACCCGGACCTGCCTGACTAAAGGCTGTGCTCCTATTTTCTAAGCAATCCTTAGAAAAGAGTGAAAGCATTTCTGATACTTGTGGGAAACTTTCCCAAGGGGTAAAAGCAGGTCTAGCTGCTGGCAGTACAACTCACACTGGAAGTACTCGGTCTGGCCACTCTGCAGCACGATGGCCAGCACCAGCGTGAGCTGTGGCGTCTTCTCCAGGAAGGTCTCGAAGAGCCGCAGCATGCTGATGTCCAGGGAGAGGAAGTCAGCGTAGGCCAAGTCAAACTCAGAGGGCGCCTCCTGCTGCCACACCAATAGCCCTTGTTGCAGCCCCTGCACACACCTAGGCACATACGGATGGCGCAGGGGGCCAGGTTAGTGTCCTGAAGCACTCCTCCCTCTCCTACTTATCAGGTAGATGCCCACAGACACAGTGCGAACTCATCCCTAGCGTGCTGTGTGGCCCTGGGCAAGCAACTTAGCCTCACTGAACTTGTTTCTCCATCTGTAAAATGAGGATAAGCACAACTGCTGCTGCTCCTGCTGGTCAGGCTCGGTCCCAGGTGTATCACAAACCCTGTCCTGTGTATGCCTCACAACATCCCCATTTTACAGATGGGAAAACAAAGAGCTAATAAGCGTTAGTGTGTGAATATCAAAAGCATACAATGAAATTGCCTAAGGTGAGAGTTCTCAAATTTTAGCAAGCCTAAGAATGTCCTAGGATCCTGTGGAGAAGGGGAGCCATGGAGAACTTCTCAGCACGGGTGAGACAGGTCAGACTGTGCTTTAGAGAGAGCTCCCAGGCTGTGGAGAGGAGGAAGGGTTGGAGGGGCTAGCCTGGAAGCCCCTCTTTAAGAGGTCATTGTAACAATCCAGGGAGAAAGGACAAGAGCCTCAGAGTGGTGGGGATGCAGGCTGGGGTAAAGGTAAGAGAGTCCAGAGGTTGGGGCTGGGTGACCCATCGGCATGAGTGGGGAGTGGAAGACACAGCAAGGCTTCCTCCACCCACGACTGTTCTCAGTTGGCTACTGGGAGGTGAGCCATTCATTCACTGTGAATTCATTCATCAGGGCGGACCTGACAACACAGCAAGGGAGGAGGCAAGCAGGCCCTGGGTGGGGCTCTCCCTCAGTAGGAGCCTCTGCCTCTGTTTCCCCAAAGCCATGGCAGGGCCCTGCCTCAGCATAGTCTCAGGCAGATATAGAGACCCCGTTTTCAAAACCAAAGCTCAGTACATCGTCTGCCTCACACTCAGCAGAAGTAGGAGAAGGGAAGATGCATGATGCAACCATGGGCTCGGGGCTCACCAAGGCCTGCCAAGATGGTAATAAGTCCGCTCCCCATGCCCACCCGGAGTTTTGCTGATGCCTGTACAGTCTCTCAGGCAAAGCTGCCACATCAGAGCTCCTCTTGCCCACTCCTAGACACTCACTGCAAGTTTGTCAAAGCAAGAGCTGGTGAGAATCTGTAAAAATGGATTCAAGAGCAGGTCCTGGCTCCAGCACCCCATCCCCACCCAGACTACATCGTGTCCTGACTTTATCGCATGACCCTGATGCCTTGGTGTCAGTTTCCCCATCTGTAGAGGGCCCTGCCAGTTCTGGAAAGGAGCAAAACCCACGCAGACTTGCCGGGATCGGGCCTATGTCCAGTCCTGGTTGGCTCCAGGGACATGGATGTATCAGTCAGACCCCATCTCTGTCCTCTTGCTCGGTCAGGATATATGTGTGTTGGGGGCAGGGTGGGGTGGGAGGGAGGAGATGCTCAGGGAAAATACAACTGGGAAAGAAAGGGTGAGAGGCACTCAGACGTGAGGGAACAAGTACTGCTCTGGGGGTCGGGGCTGCTGAAACTCTCAGGATGGCCCAGGTAATCTTGAAGCTGCTGACATTTGCACACGATTCACAGGTCTCTTTTCATTTAATCCTTATCAAACAGAGGCAGGCACCATGATCATCCCCACTGAAACAATGAGTCAACTGAGACCTAGAAGGGTCAAGGGACTTGCCCAAGGCCCCATCCTCAGCTAAAAGGAACACTGGTCTGTTTGCGAGTCTTTGCCGTTTCAATAGAGTCCATCAGCGGCCAAGCACTGTGTTCTTTCCTGCACTCCTCAAAGCAGACCTGCCTGCAAACCTCTCTAGATTATTACCTCTTTTTAACAGAGGAAACCGAGGCTCAGAGAAAGACAGGGATGAGGTCACACAGGTGGTAAAGCTGAGACTGGATCCCAGAGAGGTCTGACTCCGAATCATCCCTTTCTTCTCTGGGCCTCAGTTTCTTTACCTGTGCCAGGAAGAGTAGGCCTAGATGAGCTGGAGTTATCCTTCTTTAAGGAGCGAGAAGCTCACCTGTGCCCATGGGCTGCCTCCCCACCTGCTCGTCAGGGCGTTCACCTGTACTGCAGGAGGTGCCGCTGGGCTCTGTTCCACCTCCCTCTTCCCCAGGGCGGGGCGCTCACCTGTAGAAGTAGCCCAGCTGCAGGAGATGCAGCAGCGCCAGGCAGCGGCCTGAAGGCTGCGACGAGTGCAGGTCAGCGGGGTCGGCGCGCAGCCAGGTCCAGCTGAAGACTTGCAGTGCGACCGAGGCGAGGCCCAGCAGCGTCAACACCAACGCGGCCCACAGGTAATGACCGCTGAGTACATACTGGCTCACGGCCCACACATCCGCACCCAGGTGGATCAGGAAGGCAGAGATGCCCAATACGCCCAGGATCAGGTCCCAAAAGAGAGTGGCGCGGAGTGACCAGGGCATGACCCGCCGCCCTCTCCCTCTCCTTCCCTTCTGGGCTGGTACTCGCCCTCCCGGCCGGGGTCCTACGTGAGGAAGGAGGCAGTCACAACCTTTTGAGCCGCCCAGGGCACGGGCCTCCTGGGCGGGACTTCCATGTCCCGCCCTGTCCGGGGAGGAGCGAGGCCCGCGGACCCCGCCCCCGCCTCTCGGAGCCAGGCAAAGCTGCCCCTGCCCTGCCTCTACAGCCTGCCCAGGGATTCCCTCACCCAGTCCCGCTGAGCCGCGAGGACCGCTAGGTCCGAAGGTGGGCCGTCCGAGGTGTACTGCCCTTAGTTTAGCAGGCTTCTAATTGCCTTGTTTTGCATATGAGGCTCCTGGAGGTCCACGACGGCGAAAATGGCCTGGAGATTAGCGCCCATGCTAGAACTGTGAACTCTCGCATTGCATTACTGAGAAACAAAACAGAAAGGCCTATTCTGATCCCAGAATGTGGGACTTCGCTAAGTGTGATTCGAGTTCGGGCAGTGTACCCGGGCAGGCCGAGGACATAGGATCAACGAGACGCGTCTTCCTGGATGCTCATTTTACTCCCATTATCCGTGGAGGGACGTTCGATAACTGTGCAAGGGAGTTGCTTTAAACATTATTTACATATTGAAAGGATAATACACAAAATAAGATTCATAATGAGCATTTTTTTATATATATAAAACGTGAAACTTGGAAGAAATGTGCTTGTGGTAGGGTCTTTGGGCTGCATTTTGTGATCTGGCTGTCCCAACCTCCACTCTGTGGACTCCGGGAAACTGGAAAAGTCCAGACCTCAGTGAGTGAGTGATGCTGGCTCCAATTTACCCGGAGCAAGAGGAACCCAGAAATCCGGCGGGCGGCGCCCAAGGTCACCGCTCGAGCAACGCGCGCAGGCAGAGCAGCGCCGCCAGCAACAGCGGTAGCATGGGAGCCGGAGCAGTCCCCAGAGCGCGCAAGCAGGTGGCATACGCGTCGAAGGCCACCTCGCTCAGCGCGCATACGTGCTCGTCGCGGCAGGCCTCACTGCAGACCCGGTTGTCATAGCTGACCGAATTGTAAACGTAGTAGCGCTGCAGCGTGCCCTGGTCTCTGGCGATGCGACCCAGCGCCGCGTTCATAGAGCTGACGCTTGCGTTGGGCACCCCGTAGGCCTCGGTTAGCCGGTACTCGAGCTCCCAGCGCGCTGTCCCCTGCGCGTTAGCCTGGCTCAGGTTCAAGAAGTAAGTCACCATATCCTGGAGAAGGGACACGAGTTGGGCCAGCCGTGAGCAACTGCCTGCATCCATCCCCAATCCTGTCCCTTGCCTTTGCCCCGTATTCTATATATCCGTAAGAATGACCGCTATTAGTTAATGAGCATTTAATACTTATGGGGTGGGGGGTGGGGGGGTGGGTGTGTGTGTGTGAGAAATCTGATTGAATCTGATGAGGTAACTGTGCCTATTATGCCCATTTCACAGATGAGGAATTTGAGTCCTAAAGAGGTTGACTCCTTTGGCCAGGGTCCTACAGGTGTTCAGTGGCCAAGGTGGGAGTGGAACCAGGTGGTTTGCCCCATGGCCTGTGCATTTTCTGTCCCACAAGCTCCCAAGTACATAAGAAGATGCTCAGTAAATATTTACAGAATGAATGGATAAAAAACAACTTAAAAGAAGCAGGATGGAGTGCCTGGCTAAGAGAGGTTATAGAACTGTGGTTGATCGGACCCCAAGATCCCTAGGACTCAGGTGCATCTTCAGGACTAGAATCCATCTGCAAGTGTTTATCTGTCCAACACTTTCCACTTATATTTGTGGACCTGCTTCAGGTAACTAGAGAGGGGGTAAGAGGAGCTGCCATGTATGGATGGTGATTTCCTGCCTCCCATTTTAAAGGCAAAGCAAGGGAGGCCCAAGGAGGTCAAAAAGCTGGTGAGTGGTAAAGCCAGGATTCAAACCCAGTTCTGTCTGACTCCCTCCCTGAGAAGGATGTGAGGCGTGTTGGTGGGGCTGGATCCAGCAGGGAGGAGGGAGTGCTCCTCTTGCTAAGGCCCTCTGAGTGCCCATGGAGACAGGAGGCCATACTCCTAAAAATCCTCAGACCTCTTCTCATCTCCATTTGCTCCAGAATCAGGGACCTAGTTTATCTCATCTAGTTCATGGTTTTATTTTTTTTTTAATGATTTTATTTATTCCTCTCTTTATAAAGAGAGGGGAAGGGAGGGAGAAAAAGAGGGAAAGAAACATCAGGTGTGGTTACATCTCACACGCCTGCAACTGGGGACCTGGCCTGCAACCCAGGCATGTGCCTTTACTGGAAATTGAACTTGTGACCCTTTGGTTTGCAGGCTGGCACTCAATCCACTGAGCCATACCAACCAGGGCCAGTTTGTGGTTTTAAGTGGCCTTTCTCAACTCCCAAATTAAGTCTCAATACCCACCTCTTCCTGAAACTCCAACTTGAACACCCGGCTTCCTCCTCCCTTGGCATTTTCACTAGGATGCCATTTAGACATCCCGAAGTTAACAGATCCAAAACCAGATTTCTGATCTTCCCTCCAAAACCTGCTCCTCCCACAGTGATCCCATTTCAGTCAATGGCAACTTCACCCTTTCAGGTTTTCAGACCAAAGCCTTGGGGTCCTCCTTGATTTCTCTTTCTCTCACACCGTTCATTCAATACACCAGCAAATCCTGTCTGTTTTGCCTTCAAAATACTTCCAGAGTCTGGCACTTCTCACCACATAACAGCGACCACCCTGGCCCACATCACCATCACCTCCCAGGAGTTACAGTCACCTCCTACCTTATCCTCCTGTGTCCACCCTTGTCCCCTACTGCCTGTTCTCTGCACAGCAGCCATGGTGATTTTGTAAATTTTGTAAGTCAGCATATTTAGTTCTTCCACTCCAAACCTTCCAGATCCAGAGCCCTACTCACGGCCTACGTGATCTAACCTAGTCCCTCCCACTCTCCCCTTGTGCCTTTCTCTGTGGCCACGCTGACCTCCCTGCTCTTCTCCTAACACACCGGGCACATTTCCACCCCAGGGCCTTTGACTGGCTCTTCCTCCATCTCACCCAAGATGCTCACGTGGCTTGGGCCCGCAATTTGCTCAGAACTGAAATGTCATCCTATCAGTGACATTTCCCTGCCACACCTATCTACCAGCGCATGTGTGCGCGCATGCACAAGCGCGTGCACACACACACACACACACACGCATACTCTATAACCGTCACCACCTGCCTCTTCGCTGTACTCTTTTCTCCTTAGCTCCTACCTCATGCCATGATTTACTTATTTGTTTATTGGTTGTCTCCTATAAGAATGTTAGCTCCAGAAGAGCAGCGACTTCGTTTTTGTTCACTTATGTATCTCCTGAGCTTAGCACAAGGCCTGGCGCATGGCAGCTAATTAATACATTTTGTTGAATAAATTAAGGAATAATATTTCTTTGTCATTTCAACAAGCACAAGCACATCCCAGGAGGTGAGGGAGTGCTTGGTGAGTTAGGGACCCACTTGGCTGCAGCATAATCGATGTAGGGAAGACAGGCATGGGCCTGAGGGCACACTTGACTACCAGGCCAAGGAGATCCACTTTATTGTGGGGTCACTGGGGAGCTATTTAAGGTGTATAAGCAGGAGAGAGATTAGAAAGTGCTTTAGAAAGATTAGTCCTTTCTGCAGTGGGTAGCAGAGGAGCTAGAGCGGGGCGGTGCTGGAAGCAGAGAAATCGGGTAGGAGGCTGTGACAATGCTCCAGGGCAAAGGGAGGTATGAGGAAGAAGAAATGACTTGATTTGGTGGCAGGATTTGGAGATACCTCCAGGAGTCTGATTCTGAGCTGCTGTAAGCGTGGAAGTTCAGTGGCCAGTACAGCGTGGATTAGCTGGGAGAGAGTTAGGGAATGCGGTGACAAGCTCAGTTCCCTCCCCCACGCCTCCTCCAGCCCCGGCAGACCCAGGCTCCTGACCTGCAGGCTCAGTGTGGCTCGGTCATATTCGAACACCCGGATGCCTGGATTGTTGGCCCCATTGACTACTCCAGGCAATGTGGTTTTCCACGGGGTGACCCCAGGCGTGAGGAACATGACACTGATGGGGGCACCTTTCAGGAGAGAGACAGCAGGACTGAGCCGGGCTGACAAGGGAAGGAGAGAGGCAGGCTGGCAGGTGCCCTCCAGGTTGAGTACCTGCATCATCATAGAACATCCGAAAGCTGTCGGTGTGGTGGTGCCCGAAGAACTGCCCAGCGATGACTTGATGGTGCTTCTGGATCACCTTCAGGTACTTCTCATTGAAGACCTCCCGGAACCACGCTTTGTTCCGCGTCTTCTCAAAGAACCCCGGGGGCACGTGGCCAATAATGTACACCTGTGAGGAAGGGGCGCCAGCAGGGGCTCAGAGATGGCCTCCCCAGCCCTTCATTCCCACCTCTCAAAGCCTGCCCCCCTCGCCAAAGGCAAGCAGACAGGCTAAATGTACCTTCCCCCGAAGTTCTCTGCTTTCGTTCTCCCAGGCAGATTCCAGGATCCCCTGGACCCCATAATGAATGTACATGTGCGTCCCCACCCCACAGCGTTGCCCATGCCGTGCCTGCCACCTGGAGTGCTCTTCTCATTTTCATTTCTGTAAATCCTAGCCGGACTTCAGTACCCAGCTCAAAGGGTACCACCTTGCACCACCTTGCTGATCCTCCCAGACTGGCTTCTTGGAGAATCCGGGCTCCATAACTAAGCCTGCCTTGAATGGCTGTGTAGCACATGCTGTGTGTTAATATGTGGCCATGTCTTACATTCCTTGAGTCGCTCAGCTAACGGTACCTGGGCCCTTGGCCACCACTGCACGAGGGAGAATGAGGGTGAGGGAGAGGGCAGTTGGGAGCATGAACTTCGCAGGCAAACTACAGCTTGGACACCAGTGGAGTGTCACCTCTCTGAGCTTCAGCTTTTTCATCAGGAATAGCACCTAACTGGTGGCGCTTTGAGAGTTAAAGGAGATAATCCACAGTGAGTGCTCGGAAGCACCAGCCATGAGATCCTGCTGAGATGCTCTGTGGTCTAGTGCAGGGACTCAAGCGAGTGAGACAGAGGGCCGGCGCCCGGGGAGCTGCCAAGCCAGCAGACTGGGTGGACACACCCTGGGGGCAGGGCATCCCCTTGAGGCCTAGCCCACAGCGAGGACTGCAGCTGGGGAGTGGGCAGTAACAGAAAGAGCTCTGGACTGGCAGCCTAGAGACTGGGCTTCTGGTCTCAGCTCCACCACTTGTTTGGGGACTTGGGATCATCACCGCCTCTCCAGAGCCTCACATCTGCAATGGGCTTTGGGGTCCCAGCCTCACAGGCTGTTCTGAGGATGGAAGAAGCCCTTCCTGGTGCCGGGCTGACGAAGACCCTCTGTAATGGGTGCATCTAGAGAGAGGAGACGAATCTGTGCGGAGGTGGGAAACTTGTTCCAGAAGTGATCTGGAGTGGGAGGGGGAGGTGGTGGGGGCCCTTACCATTTCCCCAGCTCTGGATGCATTGCTCAGCACATCTTCCAGCCACTGGAATTGCTGGCCAGGGTCAGCCATGCCAGCCGTCTGCTCATTGTTGCTATAGTACAGATTGGTGTTGAGGACCACAATTCGCCCAGTCTTCCTTGGCTCTGGCAACTTCTCAGTATAGAACGCACCTAGGGCATCACAGCCAGTGGAAACATGAAGGGGTCCTCTGCCCCTGACACACCCCTGCCCCCTTTACTTCACTCTCCCACCTTATCTCTCCCTTGATCCTCCCTTCCCAGTTTTCCCATAAGAGCATCAGGGGTTAAGCCCAAAGGCTCTGGAGCGAAGCTGCCTAGGTTCAAGTCCTGGCTCTATCACTTATTAGCTGTGCAACTTGGGAAAGTTACTTAACTTCTCTGTCTCAGTTTCCTCATCTGTGTAACGATGATACAATGAGGTGTGTTTGCCCCTCCAGATACACCATCAACGCTTCCCCACTCAGCTCTGTGCCCTAGGAGCTGATCTACGGGAACTAAATCAATGGGCTTCTGTGCCACAGGCTTCTGGTTTAGTGTGACCAATGGGGAGCCCCAGCAGCAGGGGACTGCGGAAAGGGAAGAGAGTGGGTCAGGGTTACCTTAAGCTGGCAGTATCTTTGGATCAGTTGTCCTCAGCCAGGTGATTTTGTCCCCCAGGGAACATTTGGCGATGTCTAGAGACATCCTTTGGTTATCGCATCTGGGGGTGTCTCTTGCATCGGGTGAGAAGAGGCCCGGGATGTTGCTAAACATCCTACAGTGCACAGCACAGCTCCCACAACAAAGACTTAGCCGGCCCAAAATGTCAACCGTGACAAGGTCGAGAAACCCTGCTTGAACTGAATTCAAGGTCCCTGCCCTTTCCTAGGTTTTTGCAGGGAGCCTAGTAACATGCTGAGGGTGGTGCCTGGAACACAGCAAATGCTCAATAAATATTCACTTCTGATCCTCATTAGTGCCATGGGGTTAAGAGCATAGGCACAGGAGTCAGCCCTGGATTCTGCTCCCAGGTCTGTCTCTTCTAAACGAGGTGACCTTGGCCAAGGGACTTGGTATCTATAAGCCTCAGTCTCCTTCTCTATAAAGTGAGGATGTTGTGAAGATGAACTAGATCAGACCTTGGCATGCAATAAGCGTGTATAGTACCTTCTTTGAAGAGAGCAATGGATTCATTACTGAGCCAGGGTCTCCACAGTTCTGCTACCTGATTGTAGATATTGTTGCTCCCTGCTGGAAACTGGTTTTTGGGATGAAAATCATGATTTCCCAAAGCAGCATATACTTTAGTATCTGAAAGGGAAAGGAGAAATAAATATATATACATATGTATGTGAAAGCACTTGATGGCGTTGTTAGTCATTTTCAGTTGGCCAATGGTCGTCAGAGCTAGTAGGGAAGAGAGAAGAGGGAAAATGCACAGATGAGGGGAAATACAGAGATAAGCTGAAAACCTCATTTAAAAGAATCTAGCTGAACTTTGCTCAGACCTGGGAAGGAAGAGCAGTGAGTTGTCCGATCTCGGACCCTAACCCCAATCCCAGCAGAGAGTTTCCTGGTCAGAGAGGAAGTATCCACTGATGAGAAGGAGAGAACCAGAAGATCTGAATAATCTTCAGACCCATTATCAGCCACTTGGTAATTTAGTGTTCTTGTTCTTGTCAATTCCAGAGCCATTTTCCTGTTAGGGAAGTGGTCTGCTCCACTCTGGGAGGCCTTAGGAGTTTCACTCACTCATGAATTGAGAGTATTTACTGAGCACCTAGTTTGTGCCAACATATAGACCTGGTACCAGGCACCCAGTCCCAGTCCCAGAGGCCTTGCAGTGCAGCAGGGTTAACAAGTATCAAGTACTGAGAGGTGTGAGGGCTGTCACAAAAGGGGAGAGCCGCTTCCTGTGGAAGTGTGTAACAGGGAGGGGGTGGAGTCAAGGAAGGCGTCCCTGAGGAAGTGGCCTATGAATTGGCCCAAAAGGGGGAAAGCGAGGGGAGCCCATCAGATTCATCTGCTCCTTGTGAGTAGCTTCATTCCTGCCTTTATTTTTACCACTGTGTCTGGCAAGCAGTAGTTGATCAATAAGTGTTTGATGACAAATAAAAAATTCCTCTGAGCTCATGGTAGGGCCTTGCCCTTATATGAGCTTGGCTCACCCCAGGAAGTGACCTTGAATCAATGAGGAAGGAAGGCTGAAGCCTTCAGCTCCCACTTGGGAAATTGTCTCCAACAAACCCTTTGTCCTGAATAGCCTGCAAGGTCTGGAAACGCTGAGAGCTCTGCCAAAGGAGCAGGTTGTACAGTTCCCACCAGGAATTGTTCACAAAGCAGGAAGCCATCAAGTGTAACTGCCTGGAAAAAAACCTCACCTCTCTAAAGTAAATGCCAGCAGCCATTAAAGATCCACTTAAGAAAAAAAACACACATTTCTGGAACTTCAAGGGCAGATGAGAAGGGAGAGACTCTTTCCTGCTTTTTGCTGCTTCTGTGTGCCAGGCACTGTTAGAAGCTCCTTACGAGCTCCATGAGTTAGGGCCTGGCATTCAGTTCATCGCCAAGGCCCCTACCCCTGGACTTGTGTCTCCCGTAGTAGATGCTCAATATTTGCTGATTGACTAAACGAGTGATTGGATTTCCTTATTTAACCCTCACAGCAACCCTCTAGGCAAGTGCCACTATTCATGCAGACCCCATTCTCCCTGTCATATCCCATGGGGCTGTAGCCATAATCAATCACAGTCCCCTCGGGCTCTCCCAGGCTCTGAAGGAAGGTCTGGGAAGCACAAGAAATAGCACCTTGGCTGGAAATCAACATCCCCCAGAAGTCCCAGCAGCTGCATGGTTTGAAGGCTGTGGCTGGCAACATCAGGGCACAGCAGGACAGATGGCTATGTATGAGCCCACGTGAGACCCAGGGATGAAGCCTGTATATAACTGTAGGTGCCTTGAGAAGGGGCACTGAGTCTGGTGTTAGGCAGGCAGGGCGGAAGGCAGTGAAACGTCAGGCATTTCCATGAATAGGTTCTGTGTGTAGCCAATGAGCTCAATGAGCTCTCATGTTCCTTGCAAGGTTGTTGGACGATAAGAAACAATGCCTGTGAAGTGCCTGGCACAGGACCTTTTCTATAGCCATCGCTGTCAATGAGCAAAGGCCATTCCTCTGCATCTTGCTGCTATTGTCCCACGGTGCCAGGCACCACCTGGGGTTCAGGAAATGCTGTGCGGACCAGTGGCAGGGTCTTACCTGGAAAGACCTCCCTGATGAGCTCGGTCAGGTGTTCCACAATGTCCAGCACAGCCGCCTCTCCCAGCTTCTCGTTGGGCACGTGAGGTGTGTCATCGCTGCAAAACACCGCAGGCCAGGTTGGTGCTGGCCACTCGGGATAGGGAACGAGAAAAAAAGGGGGGCACTCTGTTGTGAGAAAAGGGACTGTGAAACTGGGCCTCAGACGTCCCCTGAGAGGTATGGCCAGGCTAAAGTCGGGCGTCCCACAGGACGGGTTCAAAGCCGGGCTGTGCCACTGACCGCTGTGGGTCCCTGGGCTGCTTATTTGACCTCTGAGCCCTCATTGGCTCACCTGTAAAACAGGGATAATAATGATACCTACTTGTAGAGAATGTGTGGACTTCAGTACAGGGGGACATTATGTATATGTGTATATATGAGAAATGTAGACTAGTAGCTGCTAGGATGTAACTAGTATTATTTAGAGGGAAGCGCTAGGCTCCCAGTCCCATCTGCAGGACCGCAGGGCACTTGGCAGGGAGAAGCCTCTGAGCGCGCTCCCTTCTCCAGGGTTTCTAAGAGGCTGGGGCTGGCCCCAGAGCTCAGAGTTCAGATCTGCTCTTCGGTGGAATCTAGACCTGACTCAGGGCCACTTAATCATGCCTGCCCTTCCCCATTGGACGGACCTGAATTGCTGTATCCACCTTAGAAATGCGCAGCAAGGTGGGAGAGCAGGGGAGGAGTGTGGGGGAAGGTGAAGTTTGGAGTAGGAGCCCCAACAAGCTAAAGGCTAAGGGGCTGCTGGACCCCACAGGGCAAGCCAGCTCCGCCCATGTCCTCCCAGGGGAGCGAACCGACTTAGTAGGGCTGACACTGCCGCTGGCGGCTCGCCCGGTGGCTTACTTTGCGCCAACTGCTTTCTGTGCATCGTACCCATAGCCATTAATTTGTTCTTCATGCTATCCCCACAACATAGGTTCCATTGTTGTTCCCATTTGGCAGCTAAAGAAACCAAGGTACAGAAAGGTGAGGAGTTCTGCTTAAGTGTATACTACCAGAAAGCAGTGGAGTTAGGATTTGAACCCAGGCAGCTTCAGAGTCTGAGCTCACACACATGACACCCTACTGTGCCTCTAATACCCTCACTGGGGCCGCAAGAGGAGCCTTGTAGCGCTGTCCTTCTTGGGGACCAGCCAGAAATTCAGACATTGGAACAAAATTCCATTTTTTTTCTAGTTTGGAGGCTCTGATTCTGCCTGATAGAAAATACATCCAATATCTACACTTTCTTCCCCCAAAAGGTTGCAACTCTCCCTGGGAAATCAAATTTCTGAGACTGAATTATTATTAAAAGTCCTAGAGGTCATCTCATCCAATGCCATACATCTCTGCAAGGTCCCAGGGATTTCCCAGAAAAATCATGCTTCTGTGAAAGGATCATGAATTTCGCAAAGCAGCCACCTTTCCCAATGAGATCACATCTTTCTCAACAGGCCCCTCCTTGCAGAAGTCAGAGGCTCCCCCAACAAGAGCCCTCTCAGGAGCAGCGGTCCAGGGTCATGGCCTAAACGTCACACTCATCTTATGTTGCTGACTGAGCCCAGAGAAGCCTGAGACGCTATCACTTTCTTAAGTGTCCAGCCTTGCCCCTCCCCACTGGGTCCATTTGAGGTCATTCCTGGTCACTCCACGTCACACTGAGGGGGCATCACGGGTTGAATCCTGCCTTTTGAGGTGTCCATTGAGTCTGAGAGAGGGAGCAAGAAGTCAGAGCCCCTGCCAGCCTTCCTCACCACCTCCCTGGTTCACCACTTCTTGCAGGATACCCTCCCTGGTCCTGCCAGATGGAGTCTGGTCCCCTCTGAAGCCCTCACATCCCCCCAGTGAGCCCCTCTCATCTCTGGGATATAACAGCGGGCTTGTCTGGGTCACCCACAAGACCATGAGCTCCTTGAAGGCAGTTTGGGGTCACGACATCTCAGTTCCCATTGTCTACCCCAGGCTGGCCAAGGCGAATGGGGAGGAGCGGAGTGATGAGGACAGTGTGCTGGACTTCCTTCCATGGATGGGAAGCAGAAACGGAGTCTTGGAGGCCAAGCGGAAATCTCCCCTCAGGCTCTCCTCACGCAGAGCACGGCTCTGACCAGTGAGAGCACCCTAGGGCCAGGACAGCCCAGCATTGGCCAGCAGCTGACCAGGACACGTGGTCCCAACGCTGGAACACTTTCAGCCCCCCTACATTCTCCCATCCCTGCATTTGGATCCCTGGGGCCTGTGGTGCCTAAGCCCCAGCGGGAGTGGCTGCGATATTTGCCCCCCAACTTAAAATTTAGGGGGCCTCCACACGCCTGGTTGTGCCATGACCTTGTCCCCAGGCTCAGTGAGAGCTGCCTCCCACTGAGGCCGGGAGACACGGAGGCCAAGGGCACAGACTTTGGAATCTGCCACACCCAGGGTCCCTTTGAGCTTCAAGCGAGGACTAAGGGAGACAGTGCAGGAAGGCGCCGGGTGGCAGGTGGCGCACAGCTGAGACCCGGTGAAGCGTAGCTGTTCTGAGGGCTCTCACCCTGTCCAGAGGATGAAGTCTGGCTCTGGCTCGATCTCCTTCATGGCGTAGATGGAGGAGTTGATGAGGACCCAGGGAGAATCGCAGAGGTAGTCCCCCCAGGGGCCCGAGTTGGGCACCGCCTGGGAGCCAGCTGACGGGCATACCTGCAAGGGGTCTTCGGATACCTTGTAATCAGGGTCGAAGTGCAGGTCAGAGATGTGCCAGAACTTCCCTGCAGGGGAAAGGAGACCCTCCTCAATGCTGGGCCCTCCCTGAGCCCGGATGGGGAGGCAGCTTGGGGGAAGCCTGGGCTGGAGGAGGGGAGGTTGTGCAGGTGGAAAGATCCAGAGAAAATGGGCCACGACATCTCCCCAGGAGGCACGGAGTGGAGCAGAGCACAGGCTTAGCTCTCTGGCCTGGGACCTTTGACAAGACCCTCTCCATTCCCTACCCCAGCGTGCTGTAGCATGAGGGACTTGGCTGAAGCGTGACCCTCAAGAAGCCTTTGGAAGTTCTAAGAAAAGTGCTTGTCTTAAAGCAAAGGTGGGAGGGATCAAGGTTAAGCCCTCAGGCTCTAGAGCCACATACTAGCTGTGTGACCTTGGGCAAGTTGCCTTACCTCTCTGAGCCCATAATTAGAGCCATGTCTTACATGCTCGAGGGAAAGACACACAAAAATCTGCCCTGGGAGGAGGCTTGCGCACCAAATGTAAGGCCTTGCTAATTAGTACCATCAAAAACCTTGGGAATAGGTTCGGAAATAGAGTTTCAAAATGCTAGACCAGGGAGGTGGGACGCAATTTCAGATTGGGCTGAATCTCTCACGTGGGTGTACTTAGTGATTCCGGATGCAAGGTGGGGGCTCAAGCAGCTGGCAGCGATCCTGTTAGCTGCAGTGGTTGAATGGAGCCTGGTCTCAGCTCCAAACCAAGTGAGGCTGAAATGCCACACCTCCCCCCGTGTCATAGAGAGAAGGGAATCCAAAGAAACAGGCCACGTAGAGCGGATTCATCATCTGTACCCTGCACCGAGCCTGATGTGCATAGTTTCATTGATGTTTGTTGAAGAGGGTTGAATGGCCGCTGCCCTAAACAAGGGTGAGGCCTGGGATTTCCTCACCCTCCACTGTTGCTCTCACTTCCATTTTCTGTGTCACTCAGAGCTCACTGCGCAACCTCATGAAACCAGGCCTGGGCCTGGGCTTCTGTTGTTTTCGGGATTGGATGGCCAGGGTACCACCCAGTCACAGGACATTGTGTGTGGCTTCAGGACAGGCTGGAGGTAAAGCCTGGCCCCTGATCCTCACTTCTTGGCTTTTCCCTCCAGATGCTTCTGAGCTTTTGCCCACCTCTCTGGATCTAAACCTGGTCCCAAGAAAGAAGCAGAAACTTGTTCACATTAAGTTGCAAATAACTAACCAAGCAAATCCTTACCCTTCCCAAGGTCATTATATAGTCATCCTCACCACAACCCTGAAGATATCATTGATAATTATCCCCATTTTGCAGATAAGAAAACTGAGGTCAAAGGTCAACATGCCTGCAATCACACGGAAGGTGGTGGGGGGATTCTATTGCCCCCCACCCTCTCCCAGGAAGATGTAATTGCTAAGGGGAGAACACCAGTAACTTTTTATTTTAGATATGATTTTTAAAAAGTAGACGTTAGAGAGCAAGAGGAAAGGAGACAGTGAGATGAGGAAGAGAGAGAGAGAGAGAAAGAGAAAGATCAATTTATTGTCTCATTTATTCATGCATTCATTGGTTGATTCTTCTATGTGCCCTGACCAGGGATCAAACCCACAGCCTTGGCATATTGGGTCGACACTCTAGCCAACCTAGCTACCCAGCCAGGGCTTAGAAAGTTCTTCTTATAGACAGTCTATGCCTACATTTTTATTTTTTACCCAAACTGAGAGCTCTTGTTTATAATGGGAAGAATTAAGAATTTTCACACAAATTGTGATCACTAATATATTTATTTTACTCTTATGGGACAAAATTCTAAACCCGAGGAAAGAAGCTACTGCCCCATTTCCAGCAGTAAATGAACAGAATGGATGGCTTTCCCAAGCCCTCGCACTGAGACTGAGCGGGTCACCGCCGCTTCCAAGCCTGAGAGCGGGCTGGCCAGGCTGGCTGCCCTGAGCGCCCTCTGCCCTCCCCTCTGAAGACCGCAGCTGCGACCACGTTCATGACTCAAGTACGCTCTTTCCCAACTAACCACAAACATTGAGCAGTTCTGCCCTTACATCTCATCCCTCAAAATATTCAGTAAACATTTCTCCACTTCAGAAACTCCTTGTCCACTGACGGAGGTTCAAGTGCCAGCAGTTTTCCTCTTCTTGCACACTCCGGTCTAGTCAGTGTGTAAATCTGAGACTCCTTCCAGTTCCCTGCATGTCCTGTGACCTGTCCGTGTGTGTGTCTGAAGGTCTGACTCCAGGAGAGGCCAGGACAGTGGGAAGGACGGCAGAGAGAGCCAGAGGTCCAGGCAGGGGACCCCAGCTCCCTGGATTCCAGTCTCCTCCTTGTGGAGGTGGCTCACAGAGACTGCACCTGGCACTCCGCCCAGCTCACCCCACCCATTCTCCTCACAAGTCCCCTTTCTTGTTCCCCCACTGCCTTCCTCAGTCCTCCCCAGGTCATCACATGGCAGTTTTCTCCCCCATTTGGGCATCAGTCCAAAGGTCACCTCCTCAGAGAAGCCTTCCATGACTACCTTTTCTCAAGTATCATTTCCCCCAACCATCTGGTTACTAGTTATTGCCTCCCTCAGTTTTCTTTTCTTTCTTTTTTTTTAAATTTTATTTATTTATTTTTAGACAGATAGGAAGGGATGGAGAGAAACTTCAATGTGTGGATGCCTCTCATGTGCCCCCTACTGGAGAGCTGGCCCCACAATCCAGGCATGTGCCCTGACTGGGAATCAAACCTGTGACTCTTCGGTTCGCAGGCGGACACCCAATCCACTGAGCCACACCAGCCAGGGCTCACTTTAGGACACTCTCACAGGTGAAATCATCTAGTTGGCTTGTTTATCATCCATCTTCCCTGTCTACAGTGTCAGTTCCATAAGAACACAAAGCCTATCTTGTTGACCTGTATCCTCAGCACCCAGGACAGTGCCTATGATGTAGAAGATGCCCAAATATACTTGTATATTCAATGAATAAGCAAGGCTGTGCAGAGGAGGATTAGCACTCAAAGAACGTTGGCTAGGTGCCTGCTAGGTGCCTTTACCTGCTTGTCTCATTTCACCCTTGCAGCCATTCTCTGAGTTGGGATTCTTACATGCACCTACCAGATGAGGAAACTGAGGCTCAAACCCAGACCTCTCTCTGACTCCAAAGCTGAGACACAGTGTTGACTCAGAGCCCCCAGAAGGTGGCTTTTATACTACACATGTGTTACCCAGGCATCTGTGGAAATCGTCACAGACTGTGAGGAATTAAGCTTTAACTGCCATGTCATGAAGAAGGGGGTGGGCACAAGAACCATGGACAGGGAGGCAGGTGATCTGGTTTCTAATCCAGGCTCTTCCGTGTGTTGGCTGAGGACTCTGGGCAAGCGGTTGGCCTTGCTGAGCCTGAGGGTATTTGACGTCTGGCCTGAGCACCAAATAAGTTAGTGAAGGAGAAAGGGCTTGTAGGCAAGAATCTCACTACACCACCGTCCTTGGCAATTCCTCTTGGGGCAGGAGTGAGCCTGGGACGGTGTGGGGAACTGAGCTCTTGCACCTTTTAGACTAGAGCTTCTCACACTTTACTGTGCAGACCCCTCACCTGGAGATCTCATTAAAATTAAGAGGCTTTATATGTTCATCCTGCGGGCTTTAAAGTAATTTTATTTTAAATAAAACAAATAAAATTTATTAGTACTTTAAAGTACTAATTTAAAGTACTTTAAAGTAATAAGTATTCGTGTATTTCTTGAATTTTAAGAAAAGTTATACTAAGCTGCTATTATTATTCATTAATTATTGAGAATAGGAATAGATTTGGTATCAAGAACAATGAGTAGTTAGTTGAGGGCACAGATCTGGGCTGGAATTCCAGCTCCACCACCCACTAGCTGTGTGAACAAGAGCATCTTACTCTGTCCCTCAGTTTTTCCTCATCTGTAAAATGGGGACAACAGCACCCCCTGCCTCTTCAGGTCATTGTGAAGGTCCAAACAACACAACGTGAGATAAGGCGAAAGCACTCAGCAATGCAAAGCAGCAGTCGCTCTGAATTTGGTCCCTGGGAGATCCTGCAAGTCCTCCTTTGACCACAGGAGGGAGATGGGGCCTGAGGGAGTGACTGCGTCCTTCCCCTGCTTGTCCCAGCGTCCTCTCAGCTGCTGTCCTCTGCCAGTAAGGTGCAGGCCCAGGGACAGGATGTTTGAAGCAGAACAATGTGAGGACAGATCCTGTCTCCTTCTAGATGGTTCTTGTCCAATACAGGGCTGATGGGCACAGCACACCCTCTAGTTTTCATTTTGACAGCTCAGCCCAGCTCCCTGTCCCTGGGCAGGCAAAAGTCTGCTGGCCCTCCTCCTCCTCCTTTATAAAAAGGGTCACGGGGCCTCCTTGTCCCCAGGGATGACACAGGGCCCAGGGCCTAGTCACTTTGTAAGGCCCATGGAAATATCTGAAACCTGAAAAAATAATTCTCTGGCTCCAAAATTTAGGGGGGAAAATGCCATCAAAATCAAGAAATCATTTCAAAAGCAATATCAAATATTAAACATTTAATTAAAAATCACATACAATGTGTGATCCTTTTACTATGATTTGTGATGGGGTGGGGGACTCACAAAAATCATTCCTAGAGCCCAAGAAGGTCTTAAACTGGCCAAAAGGTGAATTTGTTTATGGTCAGAGAGAAGAAAAGGAAGGCAGGCAGACACCTGCCATTTATTTAGCCTCTACTAAATGCCAGAGGCTGTGCCAAATACTCTAGCCACTCAGCCTCAGTACATAATTATGAAATACGTTCTATTTCAGTAACCATTTTATAGATGAGGAAAGTGAGCTAGTTAGCAACAGATGTGAATCAAGTCAGAACAGAAATGCTCATGGTACACTTTACTCTGCCACTAGCTAGCAGTGTGACCTTGGATATTTAAAAAATGGTCCCTTCAACTTTTACAGAGCTTTATCGTGTATGTGTGTGACCTCACTTAACTATCACATTTAATCTCTCCTCTGCTATTATCCCTATTTTATAGGTAGTCGGGTAGAGACTCAAGGTCACATAGGTAGTAAAAGGTTAGACCTAGGTTTTCTGGCTTGAGGCCATGGATTGGTTTTGAAGGAGCAAACATGAAATTTGGAATCAGGAAAATCTTGTTTTAAATCCCGGTTCCTCCACACAGACAGTGGCAACGTGAATAAGAGGTTTCCTCAGTTGGGCCTCAGTTTCCTTAGCTGTAACATGGGGATGGTAATGTCAGTAGCACAGGGATGGAGGTGTGGATGAGAGGAGAAATCTCGTATGGAGCACCCGGCCGCAGGCTGGACAAGCCAGCAGGGGTGCTCCTTCCCTGGGCCACTCTGACCCTCAGGCCTCGGGTTTTCTCCTCTGATGCCTTTACTTCCTCAAGTGTGATATGAGGCGATAACAAAGGTTATCTGAAGGCCCTGCCAGTTCTAACGCTCTGTGATTCCACGACTTTGTGATGCACATAACGCATACCACCAAGCAATCTTGGTCTCTATTTCAGTCCTCCGTTTTTAATGCTAATCAATAACCCCAAACATTTCCATTGTTATTTCTTCTCTGTAAACTAAGGCCTCCAAAACACAGGGGGTTCACTTGTAAAATCCAGCATTTACTGACCCTTGTGTTAACTATGTGGATTGCCCTTTCCTCACATCAGCCCCATGAGGTAGGCTTACCATTCTAGAGGGAGATGTTTTTCTACCATGCGGACCCACCCTGAAAAAACTCGTCTGTTTCTGTGCATCTAGAAGCCGGAGGACAATGCAGTGTTGCACAGGGTATGTGTGGGAGGAGAGAAGGAGCCAGCAAGTTGGTGCCCTACCCAAGCTCTCGCCTGAGGAAGATGGAGATAGAAACCCCACAGTTTTTTGCAAAGCAGGACTGATTGCTATCTGATTGGATGTCCCAAAGTTCTCTTGCACTTCTAAAAGAGACTCAGATTCTGTAAAAACTTACAGGTGTTGTGGAATTCTTTTTAAATTTAATTTTGTTTTTAAATGATAGATGTATATATTCCAGAAAGTTTGGAGGAAAAAAAAAATAGTACCTGTAAAAACCATCATCCTGCCCTGGCTGGTGTGACTCAGTGGGTTGAGAGCTGGCCTGAAAACTGAAAGGCTGACGGTTCAATTCCCGGTCAGGGCACGTGCCTGGGTTGAGGGCCAAGTCCCGTACTGGGGGCAACCTGTGAATGTTTCTCTTGCACATTAATGTTTCTCTCCCTCTCTTCCTCTCTCCCTTCCTCTCTCTCTAAAAATAAATAAAGTCTTTTTTAAAAAGCATCCCAAGAGAATATGTCAAGGGCATGATGCAAAAGGCAACTGAGTGCTGTGAAGATTAATAAACAGAAACCTCATTAACACTGGAGTTGGGAGGGCCTGTAGGGGGTGCTCTCATACCCTAACACTCACAGTCAATTACCTCATAACAGGAAAAGACTTACTTTCCATCTCCAACAGGAAGATGTTTTTCTACTCTGCTACGCCAGCAGGAAGAAGGAGGATCGTTTTCTTGCCTGGCAACCACTCAGCCAATGAAAAGTTGCTACACTTCAACTCCCACTTAGTTGGTACTTAGTTTAACTACTTAGGAAAGTCTCAGGCACACCAGTTTCCTCTAATGGACTCCTTGTTTACAGCAGCCCTTCTGAAATCCTTCTTTTCTCTGTAAAACAACCGTTCCCACCCTTGGTTCTCTGGGCCTGCTGCCGTTTGCCATTAGACCACATGCCCTGAATAAACCTGCGTTGCTGGAGAAATATCTGGCTGGCTGTTCGTTTAAGGTGGATAGTACAGACTTGGTCCTGCCACTTCCTAGCGTTGGGATCTTGGGCAAGTGTTGTGTGCCCCTAAGTCTCATTTTCTTCATCTGCAAAATGGATATAATGGTAATAGAAACCACTTCACAGGGACTAGAAAAATCAAATGAGGTTTTTATTTTATGTTTCAAATAGGCTTGAAAAAGAGAGCATATGTCAAGCACCTAGCACAAGTGTGGCCCATCAAGAACGCTCAATAAACAAATGTTAGCTCTTCATGGCTATTGTCCTTAGTGTTTGTTTGTTTGTTTTTACATAATATTATTTTAAAACAGATTGGAATTGTACAAGCCCAGTTCAGGTCCAGACTCAGACATTAACTAGATGTGTAACCTTGGTTAGTTACTTAACTTCTCTAAGGCTCAGTTTCCATGATGATCCCTCTTCACAAGGTCGCTATGAGGGTACTGTGTAAAATTTCAGCAGTGTGAGGCACACAATAAGTATTTAATAAATATTACTTTTTGTTTTCAATTTTGCTGTATCGTCTTGAATCTTTTCCACCAGGAGATTTTACTATAATCTATTTAGCTAAATTATTGTTGTTAGCAATTTTTTGTTAATATTATAAAAAATACTACAATGACATCTTAGTGCATTTGGAGGGAGGAGAAATTCTTTTTAATCACTACGACCCTGGGCTGGGGGGCTTGCCCATTGGCATTTGGATTTCTAAGAAAACATATTTAAAAGTGAGAGAGTGCCCTGACAGGTGTGGCTCAGTTGATTTGGCACCCTCCTGCAAACTGAAAGGTTGCCAGTTTGATTCCCGGTCAGGGCAGGTGCCTGGGTTGTGGGCCAGGTTCCCAGTTGGGGCATGTGTGAGAGTCCACCAATCCATGTTTCTCTCATACATCAGTGTTTCTCACCCTCTCTTTCTCCCTGCCTTCCCCTCTCGCTACAAATAAATAAATAAAATCTTAAAAGTGAAAGAGTGAGGGAAAGACCGAGGGAGTGAAAGAGCTTTTCAATCATTCCCAAACCTCTAGTCAGACTGGCAGGGCTCTGAGTTCCCCAGAGGGGAGCTGAATGTCTGTCTCTCAGTGGAAGGAGGACACATCCTATTAGGGCTTGTCCCAGAGATAGTTCTACCTTTAAGTCACAGCTTTTGGATGTGAGTCCTTCCCAGGCATTTCGCTCTGGTCTCCTGCTACCACCTCCCATCTCCTGCTCGCTGAGATGCCTGGCCACATTGGCAGAGTGCTTTGCCAGGGCTCTCAGCTGCTCCTGGATAAGGTCTGAGGAAGCGGGTGACCAGAGGACTGACCAGGACTGAGCTCCAAAGGGACAAGCAACAAGCAGAACCCTGAGCTGGTCCTTCTCCTCTCAGCTTCAATTTCTGCAGTTGCAGAAAGGGTGCTGGATCATCTCTAAGATTCCATTCAAAGGACTCGAGAGAAGGGCTACCTAGCGTCCTAAAGAAGCAGGTGCAGCCCTCCCTCTGACTCCCCGCTAACTGCATGGAAACCTCGCCTTCCAGCAGGCATCTTGGACTGGATGTATTCCAAATCAAACTGCTCTCCTCCTCCCGCATCTCAGCAAATGACAACCCTGTCCTTCCAGTTGCTGAGACTAAACCTTGCGTCCATCCTGGAGTCCCTCTCTCTCACTCCCACCCATCTGTCAACAAGTCTTGTCCAGAATCAGACCACCTCCCACCACCTCCGACCCTGCTACCCCAGGCCAAGCCGCCATCATCTCTCACTGGGTGATGGCACTAGCCTCCCCTGCTGGTTCAGCTGCTTCTCCTTTACTAGGGTGACCAACTGTCCCAGTTTGTGCAGGACTTCAGGAGTGTCCAAGGCTCTAAACTTGGAGTGCTAAAATTTGGAAAGTGCCCTGGCTAGTGTGGGTCAGTGGATTGAGCACCAGCTTGTCAACTGACAGGTCACTCGTTCCGTTCCCAGTCAGGGCACATGCCCAGGTTACAGGCCGGGTCTCTGGTTGGAGACATGCGAGAGGCAACCAATTGGTGTTTCTCTCTCACATTGATGTTTCTCTCCTTCTCTTTCTCTCTCCCTCCCCCACCTCTCTAAAAATAAATAAATAAATAAAATCTTAAAATAAAATTAGGAAAGTCTCAGGCACACTGACAAGATAGTTTCCCTGCATCTTCTGAGTACAATGGCCCAAGGCTCCTTTTAAGTATATGCATGCCAGATCACATCTCAGCTCTGCCTAAAACCTCCTGATGATGTCCCATTTCACTCTGCCTCAAACCGTCTACAAGTTCATACATGAGCTGCTGCGGGCCTCCTGGCCCACCCCCGCAGTCCTGCGACCTCTACCATCCCCCCGCCCACTCTGCTCCAGCCTGGTTCATCCTCACACTCATCGCCTGTGCGTCCAGCTCGGGGCCTGTGAACTTTCTGTCCTCTCTTACTGGAATGTTCTTCTCCGGGCATCCATATGGCTCTCTCTCTCCCTGCCTTAGGTCTTTGCTCAAATGTCACTTTATGAAACAGCTCTTCTCTGGCCACCTCTCCCCACTCCCTTTATTCTGCTTTATTATTTTCTATAACACTTGTTGTCTCCTGGAATACTATGTATTTACCCATGTCTTTTGGTTTGTTTCTTCCCAGAGGAAGGAATGCTTCAGGGGGACTGGGGCTTTGTTTGTTTTCTTTTCTGTTTCCTAGAATAGCTCGTGGTACAGGGAAGGCCCTCAGCCAACATTTGCTGAGTGAATTCATGAATCTTCCTGCCACCTTCTCCCTCTACCAGCTGGCTCTGACTACCAGAGATTCAACACCTCTTAGCAAAGTCATTGTCCCTCCCCCGGGGGGCTGCTGTCTGCACTTAGAATCTTCCGGATCGCCCCTACCGCCTGCTAACTCCCTCAGCTGGCCTCCAGGCGCAGCTCCCTGCCTTGCTACTTCTAGCAACACCACCAGCTTTCTGTGAGCAGCTTCCAGCAACCTTGATCCGGAGTTCACAGTACAAAACAAAGACATCACAGGTGTTTGCAGCGCCTACCTGGTTCAGCCCTGGTGACTCTCCAGTGGGCTAGGAAAATCAGCAGCGTGAGTAGCCTCATTCTAGGGGCCCGCCTCACAGGAGACCTGAGGTTCTCCAGGAGCTATTGTTCAAGCCACAGGCTTCCCGACTAGTACTTGGTGGCCAGTTGCCTGAGGAGAGATCCTGTGTGTTCCCAGGCATCTAAGGCATCTGGCTCCTCTGGTTTTTCTTCTGTTGCCTAGCAGGGTGTGAGCTGGCTTTTGAACTCTGAGCTGGAAAATAGTGCTAGTCCCTGACTGGCGTGGCTCAGTGGGTTGGGCATCATCCCTGAAAAGCGAAGGGTTTCTGGTTTCATTCCCAGTCAGAGTACATTACCTGGGCCGTGGGCCGGGTCCCCGGTTGGGCGCTCGTGCGAGGGGCAACTGGTGGTGGATGTTTCTCTTACACATCATGTTTCCCCTCTCTCTAAAAATAAATAAATAAAATCTTAAAAAGAAAGTAGCACCTGTTCCGCCAGTTCCTCAGACCGTGTTCATCCAGCCAGCAACTGGATTCTCCAAGGAAGCTACCCAGCCCCAGACTCTGAGAGGCAGATGTCATTAACCCTTGGAGTTTTTATGTTGCCTCACCCAGCAGAACAAGCCTGTGCAGTATGATTGGTCTTTGCCATAAAAGGAATTTAACCGCTAGTTGGAGTTAGAACTGCTCAACCACAAATGAACCAAGAGTAAGAGTCATTCATTGATTCATGCTGGGAACTGTTGAAATGTATTGGGACATGGAGGACCTAAGCGACCGTCTATGCTGGAACAAAGAAGGTGTGCACACCGTCACTGGCCAAATACCTGACCACAAGATTCCCCATTATTGGAAGCAACTGAGACATAGCAGCCGGTATCCTGCTGGAAACCAGCAGATTCCTCACTGCCCTTCCTCTCTCCCTTGAGCTTATTCCAGAAATGAGGCCCATAAATCTCTAAGACTTTCTGTTGCCAAATCAGACATCCCTGACCAGAGGATATTGTCTTGCAAACACCTATACCCAGGACTCCTGGGGCAGATCCTCAGGGTGACCCACCCTCCCCGGGGGTCTGCTACACACCCTATGAACCCTTCTACCCTTTCCCTTGCTGCTGCAGTCCGTTCTGACTCAGCCCATCTGATCGCATTGTCTCGCCTCGAATAAAAGCCCTTCATTGGAACTTTTTGGCTCCCAGTCCTTTCTTAGTCACCTCGGTGACCTAACAGGAACCTATCCTAGGGAGATGGATGTGACCCAGGGCAGCCTCTGCCCTCAAGATAGGGAGGTACTAGATTTATCAAGATGACCACTTAGTAAGTTATATGATGTCTAATCACTGGGATGTACACCTGAAACTAATACAGTATGTATGCGAACATAGAGTACGCGAACCCTAATTGAAAAATAAAAAAGTATTTAAATAAAAAAAGGAAGTGTCAAATCAGGCCCTAGCTGGTGTGGTTCAGTGGACTGAGCGCTGGCCTGCAAACTGAAAGGCATCATGGTTAAGAGTTGGGAAGCTCAGTTTCCTCATCTGTAAAATGGGGATGACAATAGTGTATACCTCATTTAGATGTAAATGAATAAAGTGAAGTTTAAGTGAATAAAGCAGGACCTTCTGATCCTTCCCTCTTGACCCAGAGCCACACCCAGATCCTATGTCTTTGCCAAGCTTATGCCCTTTGCTCCTATTAAAAAAAGCTATCCACAGTATATCTCTCAGTGTAACAAATGTACAGTAACATGCTGTGTTAATTGGGAAAATAAATGTAAACTCCTAATCTTAAAAAATAAATGTTTTCCTTGCTGAGTGATTACTAAGTGGCCCCCCAGAGCAGCGCCCACTGCCTGTCGACAACTCTCATGAGGCTCCTGGGTACTGTTCTCCATGCAAAGGAGGGACACTGAGCTCCCATCTTGGGAAAAGGAAGGAACCACACCGGATGGGAGTGAAAGGTCCTCAGGTGGCCACAGCCAGAAGGCTTTAAAGAACATCAGCAGTACCGATAGGGCAAAGGAACCAACCTTTCACTGGGCATGACATGACATGACAACTGCAGCATCAAAAGAGCATAATTATTATTTTATTATTGCCACTCTTATAGTTTTTGGAGCAAGTAGCATTTGTGAAAGGCTGTGAAATCATGACGACAATCCAAATAGAAAAGCTCCAAGTAGAAAAGGAGCCCAGAAGGTAGTTGAAATGCCCCTAAACAGTGACTGTTATAGGGTATGTTTAACTTTTTTATTTTAATAAGTAATATTAATATATACAGGTACTTGGTTTAATTTTTATATTTTTTTCAATTAGTATTTATATTCAATATTATTTTATATTAGTTTCAGGTACTTTGCTTCTTTTATTAATTAGATGTCTGTTTACAAAGGGTACATATGTACTTGTTCCCACCTGGGTAAGGAAGCAACTCACGCGCCTATGAGAAGTCAGAGCTAATGGAACTGTGGGCAGAACAAGAAGGGCTGATGGGCTGGGCTGCTCACACGCAAAAACCAAGTAGAAGGCGAACACAGCAGCGCGCTCCTAGAACTAATTAGCCAACTATCCTAGAGTCCTGCTAGCTCCACAGACTATTCCTCCTCTTCTGGGAAGGGAAGCCTTCAATGTGGTCCTATGAATACAACAAAATAATGTATCAGTAGAAATAAATGAATTTTTCAAAATTGCAAAAGTCCCCACCAATGTAGTGAATGGGACAAAGGTTATATAATGCTGACAAGTAAAACTGAAAGCTCATGACTTTGAGGAAAGACATTAGGTTGCAAAAAATTTAAACGTATGAGATAGGTGTGACTTTAAAAGTCTTACAAACATTACAAAAAGGAGGCTCAGCCTGGTAATCTGTGGGCCGAGGGAACTCCCCTTGGTCAACACAAGCAAGTCTTGAGTCCTGACCAAAAATCAATTGAAGACCCAGATCCAATGTCAAGTGGACTAATACAACATCCCTTTTTCTTTTCAGTGTGATTGGATTTTTGAAAGCCCAGTAAGGAATAAAAGTAATATTACAGACCCCAAGAATGATAACAAAATAAATAAAACAACGCTCCAAGGAGGCAGGGGCAGGCGTCTCCAGATTTTGAGGGGCTTGAAGCTTAAGTAATTTGTCTGGCTTTATTTAAGAAAAAGAATTCAGAGTATGGTATAGAAGTAAACACGTATCTAGACAAAAGAAAGGGCCTTGGAAGAGGCTGTGCAAGTGAGGTGCTCTGAAGCTTAAAAGCCATTAGCTTCACAACAAACTATCTTTTTTGTGTTTTGTTTGCTCATCAAGATAGTTGGAGTATTCATAAGAATTGGCCATACTAAAACTTTAGTTGCAGTTTAAAATGTTAAGGATATTTAATTTTGTAAACAATATTTAAATACCCAAAAGATTGGTTTCAAGTTCTACTACTTATAAGAGTTTAATAAATTGAGCATTAAACAAATAGTTGAGAGTGTTTTGCCACATACAAAAGCCTCTCTGGTATTAAAATAATTCTATCACTATTATCCAATTAATAGTGATTATTACTGCTAAAAACAATCAGTACAATATAAAATTGAAAATGGCTACCACACCCAGTAAAATTCTTAAACAAAAAAATGGAAAAATCACATTTTGTGCATAACACTGAAAACTGCAAAAAGTCCTGTGAATCAAATTGTACTTGATAAAAATAAATGAGCACCCATAAAATTATAGTGATAGATGTAAAAAAAAAATCAGTAAAAATTGGTGTGGATCAAATTTGCATGATGAATTAAACCCTCATTGCCCAGGAAAAAATACTGATCCACAAAAAACAAAACAAAAAAAAAAATTTCAGCAAAATTGAAAATGGGAAAAATAAGGAAAGCTAAATCTCATTGCACAAAAATTGATCGGAGAATTGAGCATAAATGAAACTTCATCAGTGTTGGGACAATTCTGATTAAAATATATGTGTTTATAAATTGGAGGCAAAATGAGCTTGCAGATTAAAATGACAGTCAAAAGCTTTGGGAGATAATGCATATCAAGCATTTAGCAGTGATAATGTATGTATATGGCATGTAGTATGTACTCAATAAACACCAAAGTGGATTAAAAAATGTTGTAAATCATGGTAAAATACAAACAACATAATATTTACCATTTTCACCATTTTATTATTTTATTTATTTTTATATATATTTTATTGATTATACTATTACATTTGTCCCATTTTTTTCTCCCCTTTGTTTCCCTCTGCCCTGCACCCACCTTTCCATCAGCATCCCCCACCCTTAGTTCATGTCCGTGGGTCATACATATAAATTCTCTGGCTTCTCCAGTTCCTATGCTATTCTTAACCTCCCCCTGTCTACTACTTATACTTATTCCCAGTACCTTTCCCCCCATTCTCCTCTCTCCCCCTCCCCACTGATCTCCTTTACTGTGATTCTTCTGTTCCTGTTCTAGTTGTTTGCTTAGTTTGTTTCTGTTTCAGGTTCAGTTGTTGATAGTTGGGAGTCTGCTCTCATTTTACTGTTCATAGTTTTTGATCTCCTTTTTCTTAGATAAGGCCCTTTAACGTGTCATATAGTAAGGGCTTGGTGATGATGGACTCCTTTCACTCGACCTCATCTGGGAAGCACTTTATCTGCCCTTCCATTCTAAATGACAACTTGGCTGGAGAGAGTAATCTTGGATGGTAGGTTCTTGCCTTTCATGACTTTTTCAATACTTCTCTCCAGCCCCTTCTTGCCTGCAAGCTTTCTTTTGAGAAACCAGCTGAGAGTCTTATGGGAACTCCCTTGTAGGTACCTGTCTCCTTTTCTCTTGCGGCTTTTAAGATTCTCTCATCATCTTTAATCTTGGGTAATGTAATTATCATGTGCCTTGGTGTGTGCTTCCTTGGGTCCAACTTCTTTGGGACTCTCTGAGCTTCCTGGGTCTCCTGGAAGTCTATTTCCTTGGCCAGAGTGGGGAAGTTCTCTTTCATTATTTTTCCAAATAAGTTTTCAATTTCGTGCTCTTCCTCTCCTCCTTCTGGCACCCCTATGATTCGGATGTTGGAACCTCTAACGTTGTCCCACAGGTCCCTAAGCCTCTTCTCATTTTTTAAAATTCTTGTTTCTTCTTCATTCTCTTCTGGGTGAATGTTTATCTCTTCCTTCTGCTCCAAATTGTTGATTTGAGTCCCGGTTTACTTCCCTTTACTGTTGGTTCCCTGTATATTTTTCTTTCATTTTGCATACCCTTCACTTTTTCCTCCATTTTGCAACCATACTCAACCATCTCTGTGAGCATCCTGATCACCAGTGTTTTGAACTGTGCCTCTGACAAGTTGGCTATTTCTTCATCGCTTAGTTCTAATTTTGGAGCTTTGATCTGTTCTTTCACTTGGGCCATATTTCTTTGTCTTGGAGCACCTATTATATTGTAAGGGGTGGAGCCTTAGCTATTCACCAGGGCGGGGCAATGTAGGTCACTGCCTTGTGATGCTGTATGCGGGGTAGGGGTCAGAGAGGAAACAGTGCCACTTGCTTAGCTCTCAGCCTGCTTTCAGTCACCTCCCCACTACCCACAAGCAATTCAGGCCATTCTGGTGATGATTCTTGGGTGGGTGCGTTTGCGTACATTCTAGGACCTTCTGGGTCTCTCCAACGAACTCTCCTATGAGGTTATTCTCCTGCTGCCACATCCCCCACAGGTTTTTACAGCCAGGAGTTTTGAGGCTTTCTTTTTCTGCACTGGAACCTTGGGTTGCAAGGTCTGTCTCACTCCCCAGCTGTTTCTCTCAGTTTATCTACACTCAAATGTGGAACCACCCAGTCTGCCAGCTGCCACCTTGCTGTGTGTCCTCTCTATCCGACTGCCCATCTCCTGCCCTCCTACCGATCTGCATGAATGTTTCTTCTTTAACTCCTTGGTTGTTGGACTTCCATACAGTTCAATTTTCTGGCATATCTGGTTATTTTTTGTTTTTAAATTTGTTGTTGTTCTTTTGGTTGTGCGAGGAGGCAAAATGTATCTACCTATGCCTCCATCTTGGCTGGAAATTAATCCTTCCATTTTCACCATTAAAAAAAAGATTTTATTTATCTACCCTTAGAGAGAGGGGAAGGGAGGCAGAAAGAGAGAGAGAGAAACATCATTCGGTTACCTCTCACACACGTCCCAACGAGGGACAGGGCCCCCAACCCAAGCATGTGCATGACCAGAACCAGACTTTGCTTTGCAGGATGATGCTCAACAGTTGAGCATGCTAGTTAGGGCCATTTTCACAATTTTTAGGTGTACAGTTCAGTGACATTAACTATATTCATGTTCTTGTGCAATTATCACCACTATCTGTCTCCAGAACTTTTTCTTCCCATGAGGAAACTGTACCCATTAAACAGTAAGTCCCCATTCCTCACTCTTTCCACCCCCTGGCCACCACTGTCCTACTTTCTGTCATTACAAATTTGACTACTTTAGGTACCTCATGAAAGTGGTATCATACAGTATTTGTCCTTTTGTGACTGGCTTATTTCACTTAGCATATCTTCAAGGTTCATCCATATTGTAGTATGTGTCAGAATTTCCTTCCTTTTTAAGACAGATTAATCACATTTTATATCTATATCATATTTTATTTATCAATTCGTGTGTCAATGGGTTGCTTCCACTTTTTGGCTGTTGTGAATAAGGTTGCTAGGAACACGGGTGTACAAGCATCTGTTTGAGTCCCTGCTTTCATCTTCGGGATATATACTGCTGGATCATATGATGACTTTATTACTATTTTTTGAGGAACTACCGTACTGTTTTCTATAGTGGCTGCACCATTTTATATTCTCCCTAACAGTGCACAAGTGTTCCGATTTCTCTACATCCTCACCAATACTTGGTGTTTTCTAATTTTTTTTTAATAGTAGCTATCCTAATAGGTCTGTGTCACCAGATCATTTTTCAAATGCAATTTCTCCTTTTTTTGGTCTTGCTGCAGGTTTCCTTGATAGTAGCCTACCTGGAAAGGGAAATGGAAGACTTCTTGGAAATCACTATGTGACAGGAAGATTGTAAGGTGACAGAACTAAACCTTGAGAGATAAATTCATTCTCTCTCTCTCTCTCTCTCACACACACACACACACACACACAGTAAATACCAATTATTTTGGCACTGACTGAGGACTGACTCCTCTGTTCAATTTATCAGATCACCATGCTTTTGGGGTTTTTTTAAGATTTTCTTTATTTACTTTTAGAGAGAAGGGAAAGGAAGGAGAAACAGAGGGAGAGAAACATCAATGTGTAGGAGATACATCAATTGGTTACCTTTCATATGCCCCCAACTGGGGACCTGACCTGCAACTCAGAAATGTGCCCTGACTGGGAATCGAACCGGAGACCTTTCAGTTCACAGGTCAGTCATTGCTCAATCCACTGAGCCACACCAACCAGGGCAGATCATCAAGCTTTTGAAAAGATGTGCAAAAATCTTATTTTGATGTTTTGCACTGGGTTATATTAAGACATATTCATTTCATTTCTTTTTTAAGTGTTGATATTCACAGCTGAATTTTTAACTGGTTGAACCCCAAATGAAGCCAATTACCGTATTTTGCCATATATAATGCACACATTTTTGCCCAAATTTTTGAGGGAAATATAAGGATGTGCATTATACATGGGTATAATGAATAAATGCCATTGGTATGATCCCATGTATAACATGCACAAAACCATGAGTGTGCATTATACATGGCAAAATACAGTAAGTGGGGAAGAGAGGAATATTTAGGTGTGAGAGAACAACAGGTGCAGAAGCCCAGTGGCAAAAAAGGAGTCCAGCATTTTTAAGTGGCTGAAGGGTCAGCATGGCTGGAGAATAGGAAGCAAGAAAACATGGTAACTCAAGTAAACTCACATCTTAAATTTCCCAGAACAATATTAATTTCAAACATTTTATCCTATATATCATAAATTTGTTCCTGCTTGTCAGACTATGTAAGTCTCAGTCACCTTGAGCTTAATATAATAATGTTTTTCTTGGTATGCCTCAGACTTTTCTCTTTGGCTGTATCTAGTTTATTCCTCAGCAATGATTTGGAGACTTACAGAACTTACAAGTAACATCTGTCCCACAGACATCTTTATTTGGCCTGCACAGTATTCTGAAATTGTTTGTTTTTTCAAAAACTTAAACTTCAGAAATTTTTACACAAAAATCCAGATATCTGACATCTGCTAAAACACAAAGATGATCTGGCAATACTGGGTGCATATTCTCTATGTCAGTTGCTATTTACTATTACATTTGGGTAGTTATTTTCCTTACTGTGAAGGAAAAAAGTGAAAAAATTTTTCCCTCTGTTATCCAACCCACTACATTTATAGTTTTCCTGCCTAACCCCATTGTCCTTAGAGTTTGTCTAGGATGTTCAAGAAGGCATAGATAGTAACTACACTGGTAGATGAAATCAGACTTTCTGGGCTTGAATGCAGGCTCCCAAAACTCAGCCTCTTTGTGCCTCAGTTTTTTTATCTGTAAAATAGGGACAATAACAGGACTTTACTATCCTCACAGGATTTAGTTAATAAATGTAATATGCTTAAGACAGTACCTGCTGTTTTAATAAAAGAAAATAAAATGATGCAGGAGCCCAGGAAACATGTCTACCTTCTTTACCATTGAATCCCAATGGCCAACACAGTTTAAAACAAAAGAGGAATCAGTAGATATTTTAAATAAGTGGTAGGGGGATTTCTAATAACCTAGTAGTGTTTAGAGCAAGGAACTGATAGATGCGTTCCACGCTCTGTAGGAGGAACACACCACATTATACGGAGAGTAGTTGAAGCAACAGAATATGTGGAGCTGGATTTGACTGGGGTAAGGACAATTCGGGAGGGCGCAATCCTCAGATTTTTAGGAAGGCCATCCTGGGCAAAAGAGCAGATTTCTTACAGCTTCACTGGGGAGAATCAGGACTGGGAGGGGGCGGAGGGGGCAATAACAAATGAGAACTTGGCTCTTTATGTTAAAGGTTAAGGAATTCCACGAGGTGTTGCGAAGCAAGTACTGTAAGGAACCGAAACGCGCATATCCCCGAAGACTGCGGGGCGGAGACTCCGAGGCTGGAATTCTATAGCACTTTAGATTAAGGCGTCGTGTGATTAGTGAAAATTTGGCGGGAACAGGAAAACGCCGAACGAAGGGAGTGACGTAAAATGCCGCTCATTGACGGGGGTGGGATTATACGGTCCTGAAATGCGGAAGTATTAGTGGATTGGTTGCTTTATTGAGCATAGATACCATCCTGCGAACCCTTGCTTCCGTTTGCGCAGCGTGTTTTGCCCTTAGTAAAGACGGCCGCGGAGGCTTCCGGCCTTACAGGAAGTGGCGTGAGCGTCTTCGGAAGCACGGCCCGCAAGGACAGGAAAAGACCTAGGACTCACGAGCATTGATTGGCTGAAGCGAGAAGCGTTCTGGACACTGATTGGCTCCGCCATTCGCGGGAAGGAGTTTGTGGCGCCATCGAAAAGTAGATATAGCGCTGCGACCGCAACAAGGTTCTGAGGCACTGGGCGAACACAGCAAACTGGAACTTCCAGGGCGTCTTCCCTGAGGAAAACGTGACCAAGATGTGGAATAGCAGTAATAAGTGGGGCAGAGGATGAGATTCACTAGAATTTAGCAAGCAGGGCAGGAATCGGAGAGGCGTGTAGCCGCGGCAGTGGGGAGGGGCGGGAGCTGAAATGGGGCGTTTGGGGGCCGGGGTCAGGGAGAGAAGATTAGGTAGATGCTGGGAGTGTTTGGGTGGGGGCAGTGAAGACTGAGGGGACCTGTGGATTTTTCAGAAGCTTGGAAAGCAACTCAGATACTAATACGATTGTTATTTAAAACCAGGTGGATATGAGAGCTACGGCAGCTCCACGTTCGGGGGAGCTGGTGGCTACACACAGTCCCCAGGCGGCTTTGGATCGCCGGCACCTTCTCAGGCGGAAAAGAAATCAGTAGGTTGAAAGAGTATTTCGTTCTATTTTATCTGTTCTGAACCTCGTAACTCATCCTCGTGAGGAAATTAATTCGGCGAAGGGTATAAAATAACTGATTCAATAAAGGTCAATTATTATCTTACAGAATCTTATAGTTAAGTGCTGTTAAGTCTGAAAAAAGGAACCTCCCCAAACTTTGCATCCACTGTTTCCTTGGCTTTATTTTGAAAGGTACTAATATTGCCAAAGTCTTGTGGGAAAACAACTTGTATTAATAGCCTGTGTTACATTTTTTATGTATTCAAAGTCGTTTTAAAACTAAACATAGATGATATAATGAGGTGGAAAGAACATGGTCGTTAAAGTCGAGTAGATCTGTTCTCTAAACACTAGTTGCAGAGTGTAGTATCATTGAACAAATTTCTTAACCTCCTTGGGAGTCAGTTTTGCACCTACTAAATGAGATTTATAATACATGCTTTCAAGGTTGTTGCGAGACTTAATATACTATATATGAAGTGCCTGCACCATAGTCGCTTTCAATAAATGGTCCTGGATATTATTTAAATGAAGCTAAGTATTGGAGCCAAAATAAAGTGTCTAGAATGTACTTTGCCTTTTAACTGGAGGTGTGAGTTTAGTGAAGTGACATGAACCCTGTAGTTTTGGTGGCCCTTGGTTTTTTCCTGTCTGATAATGGTACTGGTATTACTCATACTACAAGGATTTCATAAATAAGCTAATGTATAAGAAAGTGATCTGTAAAAAGCTGTTCAGGTGCTGGTGGTGGTTATTTACTCTTTCAGAAAAGAGTTTGCATTTAACAACTGCTATTGATTTCATCCTTTAAATACAGGGTTGATTTGGCCTCTCTTTAGGGTGTCATTCAGAGGTGGTGTTACGATTCAGTATTAGCAAGTTCTATATTTGTATACAGATTAATAAGCTTTTACCTGAACTGTTAATTCAGGGATGGGTGTTGGTGGGAAAGAATTCATTGATAATTTTTATATGTTTGGACATTGCTTTATATTTTTCATTTAACATTTCATATAATCCTGTAAGGTATTTATTGCTTACTCTACTGTACAACGGAGGCTCAGGGAGATTAAGGACTCCCTAAGCTTACACAGTAAATAACTGGAACCACACAGAGCACACGTGATGCTGAGCAAATCCAAAGTTTGGGAAGCAGTTTTTTTCTCTCTGTTGTAGTTTTCTTTTTCCCATGAAGACTAGAGGGACTAGTTTTTCTAATTTTGCCTTCTTTGAGGCTGTGAAGGTGGAAAGCAAGAGAGATAATTGGTTCTCATTTTTTCTCCCAAAGTTTAACTAATTTTCTTCATTCCAGTTGTTAGAATTTTTATCTCAGGATCCCAAGCTTGGGCTTTGTATTAAAACAGCATTTCAAAGAATAATGATGGTTATAAGCTGGAGGCTCAAACCCAGGTATTTTTGTGTTTAAAAGCTAGTGCCTTTTCCGCAGTAAATTACATCAATGCCCTATTTAAATGTTTTCTGTTGACTGTAAACTTAACATTTGATTGAACCATGTGAAATTTTCAGCGTTATACCTATTAAAATGGTGGTTTTACACAGTACTTCAGAGTAGTGTGTGGCTTATAGCTAGAAAATAGTTGTTTCAGCGTTAAACATAATTGTGCTGGCACACTCTAAATCTCATTGGAATAAACCAGGAATGCTTTGCAGTTGGTTCCTAGCACATAATAGGTGCTTGTTAAAAACACAAGCCACAACTAATTTGCGATGAATTTGAAGGTATTTCTAACATCTCAGTAATTACCTATACATAGCTTTTTTACCTGAGAAGTAATATTTGTTGAATGCCTATGTAGAGATTGGTATTATCACTTTTATATATGTTTTATGTTTCACTTACAACTTGAAAAGTAAATGTCTTCATTTTACGGAACAGTTAGCAGTGTGTCCAGGGCCGTGGAGCTGGGATTTGAACACAGGTCAATAACTGTCTGACTCCAAAGCTCACGTTCCTGCTGCTGTTACTATAATGGTTCTTTGTTTTCTTAAATTGCAGATGCGATAAAAACGTCAGTTGTGATAAGTGAGAACAGAATATACACTGTGAGAACTAAATCTGGAACCTTAGCAGATTTTAAATCTGTATATACTAATGGTCCATATAACTTCACCTATAAAATACCTTAAAGTAAAATTGAAAAATATAGTTGATTCCTTCACATCCTTATTAAAAGCTATTGCAAATGTAGAGTGAGGAACAATAGCTGACATTTATGGAGTGTGTATGATGTACCAGGTAGTATTCTAAGTACTTTACCACATATTTCATTTTCATAATGATTTTAACCTGGTTTTATAGATGAGGAAACTGAGGTACAGATGAGTTTAGAAATGTGACCAAAAGCACACGGTTCCTGAGTAGTAGAGCCATAATCTTAAGCCTCAAATGCTGCCTTTTGTGGCATGTGCTTTGGTGGTTGGCTGGGCTTATTTTTTGCCATCCTGCCAATACCATCCAAAATTACACTTCAGCAAAGTAAAACATTGCTGGTGTCATGGACCTTTAGGGCAAAGTTACAACTATTAAATCAGTGAAAGTCTACTATGTTCCGTCTTACATGTACAGCAGTTATCAGGTTACTTCCTGTTGATTCTGACAGGGAGAACTCTGATCTTTAATCTGCTATGCTTTTTGCTTTTTTTGTCTTGTATATTCCCTCTATGAGTCTGTGGGAGTGCATATTTGTCCTCAGCCTGTAATGCTAATTCCTCGGCCATTTTTTCACTCTCAAATTTTTTGCACTTCAAAGGTCAGCCTAAAATGCTCACTCTTCTCCAGGTCGCCACTACATTTTTCTGATACCCCACGTAGCGCATCTCGTTCTGTAGTGTATCAAGATCAAGTTTGTTACTTGTGTTTTTACCTCCGCTAGGTTTGGAGTGTGTTAAGGGCAAACTGTACTCATCTTTATGTCACCCAGACAACCCCTGGCCAATCATAGGCAAAAAAAGAGTTAATGCTATTGTCAGACTGCTTCAGGATGTGATTCGCGTGTCCTTACTAGATAATCTTCTGCCTATCACATTCTGTTCCTTTCCTTTAAGATGCCTATTATAGCCAAGCTTTTATCCCATTTTTCCGAAGATTTCCATGTGATTGTCAGAGTATCTGTCCTAATGGAAGTCACACCTCTGCTATAGTAAGAAATTTAGAGCAAGTCCAAAGTTCTGTCTCAAAATGGCCATTTCTCAAACCCTTTCCAGTTACCATCTTATCAGTGACAAATAGCTCCAGCTTGCCTTCAGCATAAAGCTGGGGTTTCCTCTGGAAAAGTTTATTCAGGAAGTAGGTCATTCCTTATGCTGTCCTCACTCTGGTCCACTTATTTTGGTGAATCTCTAGTACAACACAAACTTAGCCATTCATCAGGAGCTCTGAAGTCAAACCTGGCATTTGTTAGCTATATAACCTTGGTTTCCATTTCTGTGAAGCAAGGACAATGAGGTTTGTTTTGAAGATCCAATGTTATATGCACAGTTCTTGGCATATATAGCAGGTATTATATGAGTGGTCGTTATTATTTCAATTGAATTTATGTACACTCCTTTCAGAGAGCCCGAGCCCAGCACGTTGTACCCTGTACCATATCTCAGCTGCTTTCTGCCACTATGATTGATGAAGTGTTCAGAATTGGGAATGTTGAGATTTCACAGGTATTAAGAATGAAATAAAAATTACTTCATTTAAAAATATGTAAGTATTACTTTGGTTTTGAAGAAAACCGGACTTTTTTTTCTTCTGATCTAGGTCGTCATTGTGGGGATAATCAGACATGCAGAGAAGGCCCCAACCAACATTGTTTACAAAATAGATGACATGACAGCTGCACCCATGGATGTTCGCCAGTGGGTTGACACAGATGTAAGCAGTTTTTGAATCAGGGTGGGGTTACTTTGGGACTTTGGAGATGTTGGACTATTTTTAGTTTTACTTTTTAAAGGTTCTTATTATAAAAATAATGCATAAGCAAGACATCAAAGATGAGATTAATATACCTCATTTCATAAAGGTTTAAAATCTCACAAACTTTCCAAAATACTATAAACAAAGTTAAAAGGCAAGTGACAAGAGGCACTAGAATATAAACTGTGAGAACAAGGAGTTTTAGGTTGTCATTGTATCCCCAAAACCTAGAGCAATGCTAGATACATGGGGGCCCTGGGTAGATATTTAAATAAATGGGAAAATGTTCTGCAACATATTACAAACACTTAAAATTTTTGTATAATAAAAGCTCTTACAAAGAAAAACCAACTATATTTTAGAGAAATGGGCAAAGCAGCACAGATAATTCATTGTAGATGAAATATAAATTATAATAATAATAATAACAAAAGCAGTTTTAATAAACATTAAGATATCTTTTTAAAAAAAAAAAAAAGGTTTCATTTATTTTTAGAGAGAGGAAAGGGAGAGAAACATCAGTGTGTAGTTGCTTCTTGTGTGCCCCCTGGTGGGGACCTGGCCTGCAACCAAGGCATGTGCCCTACACTGGGAATCGAACTGACAACCCTTTGGTTCACAGGCCAGCGCTCAGTCCACTGAGCCACACCAGACAGGGCTAAGATATTTTTAACTTACTAGGTTGGCAAAGAAAAATTAGAATGGCATGCCTACATCTGATGAGAGCAGTAGCTAGCACGGTGCCTCTAGCACTTAGTCACTGTTTTTATGGGCAAGTAGATACCATCATACTCTGATAAGTATAAATTGATAAAAGTTTTTTCAAAAGCCAGCTGATGATGGAAACCACCCATCATAAAAATGTTGATTTTTTCTCATACTCCACTGCTAGAGATTTATTGGATTGGCCAAAAAGTCCATTCAGTTTTTTCTGTAAAATAAAAGACACATTCTTCATTTTCACCAATAACTATTGATTTGGATATTTTGAGTATGTCAGCTATCTACCATGTGGTATAACATTGATTGTTCTTAACTAATGTCGTCATTTGATCACTGTCACCTTCCAGCTGGTCAACCAGACCATGGAGCATTGTCCAGCAGGAGATCTCCAGCACAAAACTTTGTAAATCACTTTGGCATGTTTGATCAGCCTCAGCACCTTCTCTATACAATGCACAAACCTTTGTGGGTTTTTATGGGTGGAGTTGTTTGTTTGTTTGTTTTTGCATTTCAGTGGTGTTTTTACCTTTCTTGAAATAATGGAGTATAATATGCCAAAAATGTCACATGTTTTCTTCCATCTTCAATATTAAAATGGCTACACAAAAATTCACCAATTCGGTAAGTTTTTTTAATGCATGCTGATATGACAGCTGTCACAACACAATCTAACAAAATTGTTTTGTATGAAGTTAAAGACGTCTAAGTGCTATTAGAGCCATCTTAGGGGGAAAAAAGCGAGCGAACTCTTTGGCCAACCTAATACATTAAGGAAATAATTAAATACATGTGCAATGATTCAGTTGTAACAATGCTGATCATAGCATTATTTGTAGTAATGAAAACTTAAAAGCAATCTCAAAATGCTGGCAATAGGGTATTATTAATTAAACTTTGGTACGTTCATAAAATATTCCAAATGATGTAGAAAAGTATGTATGATCACAAAGAAATGTTTACCATAAATTGTTAATAGGAAAAGAGCAGGTTACAAGATAATATGTCTAGTGTGACCCCATTTTTGCAGAGTAACATATGGAAAAAATAGACAAAGAAAATACATGTCTTTTTTTTGTTTTTTAATTGGGCAGAAGTCCTCTTGTTTTATATTGTTGTTTTTAAAATACATTATAGCCCTGGCTGGTGTGACTCAGTGGATTGAGCGCTGGCCTGCTAACCAAAAGGTCACAGATTTGATTTCCAGTCAGGACATATGTCTGGGTTGCAGGCCAGGTCCCCAGCTGGGGAGCACGTGAGAGGCAACCATACATTGATGTTTCTCTCCCTCTCTTTCTCCCTCCCTTCCCCTATCTAAAAATAAATAAAATATTTAAAAATAAAAAATAAAATACATTATAGAAAATTTGGATAGTAAACACTTTATATTCTGTTTTTACTTCAAAATCCACAAGTCATCTATGGAGAAATAACTTGGTAGTTATTTATTTTCTTCTCAGGAAAATACAGGATAATTTATTTACTAGTTATTATTGGGATATATATTCTAAACCAAACTGCTGGGCTCTAGGTATACAAAGATTGAAAAAGACAGTCCCTGCCATCAAATGGGGAGGTAGATACTAAAAATGCATAATACTTCAGGCTCATGCAAAATTTACCATGCTTGCTTATAAAACATTTTAAAATCACCTGAAATCCCATATCCCAGAGATGACTATTGTTATAACATTTTGGTAAATAGATTTCAGACATTTCTCTTTGCGTATCTGTACATATATTAGATGTATGCATACAATTTTATATAAAGGATGATATGCAACTGCTCTGTAATCTCTTTATTCAAAACCATGTTGTAGAACTGATTTCTTAATGTCAGTAAATATAGATTTAGATAATCATTTTTAGCAGTTGCCTATTCCATCTCTTAATTAACAGCAGACCCAATCAGGGAACATTTAGCTTGTTTCCAATCATTTGCTATTATAGACAGTGCCCCAAAGAATACCTTTGTGGACATCTCTTCATGATTATAAGGTAGTCTTTTTAAGATGAAGTCTTAAAACTAGAGTTTCTGAAACATACATTTTATATTTTTTTACTTAAAAAAAAATCTCACATTTACATTTTTACAGGGTTTTTTTCTCCTTCATAAAGATACCAATTTATGTATTTCATTAGTGCATGAGAGTATCCAGTTAGCTGTCCACATCTTTTTTGACAATGGGTTTTATGAATCTTAAATTTTTGTTGGATAGTTTTTAAAAATACAGTCTTGTCGATGAGAATTTTCTTATTTTTTTACTTGTATTTCTTTGGTTTTAGTGAGATTAAAATTTTTTACTATGTTTAATGTTAATTTGGGTGTTTTATCTGGTGTAGATTCAGCTATGTAAAACAATAGGTGGAGTGAAATGCAAAATAGTTGATGATCTCCATGTGATGGGAATTGGATGTTTTATTTTTAAAGACATTTTAAAAAAATTCTAGTTTTTTATAGTTGTGTATTTTATAATCAAAAATTTTTAAGACTTGGTTTATATATATTTTCTTATAAGGAATGTGTACATGTTCTAGGAAACCCCAATATCCCAGTTAACCATTATTAACATTTTGGTGTGTACTTTTCCCCCACATGGGAAATGAGCTTTTTCCTACATGTCACAATTGGTCTTCCCAGGCAATTAATAGAATTCTATGGTGTTAGATATTTAAGGTGTTCTAATTTTTTTGTATTGTAATCTATGCTATGGTGAATATTCCTGAAGCTAAATGTTAATACATGTTCTTAATTCCTTTAATTCCTAAAAGTAGAACTGCTATGCTGGTAAGTATGTCCACTGTCCACCAGAAAGTTGTGTGCATAACAGCATTGAATGAGAGTACAATAATTGTTTGCTTTTTTATGATGTGCAAAACATAGAGCTTTGGAACTGGAAATTACACTTAGAGATTTTTATTCTAATTTCTGATTTTACAAAAAAGTAAATTCTAAAAGGGAGGGTAAACTAGTTAGTGCCATATTAGGGTACTATAGCCGTTTCACTTTATCACTTTCTGTACGTAATTTAGAGATTTTGATGAGACTTTCACCAACATCACTAAAACCTTAGTGATATGTTTGTATTTCATCTGTTAGGATGCCAGTGGTGAAAACACTGTGGTTCCTCCAGAAACATATGTGAAAGTGGCTGGCCATCTGAGATCTTTTCAGGTAAAGTCAGGGAAAAAATGACTGTAAAATGTATTTGCGTGAAACAATTTCTGGATTCATGCCTGTGTTTAGGATATATAAAACTTAACTAAAGTCCCACCCTGGCTGATGTGGCTCAGTGGATTAAGCACTGGACTGAGAACCGAAAGGTTGCTTCTTTGATCGCGAGTCAGGGCTAGTGCCTGGGTTGCAGGCCAGGTCCCCCATTAGGGGTGTGTGAAAGACAACTGACCGAGGTATTTCTCACACATGGATGTTTCTCTCACTCCCTGCCCCTCTCTCTAAAAACAAATAAACTCTTAAAAACTTAAGTTTCCATGTTTAAAAATGGGAGTTATAATGAAGTTATTTTACTGTTCTCTTTTTCAAAAGGAAATAATGGATTTTTACCTTAATAGAAAACTAAGAATGGTAGAGAAAGAACAGGATCTCCACTTGCAGTTGCCACCTGTGATCTCCGCTAGGTGTAGATGGGTGGACCCTGCATCTAGAGTCAGGATACTAGGCTTTGCTTGGTAGTATAACCTTGAGCAAGTCGTTGAACATCTCTGATTTGGTTTGGGGTTTTTTATAATATTTTATTGACTATATTTTGGATTAGCCTTGAGTTAAAAGTTTTAAGTGTGTAACACATTTTTCCCATATTAGCAAAATGTAACTGAGAAAAGAGCCATAATGTTTTTGAACTGAAGTTGACTTGAATATGCTTATTGTCCCAATTCACTTTTCTCTTTAATAGAACAAAAAAAGCCTCGTAGCCTTTAAGATCATGCCCCTGGATGATATGAATGAGTTCACTGCACATATTCTGGAAGTAGTGAATGCGCACATGATGCTGACCAGAACTAACAGCCAGGTGAGCAGCTTCATTCATTGTTTTCTCTTCCCTGTAAGAGCATAGTAAGCTTCTATCCTCTGGCTTTGATTAACTTGACATTTTGAAGGTTGAGCCAGAAGAAAGGTATCACTTGGTCCTTAAAACATTTTCTGCATGAGATTTGCCATGTTATTTTATTCCACTGAAGCAATCATGTTCCCTTCAGAATTATGAGTTCCTCCGACCCCACAGGCATGGATGGCTGGGACCTAAGACAAACTTCAAGTGTAGACACGTAACTATAGGCTCAGCTCTTAGTGCCAGGATTGTCGGTCCATAGTCAAAGAAAAATCTCAACTAGGACAGCATTTTTGCTGCTTTCCTTCCAGCCAGTTGGCTACATAGTTAAAATGTATGCACCCTTATTTTGTCCCTGAAATTGTATTTCTTGTTTCATACTGAAATTTGTCAACCTTTTCTGTTGTATGAATTCAGTTTGGCAAGACGGTCTAGGACCACACAAGGGGTTTGTTGATTCCAGTGTTAGAATGTCCTTAGATGTTTCTTTCTTTCTCTCTTTTTTTTAATTGTTGTTCTATTACAGTTGTCCTAATTTTCCCCCATTTCTCTCCCCTGCTCTGCCCACTCCCCGCTCCCACATTTTGTCCCCACCCTGTTGTCTACATCTATCGGTCATTTAAACCTGTTCCTTGATTAGACCCTTCCTCTTCTTTTCCTCCTTATCCTCCCTTCTTCCCCCTCTCCTCTCGTCATTGTCAGTCTGTTTTTTTGTTTCTGTGCCTCTGATTCTGATGGCAAGATGCAGGATTGATTACAGTAGGAGAGAGACTGATGAGCCATTAAGGATGCTATTGCATCCTGTTCTGTGCCAAGCTCTTTGTTAAGTACTGGGGATACAGAGATAATATATTCTATCATTTGAAAAATATTTATTGAGCCTAGTATTTGCCAGTCATTAGTCTAGGCTCTTGGAATACAACAGTTAACAAGATGGACAAAGTGCCCTCAAACGTAAGTTCTTGAGAGAAATGGGCAATAAATAAGAAAAAAATATGTATTTTAGATAGTTACAGATGTGCTGAAATAAAATTAAGCAGAATAGAAGAGAGTAATGGAGGGAATAAGAATGGCACAATTGAGGACTATGACTTACATCCAAGATGGAGGTGTAGGTAGATACACTTTGTCTCCTTGCACAGCCAAAAGGACAACAACAAATCTAAAAACAAAAAGTAACCAGAACTGCCAGAGGTTCCAACATCCGAATCATAGGGGTGCCAGAAGGAAGAGAGGAAGAGCACGAAATTGAAAACTTATTTGAAAAAATAATGAAAGAGAACTTCCCCACTCTGGCCAAGGAAATAGACTTCCAGGAGACCCAGGAAGCTCAGAGAGTCCCAGAGAAGTTGGACCCAAGGAAGCACACACCAAGGCACATGATAATTACATTACCCAAGATTAAAGATGATGAGAGAATCTTAAAAGCCGCAAGAGAAAAGGAGACAGGTACCTACAAGGGAGTTCCCATAAGACTCTCAGCTGGTTTCTCAAAAGAAAGCTTGCAGGCAAGAAGGGGCTGGAGAGAAGTATTGAAAAAGTCATGAAAGGCAAGAACCTACCATCCAAGATTACTCTCTCCAGCCAAGCTGTCATTTAGAATGGAAGGGCAGATAAAGTGCTTCCCAGATGAGGTCGAGTGAAAGGAGTCCATCATCACCAAGCCCTTACTATATGACATGTTAAAGGGCCTTACCTAAGAAAAAGGAGATCAAAAACTATGAACAGTAAAATGAGAGCAGACTCCCAACTATCAACAACTGAACCTGAAACAGAAACAAACTAAGCAAACAACTAGAACAGGAACAGAAGAATCACAGTAAAGGAGATCAGTGGGGAGGGGGAGAGAGGAGAATGGGGGGAAAGGTACTGGGAATAAGTATAAGTAGTAGAAACAAAATAGACAGGGAGAGGTTAAGAATAGCATAGGAACTGGAGAAGCCAGAGAATTTATATGTACGACCCATGGACATGAACTAAGGGTGGGGGATGCTGATGGAAGGGTGGGTGCAGGGCAGAGTGGAATAAGGGGGAGAGAAAAATGGGACAACTGTAATAACATAATCAATAAAATGTGTGTGTTGCTCCAGGAGGTTGGGGGACCATAATTGAGATGGAGGAAGAACATTCCAAGCAGAGGGAATGGAAAGTCAGAATCCATGAAGCTGGAATAAGCTTGGCTTGTGTGAGACCAACAAGAAGGCCAGAATGTCTGAAGGGAAGCAAATGAGAGAGAAAACAGTTGGATGTAGGCTAGGAACCAGGATTCAAATCATGTAGGGCTTTGTAGATCATAGTAAGGATTACTTTATTCTAATTGATTCCAAACCTTCAGAAGGTTTTGTCTAGGGAATGAGGTGGTCTGATTTATGTATTTAAAATCTCACTCAGGCTGCTGTGTGGAAAATAGACTCTGAGGCACCAAGAATAGCTACAAAAGTAGTTTAGGAGAATGGTAACAGCAGCTGGAATTAGTAGTTGCACTTCGATATTATTTGAAGGGAGACCTGACAGTACCTATTGGAGGATTGGACATAGGATGTAAAGAAAAGAGAGGGTTCAGAAATGACTCTTAGGTTTGAACTTGAGCAGCTAGGTGAAGCCAGCAAGCTTGGAGGGTAAAATCCACAGTTCTGTTTTGGACTTAACCAAGTATGAAATGCCAGTTAAATATCTAAGTGGAGAACAGAATCGATTGAGTGAAGGTATTATAAGATAGGGACTCAAGGAAGATGTCAGGGATAGAGATAGAACTCTGGGAGTCACTGTTGTATAGGTGATATTTAAGGCTTGAATGAAATAGCTAGGGAGTTAAGAGGTCAGAGACCTAAGCCCTAGGGCACTAACCTTTAAAAGTCTGGAAGCAGAATAGGAGCCAGGGAAAGTTGAAGCAGTTGCCAGTTTGGTAGGAGGAAACCAGGAAATGTAATTCTCTAGAATACTCTGAAAGAGTATGTTAAGAAGAAGGGAACAGAGATAATTGCAGAATTCTACCTAGAAGTCAATAAGATGATAAGAGAGGTCTGCTCTCAAATTTGGAAACATAGATCTTTAAAAGATAGGCTTCAATAGAGGAGAGGGGGAAGGTGGGTTTGAGAATGAGATTGGGTAGAAAGCTATTTTATTCCTATACTTCATAACATATGGGGTGTGGCAAAAGTAGGTTTACAGTTGTGAGTACGCAAAACTCAGTTTATTCTCACATTATAATTATTGTGTTCCGTAGGAATAACTATAAGCCTACTTTTGCTCATGTATATGTATGTATCAATTGTTACAATACAAACAATCCTAAAGTAAGAATTGGTTAGGGAGTGGAAACTGGGAGTAAATAGTCCTTTCCCTCAAAGAGTTTACATTAAGCATTGGAGGTTCAGAGCACTTAAGCCAGTGGTAAGGGGCAAGTGCAGGGTGCCGCAGAACCTGAGAAGGGTTTCCTATCCTGACTTGGACGTCAAGAAAGACTCCCTGGAGGAGGTGGGGTCACTTGAAGCAGGACATGAGGTCATTTCAGCAGAGGTAATCAGGTAGGAAATAGCATTCAGTTCAGTACTACTGGGTCATAAAATGTAAACTTCTGTTGCACCAGCAGGCAGTGTGAAGGTATCTAGCTTGAAACCAAAGAACCACGACTGTGTTGGTGTTTTGTTTTGTTTGTTTTGTTTTGTTTTGTTTTCCTCAAAGCAGTAGACAGCTAATGAACATTTATTGAATGAATGACTCTCCTGACTGGATGGGATTTCTCCTGATGAGCCTCCACAGTGCTCCTCTATCCTGTTACGAGTACTTAGTATTTAATCTGTCATCCTTACTTACTCAGTTCAATCGATTAAATATTGACCGAGCACTAGGCACTGTGCAAACATGAAGGGACTTGTGGGGGAAAGTGTCATGCAAACAGTGTGATGGCTGCTATGAGAAAAAATGGCCAAATGCTGTGAGAGCCAAAAAGGAAGACCATGGCTTAACTTGGCTTGAAGAATGTCAAGGAAGCGTTTAGCAGGCAGATGAGGAGAGGAGCATTCTAGACAGGAAACAGTAGGTTCCAGTGAGGGGGGTGTTTTTGTGGATGGCAGGAAGTCCAAGTGCAGCTAGGGAGTAAAGTGTGTTGAAAAAGGAGTTATAAGGAATAAGATACAGATTTTGATGTCTAGTTGTAGGTCTTGAATGTATAGGAGTTTTATATATTTTCACAGGCAGGGGGAGCCACTTGGGAGCTTTTAGGCAGAGTAGTGGCTTGACCTGAAGTTACAACGGTAACAAGGAGGGTTGATTGGAGTAGGAGAGACTAGCAGCTGAAATGCCAATCAGAAGACCAGGGGTGTTGAGGACTGACTTGAACAACACTGAAAATGGTATTAAAAGGCTGTGGTGACAGATTGTGGACGGTAAGCGAATGAATGAGATCTGCATGATTAGATTTGGGTTTCTAACTGAGATGGGATATAGCAGGGCAAACAGTTTCGAGGAGGAAAGTAATTAATTTTATCTTGAAATATAAGATAACTAGGTAGAGATACCCAATAGATGGCTGGGAATAAAGATTTGTGGCCTAGGAGGAGGTCTGGAATGAAATCCTGGGAGAACTATAAGCCTTTTGGGAGACAGTAGAAAAGGAGGCTGGTAAGGGATATGGAGAAGGTATAGTTTGAGAGGTAAGTGGAGAACGAGAAGAATGTGGTATAAAAAGCCTAGAGAATCCCGATTGGTGTGTGACCCAGTTGGTTGGGGGTCATCCTGCAAAGCTAAAGGTCGCCAGTTCAATTCCCAGTTAGGGCACATGCATGGGTTGCGGGGTTCAGTCCCCACACAGGGCACAAACAAGAGGCAACTGATTGATGTTTCTCTCACATCGATGTTTCCCTTCCTCTCTTTCTCCCTCCTTTTCCCTCTAAAAATAAACAAGATCTCTTAAAAATAAAAATGAAGCCTAAAGAGGGGTATGTTACAAGAGAAGTATGCTCAGCAGTGTCTGCTTCTGAGAGGTCAAGTGTTATAAAGAGACTACCGGCTATGTTGGTTGTTCTCTTTGGTGAGAACAGTTTCAAAGGTGTATTGGGGAGAACTCAGATATTGAGGGGTTGAGGAGTACCTAAAGAGAAGGGAAATGAAAACAGTGATTATAGTCTGTTTTGTAAAATTTGTTTGTTGAAAAGGGGCTGTGGGAACTATTATTTTCTTCCACTGTAACACTTCATGCCTAGTTGCCACTCAGTGAATGCTTGAGTGATTCATCACCAAGAATGTCATTATAGCAAACATGAGTAATTTTCTTTTCAGTGCTAGTTTTCCTCTGGTTCCCCTCATGTCACACAGAATAGGAGTCAGGAGGTACTTTCCTCCCTGTTTGATATGAAGTGCTTCAAAGGATTACTTTACCTTCCTTTGAAATATCAGATAGTAGCTCGCTCTTCCAGTGTAATTACTTGATATTGGGAAAACTTTGCCTAAATTGTTTTTTGTAAACTGCTTATTAACAAGCTCTTTAAAATAGCAAGGAGTATGGTTAAATTGATGAATTTTCTAATGTTGTGAACCTTTTAATTTAGCCCTCAGCAGGGAGAGCACCTACCAGCAATCCAGGAATGGGTGAAGCAGGGAACTTTGGTGGGAATAGCTTCATACCAGCAAATGGCCTCACTGTGGCCCAAAACCAGGTAAATTATGCATACCTGAGTGGCTCCAGAAATGCAAAACAGATAATCCTAAATTTTCTTACTCCCTTAATGTTTCTAAGGCTGTCTAAGCACCCAACTTGGTTCCTTCCAATAAAGACACTTAGGTTTTAATAAGAGGGCTGATTCAAAGTAGTTGCTAAAATCTTTCTGATTTGAATGTTTAGGTGCTGAATTTGATTAAGGCTTGCCCAAGACCTCAAGGATTGAACTTTCACGAGCTCAAGAACCAGCTTCAGCACATGACTGTAGCCTCAATAAAGTAAGTATTTGGTTTCTGTGAGCTAGTGCTCCAGAATTATACCCATTTTACCTCATCAGAGTTTCCTGGTAATGAGAAGTGAGTTTTAAAAAACTATGTGTGGATTGCAGCCTATTGACAGAAAAGAAATTGTTCAATCATGGAAAAATACAAAAAGAACTCAAAAAGATGGTGCTGTCACATCACTCATTCATTTGTTCACTCAACAAATATGGAATCCCATTATGTACTGGGATGTAATTTTGAGCAAAAATTGACCTAATACCCCTTGTCAATTTAATCTGGAGGATCAAGGTCCTTCGCTCCTGGTCCTCAGGCGTACAGTCCCATTTGTATTACCATCCCCACTAAGGAGATATGTGCACTGGACCGTCTGGACCTGAAAGCCATTAGACAGTCCTTTCCTGAAGTTCTTGTTGTGATAACATGTTAGATAAGAAGTTTCCTGATTCTAGTGAACTAATCAACCAAACTGAGTGTTCTGGTGCTTGTTATGGTTGTTACCATAAATCATCTAATATTCTAGGCCCAGACAGAAAAAAAATGCTCAGGTCTAATTCCATCTCCTGTCCTATGAAATGAGGATAATAGTTTCTGTCTCAGTTACTATGATGATGACCTCATGTGACAGACACATAATAGGTGTTCTATAAATTGTTACTGTTACTTGATATGTTACTGACACTGGCCCTGAGAGCCTTGAAAGGTTTGAAGGCCTCTTATCATTTCTGGGAAGATCTTTCCTTTCCTTCCTGTAACTTTACTTCTCAGACGAGGTGTTAGAGTTTCAGCAGGTCGGTGGGGAGGGGCAACTTTTAAAAATAGCTCTTTATACTAGGAGATTTTTGTGTGCAGGATGAACTGTATAGCTTTAGGCCCTTGTTTTGATTTGCTTAGGCTAGTGTTTAAGTGAGGCCCTGTTTTCTTGCCTTGACACAATTTTGGAGAGGGATCCAAGGCAGCCCTCTCCCAATAGCCATGTCTCCATGGATTACTTAAGTTTTCTGGGTTTGTTTGTTTGTTTGTTTGTTTACCAGCATCTCTCCCTGCAAGAGCTTTCTGTGAGCAAATGGATGTGAATGCTTAATTAGGTTATAAAGTGGGGGTGGAGGCATGGTTGAAATTTACATTTTTGGCAATATCAGAAAGGTAATTGCCTTCTGTATGGTTTGAAAATGAGCCTTTGCCATTTCTTGTGCCATTTTAAGGTTGACACAGTGTCTTAAGAGGCTAACACAGAAGGGGGGTAAAGTCAGTCTCCATAAAACCCAGAGAAGAGATGGTAAAACAGTTCTTTGGAACCAGTCTAGTGTCAGAGCTAAAAAAAAGACTTTTTTTAATGTAAGAATTTTTTTTAAAAAACGAAATGAGCCTTTTCTCTCCTTTTCTTTCTAGGCAAGCTGTGGATTTTCTAAGCAACGAGGGGCACATCTATTCTACTGTGGATGATGATCATTTTAAATCCACAGATGCAGAGTAATTGGATCTAATTGAATCCCCAGCATATTTTCCAGCTGGACTTAGTTTTGCAATCTGCTTTCTCCAGCTGTGCATAGTTTGACCAGGTGACTTCTAGAAAGTAGGTTTCATCGATAAAAGGTCTCAATTGACCTCCTTTTGAAACTTACTGCTCTTCTGTTTTTTTGAAGCTCAAAGGGAGATAGCCAACTGACAGAGGTATGAACCAGAGTAGAATTTCTTCAAGAAGTTACAAATTAGCTAGTTACAATAATGTCAGGATAGATGGAAGTGGAAGAACAATGCTACCAAGAGAGTTGGCCAGTATTACTTATATAATACTCGAGAGTCTCTATTCCTAAAATATCTTCTGTTGACAGAAAATGAGTATGACGAGGGCCTGTCAGCAGAGAGATACCCAAGAAAACTGCTAATCTCTAGTTTTGTCTCCCATTTTGGTTATGTGGTATTCATTTCAGAATTGCACTTTTTCTTCAACTTGTTGTGGCTAATGTCAAAAGCATTTTTGTAAACATAATGTTCTAGGGAGGTGGCCTTTTGTGTCAGAGGAGTGGAAGAAATGTTACTGTTTTGTACAAAATAAGTACATTCATGTGGTTAATAAAGTAGTTATATTATTGTAGTAACTTGTGAAAACATTCTTATTTTTCTTTTTTAGTTAGTATAACTACTACCTTATGTGAGACAGTATAGCATAGCTTAACTTGGGTTCGACATCTTGGCTCTTGCGTTTTGGTTAGGATCTTGAGCAGGGTACGTCAGCTCTGAGAGCCTCCATTTATGAAAAGACAGCAATGGTGCGCAGGCCAGGTAGCTCAGTTGGTTAGAGCATTGTCTCAATAAGCCAAGGTTGCGGTGCGATCCCTGGTCAAATTGATGTTTCTCTGTCAAAATTAATTTACAGTAAAGACAACAGTGTCATTTCCTTCTAGGTTTGTTAAGAAACTTGAATGAAATAAAGTTTGTAAAGCATCTAGCTTTACCATTAATGAGGGTTATAAAATGGACTTAATCTTGATTCTAGCAGTATATAACCATGTGAATGAATCAAATACCTGCCATGTCATGTCAAGGTGAAACTTTGTAAAAACCTCAGCTATTTTTTGGCCAAGTTAATCAGCTCCTTTTCTCGTGGGAGAAGAAACTAGTTCAAAGATGGTTCTGACAACTCCAGAAAGTAAGCTACTTCTTGAATGAAAGAACTAATTCTGAGGTAAGTTAATGAGGTGTAATATGCAAATAAAAATTCTATAATTTTTTTAACTGTATTTCTAAATAAGATCTTAGTGGAGAAGGCTTCACTGCACTGGTTTCTAACCGTGAACCAGCTGGTTGTTACTTTCTATACATGCAGAGTAAGTAGTTTCCATCTTGGGAGGAGTGCAGATGTTAAAAGTCAACCAGTATGTTTGCTTCATGATTATTTCCTATAAAGGACAGTGAGCTTTAAAAAACCATGTACATTTGAACTTGGAATGCATGATAGGACACTTTTATAAGTCAACTTCTCTTTCTAGTTATCAGGCTGTTGCCCTCAAATGGGCAAGGCAGTAGCAGATGGCCTCGGTGGAAGTCTTAATTCCTTTGATTTGTGAATTTTAGTAATTAAAAACTACTTACTCACTAATTCAAGTGTTTATTGAATACCTACTGTGTTAACCCATTGACCAGGCATGAGGAATTTAAAGCAAAATAAGAGATTGGCATCACAGGACTTGTTGGTTCAGCATTCCCAGAAGCATGAAGTAGCTGCTCAGTGGCACTGAATTCCCCGCCGTCTTGGCTTTTACGTGGTCTTGCAGAGGCCTGTGAGGCAGCCCATTCCTCAGCAGACTGAAACTCCAGCCTTTATAAAGCTGCTACCCTGCTTGAGCAGGAGGCATTTGCATTTCAGGCGTCTGTGGTCTCCTGGGATATATATAGAGTGTTCTGCTAGCACGTTATTGAGACAGCATGAACAAAGTTCCTGTATGCCCCAGCTAGTTAGAAAACCGCCCCCCCACCCCGCCAGTGTCACAGCCAAGCAATGAGTCCAGCCTGCTCTCCAGAGTCTTTCTCTAGGTATATATGGGAAATTGGGCTCCCTGAGAAGTAATAGTACTTTATTGTGTTTAACTGAGAGAAAGGCCAATAAGAGGTAGTGTCTGCTGTGAATCAGTTGATTTGTTTTTTAAAATGCAGGTGAGAGACAGTCAAGACAATATTTTTGAGCATATATCTCCAACTTACTCATTTTTTTACTGTATTAGTATGTTGTATATTATAAAACATTCAACATATAAGCAAAGCTTATTAAAAGTATGAAGGATATTAAAAGTATGAAGGGATGTACTGATAACTCCTGTATTCCAGTAGACCATCTTGTGTGCTCCCAGGCACATGTGCTCACTTTGGAGATCACAGCTCAGAGGGAATCTCTATCCCCATCAGAACACCTCCCCGCTGCCCAGTAGCTTATTCCAGAGATAAAGGAAACAAAAGCACCCTGAGGATAGTATCTGCCTTTGGTCCATTCTCTGCCAACCCTCATTGCTCTGAGCAGACACACACAGTTGTGATTTTCAAACATTTTCCTTTTCGGCCCTGTTTTCATTGTGAAAGGTCTTTTCGTTTGGCCTCAGAAGTCCCCTTTTGTAGGAAATAGCAGCCCTCTGCCACTCTTTGGTGATCTTCAATTAGATGCCAAAATTCAATGTGAAGTGAAAGCTATTGACATTTTACATGTGGGCTTGGCCCCCATGGGTTGTTTGCTAGAGAACTTTCTCACTTCGGTGCTTACTGGTTGTCCTAGAGGAGTCTCTTCCTCAGTATCTTTACGTACAGCTTAGCTTGCCTTCCTGGAGGAGGGCGTGAGAACTGCGGGGAGGATGAGGATGGGGTGCTAAATATTTCACCTGGAAAACTCCATACAGAGATATGGAGACCGGGGGGCCTGGGAAGTACAGTGGGTCCAGACAGCCCAGAGGGATGGTAGGCAAAAAGATGACAAACTCAGGTGTAGCGCCTGGAATCCAGGAGTTGGAAATTCGGCCCTTTTTTGGCTCTCACCTTTGCTGGAGACTCAGATCGACTCTTTGTCTACTGCCTGTTCTCTGCTGACAATGGTGGTCAGTTCCAGGAAACCATAGTCCCACCACTTCCAGAAATGAGTCCTTTGGTCTCACTCCACTGACTGAACAGGCCTAAACCAGCCTTGGAAGCTGAGGTAAACAGAGACAGTACCATGAGTAGGAGACTCTGGGGGCATTTGGGAGGAAAATAGGTTTGATCTTGGTTAGTAATAGTGATATGTGTTTATTGTGTACCAGGCATTGTGTTAAATGCTTTACAAAGGTTATCTAATTTGATTCTTAAAACAGTCTTGCAAGGCAGATAACTTAGTTTCATTTTACATGTGAAGAAACTAAATCTAGGTTAAAATAACTTGCTTGCCATCACAGCTGACAGGTGGTAGGCTGAGATCCTAACCCAGGTTTGTGACTAGTCAGCCTCCTGAAACTCTTGACCACTCAAGCTTGTTTCCTGATTTTTAAAATTGGGCTATTGTCTACCTCAGAAAGTGAGGATATAAATAGGTTTGTAAAGGGTCTTGATTTTTCATTTTTCCAGAAGTTTGGGTATCATTTTTATTTTACAGTTTTTGAGTGAGATAATCTTGGGTAGTCACCTGCAACTGGCATGCTGGGTGCTGCAGAGGTGGGGAAGACCATCTGGTCTCTCAGGAGCTTAAAGTCTTGGCGCAGGGGCTGGGGGTGTAGCGGAAAGCGGGGCAAGGGGGTGGCAAACAAAAGTCTCAGTTCAGGGTATCAGGATTGAGTCCTCTTTTACCAAGAGGCAGGAACCACTGTGCTGCCATCTCCAAGGTTGATGGCTTTGATTTCTTTCTTACCAACCAGTGGGATAATTGGTGTTGGGGACTCAGGATTGAGTAGAAATCAGTTGGCTCTTCTGGATTCCAAAGCTCTTGAGTCTGAGGATGTCAAAGGTAGGGGCTCAGCCCAAGCAAGCCTCAGTGGCAGGAACCTAGAACCTGAGGGAAGCTAGTGCAGTGTCCATCCCCTTTCAGATAGTCCCATAAAGCCATTCCCTGTCCGCAGTCTGATTTCTGAGACTGTTTAAGGTCTTCTAAAGGCTTGTCATGGTTGGCTGGTGTCCTGGACTCCCTGAGAAGAAGCAGTTAGGACACATGGTTCTTCCAGCATCTAGAGGGTTTTCCGGAAGCGCTCAACTACTTCTTCGTAGTCATGTTCTTGATCATCTGCAAAGGAGTCCAAGTCAAAGAGGATCTTTGGCCTTAAGCAGGTTCCTTCCCCCACCTTCCCACTTAAGGGCACACTTCTGTGCCTGGACAGGGAAGGAGTTGGTCTGAGTGTTCTAAGGTCCTTGCTAGCTGGGAAACTATAATTTGTTCTGATTGAACAGTTTGCAAACATTTCCCCTATATGCCTTGGGGTGAAAGAGGAGCTCATTTTCCTTGCATGGCTCTGGGGCCCCTGGGAGGGGGACAGTGGGGACCCTTCAGCCTAAGCCCATCTCATATAGACCTGACCATCCAGCTGGGACTGTAGAAGGGTCTGCTCAAGGCAGGGCTGCTGAATGTTTGGCCAGCAGTCTCAGAGGGGTGGAGAGGGAAGGGTAGAAGCAAGGACAAGGATGAACAGGCTGACAGGACTCACGATCCAGTGTGTCGCACTCAGTGGGCCTGAGGCCTTTGTGGACAGGAATCTTACTGTAGGTATTTGATCTATCTCCTGTGACCTTTGACGGGGTCTTCATGTTGAGTTTTGGCAACAGAGGGGGTTGCTGCAGTTCTGAGACTTGAGAAGGCTAAATGGGAGGGGAAAAAATACAGAAGTCAGCAGGGTCCATGGCATGTAACTTCCTTCAAAATCATTTCCTCTGCCCCCATCCCTATTTCCTTTTCAAGTTAGGGCTTCTCAGGACCCCAGGGGTTTTGGCTACAAGCACATGACATGTTCTTTGGTAGGGGAGAAAAGGGCCAGGAGGAGGGAGAATGCGGTTGGGGGCTAGAGACAGTGTCCCCGAGTTTCTCCACATAGGCGTCTGGTTAGTGTCCTTCACATCTGTTGCTGAAGGGGGAAAAAAGCAGTCCTAACGCCTCTGAGCAGAGTGCGAGGGTTGAGAAGAGGACAGAAGGAAGAGGGCTTTTATTGAACTCCTATCTTGTGCCAGATGCTATATGCATATCTGCCCATTTGATTCTCAGGTGATCCTGAGTCATTGGTTCTGTCTCAAATTTACACATGAGAAAACGGGCTCAGAGAGAGTGCGCCATGTCAGACCTTATACAGGGACTCCCTAGGTGGGCCAGGGCTCAGGCCCAGACCACGTCTGTCACCTCTAAAGCCAGTGCTCTTCGCCCTGGCTGGGTAGTTCAGTTGGTTAGAGCATCATCTCAATGTGCCAAGGTTGCAGGTTGATCCGTAATCAGGGCACATACAAGAATCAACAAATGAATGCATAAATAAATGGAACAATAAATTGATATCTCCTTCTCCGTCTTTCTCCTCCCTCCCTCCCCACTTCATTTCTAAAAATTAATAAAGAATTAAAAGAGAAAAAGAAAATGAAGCCCATGCTCCTTCCACCACACTATCCTTTGTAGAGCAAACAGTACTGCTCCCTGATCAGCAGCAAGTACTGATGCCCAGAGAGGACAAGCTGCTGGATCAAGGACAATAAGCAGGAACTGGGCCCAAAGTCACTTTTATCAGGAACCAAAGCTGGGACAGGTCTCTGAATTGTTTGTACCATATACTTTACAGCACTGATAGGTGTCTCAGTCTATGCTTTGTCCTCTTAGAAAATGACTGTTCTTCCTCTGCAGACATGACCCCCTGGGCCTGAGGTGCAGAATTCATCTTTTAACCTTCCACTGTTGTCCCACTACCTGCCTACACAGTACCAACTATGAGCAGAGCCTGGTAGTCCGCTGCTCAAGTCATGTGATCACATCTGATTTCAAACCCCAGCTCCCCACTTGGTACCCGTGTGGTCTCGGGTAAACTGTTTTACCTGCCTATGCTCATTTCTTCCACAGTACAAAGGGATGACATCAGTTCCCACCTCAGGGACAACATGGGAGCAAGGTGGGGCAACGCATGCAAGGTGCCTGCCACAGGGTATGCACCCAACAGTTAGCCGCTAATGAAACGGCACCAGAGTGCTGTTTGCTCAGGTTCACTGGTGAGAAAATGGCTGCTCAGAGACCAGGTCACAAAGGGAATAAACTGACTACAATTCAATCTTTATGTCTCTGACTGGTTCTTTCCCCCTTATTTTGATTCTGTTTGGTTCAGTTCAACCCTCACTGGCATTTTCTCTGCCCACTTAGGGATGGGTGAGGTCCCTGCCCCCATAGAACTCTCACTCTAGCCAGACACTTGGTCAAATCTAAAAGATAAACTACATGCCCCCCCCGCCCCGCCCCTCCAGCTAGGTCCAGCACGCAGTGTGAATACACCAGACGGACGACTCTGCCTAGGAGGAAATCTAAGCTGAGCCTTGCCCTTGAGCCTGAAAGACAGACCCTGCCTGGCTAAAGGGCTGATGTGTATAATGTGCTGAGGCAGGAGTCTGGGATGGTGAGGGCCTTCGGGAGCTCTTCTGAGACTGGAGTGTGAAGTTCAGAGTTGGTGGGGGAAGACGGGCCTGAAAGGTGAGACCGAAGTCAGTTGATAAAAACCCCTGGATGCTGTGTTAAGGGGGTCTGCACGCTCCCCAGCAATGGGGAACCACTGGACGTTTCAGAAAAGGGGGCCAAAACCCATTGGTGACCAGGGAAGGATTTGGAAGGCCATTCTGACAGTTGTGAGGAGGGGTTGAAGAGGCTGCAAGAGAGTTTAGGTAAAAAATAATGAGTCTTGGAACTAGGGCCTGACATCAAGGAGAGCAAAGAGGCAAAGCACAGTGAACTTGGAGTCAGAATGCTTATGCTTCAGGCCTCTTGTAACTGTGACACTGGGTGAATCTCAGGGCCTCTGAGTTCTCATTTTCTCAATCATACAATATGGATAATCACACCAATGTCACAATTGTCAGGATGGAATAAGAATAACAGGTGCAAAGTGTGCAGGTTTATAAACTGCAAATCCTACACAGTTGTAAAGAAGTGTGATGGCAGACACAGGAGAGCTGCCAGACTTGCAAGGACCCTAACTGGTGAACCCACCCCCACTACCTTTGGTTATATCCATACCTTGACGCTTCTCTCCTGGCTGCTCTGTTTCTTCTCGCTGAGGTCCTGACGCTTTGGGGGCCGGGGTGGGGGGCCTTGGCACTCTAAGGCCGGTAACTTCCGAAGGTGATAATAGAAGGCATCTGTCAGCTCCTCCACTGTGGCTACGGGGAGGGGCCCGGCTGGCTGGCCTGGCTGCCCCTCGGCCTCCACAATAGTCAGGTCCAGCCACCGGGGAGGGATCTGGAAGTACATACCAGGCTTGGAGTCCAGGCTGACCACCAGCAGGGGTTCCGTGATTATCTCCTCCAGCCGTAGGCCCGGAAATAAGGGCAGAGGGTCAGCAGGGTGCCTGGTGTCCTTGGTCACCACCTTGACCTCACAGGGCAGTGAGAACTGGGCAGTCAGATCTGCCAGGCTATATCGCCGGCCATCACTCATCTCCTCCACAAAGCTGCCAGAGAAGTAGAGGGGCAGCACAATCTGTTCTTGGTCCTCTGCCTCCTCACACTCTTCGGCCTCCTCTTCCCCAGCCTGGTCACTGAGCCGATGACACATCAAAACGTCTACGTCCCTGCCGTGAGACCCATGGGTCTGACCAGACCCCAACACCTCCAGCCTGTCTCCCATAGCCAGGGAAGTGAACCCAGGGATCTCCTCCTCACCCACACAGTCCTTCATGGCCACCACCCGGAGTGGCTGGCCTGGCTGCAGAGCACCCAGGAGGTCGTAGGCTGTGGAGAACTCTCTTGGCCGTCGCCGCAGCTTCCCCTGGTAGGCTCCAGAGACCATGAAGTATCTGGGCACTTTCCGGCCCTTGGTTGAGGCCAGGACCCACCAGGGTGGCGAAGCCAGGCCATGGATGCAGAGCTCCTGGCCTTTTTGTAAGGAGCCCACCCATGGGCTGAGGAAGACCCGAGGCCCCTCCGGAACTTCCAGGATCTGTGTGGTCAAGGGGAAGGGGCCTCCCCGTGCCAGAACCTCACTCAGCAGCAGCGGTTGGATGAAGTGGATGTGTTCTGAGGAGGCTGTAACATCTTCCACGTCAACCTCCAGGGTAGAAGGGATGCTGACAATGGTCCTGCGCACTGTGGAGGGCGGAGGTCAGCTCAGTGGCATGGCCACATGCCACCTCAGCGGTGTACTCTCCAGCCCCAGCAAAGAGAACTGACTTCTTTCCTGTTCTTTCCTACCAGCATTATCCTACTGTACCAGATTCTTTAGCCACTCTTGCCTTCAGCCTCTTTCTTTTTAAAGTTATTTTAGAAAGCTTTAAACATTTATAAAAGTAGAGAGACTGGTATAGTGACCCCCATGTACCCAGCTGCAACACTGAACTCAAGGCTCACCGTTAAAGTCTACTTCCATCTATCTCTTTCCCCTCCACTGAATTATTTTGAATCAGAACAATCATATCACGCCATCTGTGACTGTTTCAGTGTATACCTCTAAAACAAGGGATGATTAAAATTTAAAACATAACCACAATGTCATTACTACATTGAAATAATAATGATTACCTGGTAATTTCTTAATATAGAATGTCCAATCAGTTCAACTGTTTTTTAAATTTTAATTGAATTTTGAATAATTTTATAAGCTGCCTTTCTAAGTCCTTCCTAGATTTAAATAAAGAGATAAAACCAAATCAAGAAAAACAATGACTAAATGACTGTGGGCAACTTGTTTCCTCACTAGATTAGTACCTGGTGCATAAACTCAAAGAGTGATTGTCTGAGGAAAACTGGCCCGTCTACTGTGTTGTCTGATCCATACTGCATGGAAGATGGAGCAGGGCGTATCCTCCCCATTTTGCAGATGAGAAAACTGAGGCTTTAGGAGGGTGGTGATGACTTCCCTCAGGTCACACTGTTGGGATTTTTGCTTTGCGCCAGATGAACTGATAATTGGTTGAAGCTGGGAGATGCAGGGGTTCTTTGTACTGTTTTGGTTTTCAAAATGCTTCATGGATTACCTGAGCTGCCTCATTATCCAGCACAGCCTGCCCAGCCCCACCCACTATTAAAACTCCTGGCTCCCCAGACTGTCCCCTACTGCCCAGGGCTCTCTGGGAAAGAGTGAACTTCAGTTTCTGGGAGGAGATGTTCGGGATGAGCCTAAAACATCTTTTACCAGAAAGCAAGAAAATCTATTCAAGACCACCAAGGTATGTCAAAAGCATTTAGGAGCCAATTTGAAAAGGTTCCCATTGGCCAAAGCTGAGATAATTTATTTCAATAAGAATAACAGTTTCAGCCCTGGCTGGCATGGCTCAGTGGATTGAGCATTGGCCTGCAAACCAAAGGGTTGCTGGTTCGAGTCCCAGTCAGGGAACATGCCTGGATTGCAGGTCAGGTCCCTAGTAGGGGGTGCATGAGAGGCAACCACACATTGATATTTCCTCCCTCTCTTTCTCCCCTCTTTCCCCTCTCTAAAAATAAATAAATAAAATCTTTAAAAAAATTAACAATTTTAGTGGATTGGAACATTGAAAATATTTCTTTGTGAGTTCATAATGATTTTAAAAAAACAAACCCTAAATAATCACCCATTGAAGTTTGCTAAGGAACAAACTCATTATTTTAAAAACATTGAAAAAAAGAAAAGTTATTTCTTAGTCCTCAGTGCAGGCTGGTGGCAGGGTTGGTGACACAGAGGTAGAACCCGGCCAGGTCTGTCCAGTTGGAGGCCAAGCCTGAACCGAGGTGACGAATGGCACCCGGGGACCTCTGCACATACAAACAATGGCCTGTATACCCTGTACAAATTGTAACCAAAGAATAGATGAGGAGAGTTTTCTCTTTATGTAGTTGCCCATGAAGAAGGAATGATAGGCATAAAATATCACCACTGCAATTTCTAATACAATCATGGATCTAGGAAGTGGTCACCAGCAGCCGCTCACATCACACCGGCCCATCCATTGTGTTATTTGATCTACACCACATGGCAGGGCTGATGCTCGAGTTAGTCAGGTTGGTGGCGGACACAGACTAGAGTGGGGATTCCTTGCCCCATACCTCGCATGACTATGAAAAACTGCCTCTTTCATCTTTTCAAGCCTCTAGAGCTAAGGGCCTGTTTACAGGTGTATACAAATCTAGAACTAACACAGTGTGCCTGAGACTGCTCTCCCTAGAAAGAGGCCTGCCCACAATGTTGGTTTTGCCTGACATGCAGGGGTGTGGATTTGGGGAGGGTCCCCACCATCCTGGTTAAGAGTGGATCACTGCGCCCTGGCTGGGTAGCTCAGTTGGTTAGAGCATCATCATCCCAATATGCCAAGGTTGCAGGTTCCATCCCTGGTCAGGGCACATACAAGAATCAACCAATGAATGCATAAATAAGTGAAACAACAAATTGATGTTTCTTTCCCTCTCCCTCTCTTCTTTCTGTCTGTCAAATCAATAAATTTAAAAAAAAAAATTTACGGGGGGCCCTAACCTGGTGGCTCAGCTGGTTGGTGCATCAACTGGTGCACGAAAATGTTGCAGGTCCAATTCCTGGTCAAGGCACATATGGGAGCAACCAATAGATGTTTCTTTCTCTCTCTTCCTCACTCTCTTTCTCCCTTCCTCTCTTCCTAAAATTAATAAACATATCCTTGGGTGAGGATTAAAAAAAAAAAAAGGAGTGGGTCACTTCCTAAACTATAAACAATGTGATTTAAGATGAACACCTGCTTTCCTTCTGGGAGTCTGGAATCTTGGTACATGCCAGGAAGCAGGTGCCTGCGTGACCAGCCCCAATGAAAGTTGTGGGCAGAATCTCTCATGAGCTTCCCTGGTAGACAACACTTCACATGTGTTGTCACAACTCAGTGATGGAGGAATTAACTGCCCTGTATGAGTCCCTGGTTTCGTTTGGGCTTCTCGACATGTACTTTTCCCTTTGCTGACCGTGCTGTGTCTTTTCGCTGTGATCCCTCATAGCTGCGAGTCTGACTGTGTGCCGAGTTCTGTGAGCCCTCCCATTGAATTGGGCGAACCTGGGCGTGGCCCCTGGGCCCACCCAATGGGAAAGTCAGGAAATGGGAGCAGGTTAACAATCCACAAAGGATGCTGGCAACAAAATCCAAAATGTGAAGAAGCCCACAGGACAAATAGCCTACTCCCTTCAACATAGAAATTATAAGGAAAACAAAAATGGGGAACCTACAGATTAAAAGGGACTTAAGAGACATAACAACCAACAGCAATGTTATGGACCTTATGTGAGCCTTGAGGTGAATGAAATAAAAAAATGTATGAGACAGTGGAGGAAATTCAAACACCAGATGGGTGTTACCAGCATGCGGGAAATAGGAGTTATTGTTCACTCATTTGGTGTGATGATGATATTGTGTCTTTTAAAAAAGTCAATGAACTTCTGGTCAAGATGGTGGGGTAGGTTAAAGGGGTACTCACATCCTCCCACAACCGTATCAAAATTACAACTACAGAATAACCATCATTCAGAACCACCTAAAATTAGCTGAGTGGAAGTCCTACAACTAAGGATATAAAGAAGAAGCCACATTGAGATTATGACCTTGTGCCTGAATGGCTGGACAGTGTGCAGAAAAATGGAGAGCTATTTTATTTGGAACCGAGTGAGGATGAAGAAGAAGGCCTCCTTCTTGAGACAACCGTCATGGACCATGTCAGGTTCAGGGAAAATAGGATTATTATTGAAGATGATGGCTACAAAGATGGAAAAAAGTGTGAAACCGAACTTACGTGGTTTACCAAAATTTTAAAAAGTAAAAGACTTTTACACAAGCACTATAATAAAAAAATTAGCAAGAACAGTGGGCCAGTCTCCATTCTAAACCATGGGTCCAGCCCTGGCTGATGTGGCTCAGTGGATTGAGCACCAGCCTGAGAACCAAAGGGTCACCGGTTTGATTCCCAGTCAGGGCACATGTCTGGGTTGCGGGCCAGGTCCCCAGAAGGGGGCACATGAGAGGCAACCACACATTGATTCTTCTCTCCCTCTCTCCCTCTCCCTTCCCCTCTGTCTAAAATTAAATAAAACATCTTTAAAAATTGAGAAAAAATAACCTAAAGCATGGGTCCAATCAGAAAACAGGAGTCGTCCGATGGAAGTACAAAGACGGGAATGTCTCTGTAAACCCCAAAGAGCTAATGGTCCCCAAAACCAAAGAGCAGCTCAAGCTTCTGGAAGTGCTGGTGGAGATCATCCATCAGACCAAGTGGAGCTGGAGAAAAACTGAAAACAGGCCAGTGGAGAGAGGCTTGGGGTCCATGGCCAGGAGGATCTGCCATGAAGAGTGGTCAGATAGTAACTGATACATGCTGCTGCCGAACGCAGGTCCTTGTTTGCGGAGATAGGTGATTAATGATACCCACTTGGGAAGAGATCAAAACAGAATTGCAGCCAGGTTCTCACAGATTAAGGACTGCCTGCCAATATTCGGGGCAGCAGTGAAATCGTTAAGGGCGGTGTACTGCCAGGCACAGTGCTCTTAAACACTTCAGTGTCTTGGGCGGGGGGAAAGTCACATTTTCAAATAAAGACAGTTTTAAAAAAGAAGGAAACATTGGAGTATTTACAGAGAAATGATATCTGGGGTTTGCTTTGAAACAGGTGGGGTGGGGTGGGGGGAGTGGAGTTGAGAGATGAAACAGGACAGTTGACAATTACGATGTTGGGTAATGGAGTCATGGGGTTTGTTATACTCCTCCTTGCTTTGGTATAGAGTTGAATTTTTGTCTAATAAAGTAAATTTTAAAATGTTTTTAAAAACAGGGCAAAGAATCCCCACTTGGCTCTGTTGTCTGTCAGCCATCCAGACCAACTCGCCTCGCGGTAACTGCCAGGGGGCAGAAGCTCAAGCTCCGGCCCCCAGGGAACAGGTCCCAGGTGCCATTCTCTCTGCTCAGGCTCAGCCTCCGACTGGACAGGTCCTCTGCCTCTGTGTCACGAAGGCTGCTCTGCATGCTGCTCCCAGCCGGGCATAGGAGATAACCTGGCAAACAGCTGGGGGTTCACTCCATGCCCTGTGTCACTCTGACAGACGGACCTTAGGGGACAATCCTGCTGTCCCAGAAGCAGGAAAAGAGCTTGTTCCTCCTGAGCAAATGGTCAAGGCTTCACTGGGTAACTCTGTGTCCCAGCTGCTAGGTGACTCACAACCCAATTTTGCCCAATTTTATAATACCTGGGACCTTATTCTAGAGTTAAGGTATTTTCCTATCTCCATTGACATCTCATTTCCCACTCTTTAAGAATCTTTATTCTGTTTCTCTGTATACACTGTGTGAGCCACCTGTGGCAGGGGGTCTTCCATCAGAGCAGCTCCCCAGGCCCCCCCTTTCCCTTCCCCACCAACCCCCACCCACCTGTCCCAACAACTCACTGTGCATGATGGCTTGGATCTCATACTGAGGCCTCAGGATCAAGGAGCGCCAGGGGAGGGTGGGGCAGGTGAGGAGGCGGCCCTTCAGGGCTGGGTCCTGTAGGGTCTGCAGCAGGGTCCGAGGGGCACCAGTCTCCAGTTCCCAGAAGGGCCCCTTTGTGGACAGGGGCAGGTGCAGGACCACCACCTGGGTCCCCATGCTCAGCACACAGCGGGCGGCGTGGGTCCCAAGGTACATTTCCACCGCTTCAAGCATGAGGGGCTGCTCTTCAGGGACCACCCTGGCCCTTGTGTCAATTCTGTAGGTGGACATGAACCAGATGGGCAGCTGCTTGGAGTTCTGGGTTATAGCAGAGACCAGTTCCTCCAGGGTTCCATAGGTCTGGGGGCCGGTGAGGGGACTGAAGTGGCCTGTGGGGGACAGCAGAGGGGGTCAGGGTGGGGCAGGTCTTGGTTGGGGCCAGGGCCAAATGTACCAGGCCCCAGGCTGGCCAACAAGAACCCAGTCAGAGTCCCCTGAGGACGGGCGCCAAGAACAGGTCAGCCTCAGGAGTCCTGGGCCACAGGCTGAGAGATGGGAGGCCACGAGTGGCTATGTGTGCATGGCCGGCGAGGGGCAGAGGTGGAGACAGTTCCTTCTGACACATGGGCACAGACACAGAGGGGCTGTTGCCAGGGACAGAGAACAGAACAGGGCGTGCTCCCCAACAGATACCCTACCACTGCCTACTTTCCTACCTCCTGACTCCACCTGCCTCTAATTTTGCCAAATTTGCCTCCAGATACCTCACCACCGCTCCAATGTCACACATCCAATGCCTATCACCCCATCCAAGGGTGGCACCATTGTCCTTCTCTCCCAAACTAGAAACCCAGGAGCCCCTGGCCGAATGAGCTCTGACCGCCTCCTGCCCCGTTAAGTGTCTGCCACTTCTGGATGCTCTCCTCCCTCTGTCCCTCCCCACCCCATCCATTCTTCTCTTGTCTAAACTAACCCCACACCTGGATATAACTTCACTTTGGAGATTTTTCTGCCCAAAACATTCATCACATATCCAATCCAGGAAACATCACACAAACCCTGACTGAGGGACATGCTGCGAAAGCACTGGTCTGGACTCTAAAAACATGGATGGGGCCCTGGCTGGTGTGGCTCAGTGGATTGAGCGTCAGCCTACAAACCAAAGGGTCACCAGTTTGATTCCCAGTCAGGGCACATGCCTGGGTTGCAGGCCAGGTCCCCAGCAGGGGGTGTGTGAGAGGCACCCATACACTGATGCTTCTCTCCCTCTCCCTGTCTTCTTCCTCCTTCCCTTCCCCTCTGTCTAAAAATAAATAAATAAAATCTTTAAAAAAAAATGGATGTGAGGACAAAGAAAGACTGAGGATCTCTTCCAGCTCAATGGAGACTAAAGAAATAGCACAGCTGCCAGATGTGGGATCTGGGACTGGATTCTGGATCAAGGGGAAAAACTGCTACAAAAGACATTGGCAGCCCTGGCCAGGGGGCTCACTTGGTGGCAGCATCGCTGCCACACGCCAAGGTTGCGGTTCGATCTCCAGGAGGGCATGTACAGAAAGCGACCAAGGAACACATAAATAAGTGGAACAACAAATCGATGTTTCTCTCTCTCTAAAGTCAATAATTTTTTAAAAACTATACCAAAAAAAGAAAAAGACATTATTAGGGCAACTGATGAAGTTTGAATACAGACGATGATTAAACACTAATATTATATCAATATTAAATTTCCTGAATTGTGTCATTAAACTATAGTTTTGTGAGCAAATGTCCTTGTTTTTAGGAGATACACTAAATATTAGGAATAATATTTAGATGTAAAGGGCATCACATCTGCAATTTACTCTCAAATGGTTCAGGAGAAATATATACATATATACATATATAGTAACGTTCATATGTATGTATAGTATATGTGTAAAAAGAGGAAGAGAAAGAGAGAAAGCAAATGTAATGAAATGTTTAACAATTAGTGAATCTGGATAAGGATATTCAGTAGTTCTAGCAAGTCTTCTGTAAATCTGAAGTTATTTCAAAATAAAAACAAAATTCTCCAAATACAAAATAACACACACCACTTTCATATTTGAAACCCTCATTGGCTCCTCAAGGCCTTCAAAATAGAGACCAAAGCGTGCCTGCGCCCCACAGAGGCCCTTTCCGTCTGATTCCCGTTCCCCCCGGCCCCCCGCACCTGGAGCCCCTGCTGCGCCCATCCCATCATCCCATCTGGGCGACTGCAGTGACTCGCGCTAGGAACCAGCACTCAGAGGGCGCCTGCTCTGTGCCAGGCCTTCTGCGTGCTTCACGTATGGCAACCCGACGTAGCCTCACATCAAGCCTGGGTAGTTCCATCACAGAGGAGGAAGCTGAGGCCCAGAGATATCGCAGGAAGTGGCCGAAGCCACCGCTAATGGTGGCAGAGCAGGATTCCCACCTACGCTGTTGGCTTCAGCATCAGGCCCGCAGTCCACCACACTACACACCTTCCACAATAACTGAGTGACAGGTGTTTCTGGAGCCACAAACGTGCACAGGCTACTCCCTCTAGCCACTCCCACTAGGGATCCTTCCTCCAGCCCAGGGGCCACCTCCTCCAGGAAGCCTGCACAGGCCCCTGAGGCAGAGCCCCCTCTTAACTCAGGCTTCCTCCTACTGTTGCCCTCCTTTCACTGCCGCCATGAGAGCTCCCCATCGGCGAGGGCTGCCCTGGTTCATCCTGAACCCCACAGCCCAGCCCCCAGCCCAGGGTCTGCCAGATGGAGGGTGTTCATAATGCTTAGCAAGTGAAGGTGTGAGCGAACACAGAGACAGGCATGTGGACAAAGACCTAGAACAAGGAAAATCCCAGGCGAATGTGATCAGAGAGACGGACAGGGATCGGGGGCGGCCAGGCCAGGCTCAGGGTGTCGTCAGGCCACCGGGAGGGCACCCTGAGCCTGGAGGCCACGTGGACGGGAGAGCCGCATGCGCTAACCCAGAGGGGTGGCTGTGCATGCGGGGGTTGGCAAGCCCAGAGGCATGGCCACAGGTGTGCCTGGAGGGTTCCGGGGCACTTGGGGAGACAGAGGTGCCAACCTTACCCTTGAAGCTGGGGTCCAGCTCTATGGTCTGACCTGTCCCTGGGTTCTCGCCGACAACCTTCTGGAGGCGAACCTGGGTGACCTTCATCAGGTCCCCCGTGGAGAGGCAGCACTCATTCCCAGAGATCTCGTAGATGGAGCCTGTGGAGACACAGACTCAGTTTCCCCGTTCAGCAAGGGCCAAGCGGCCTGTGCCTCTTCACCATAAGCCCCGCTCTGCCGCCCGACGCACATGTGCTGCCTGGAACGCCTCTCCCCACCTTTCCCTACCTGACAGCCTCCGGCTCGGCTGTCCGCAGTCAGCATACATGCCACCGCCACCTTCTTCTAGTGCTGCATGTACCCTTCTGCGGTACACTCTCGGGCCTTCTTCACATCCCCGTGCCTCCTAAACTCAGCTCATGGAGCAGGGCTGATCCATCTCAGCGCCACTGCAGCCAGCCGGGCCTGGCCTCTCAATATGTGTTCAAGTCATGATTGGGTAAGTGACCCAGTGATGCCTGTTCCCTTATTGCAGTTATTTAATCGGGCCCAGGGAGGGTCAGTGGTTACCCAAGGTCACACAAAACCTAACACCTGCCCTGGTGCTTTCTTCTTCAGATGAATTAGAGAAAAGGGAGGGCCGCTGACAGTGTGTGCCCTGTAGGCAGGGTTCTGGGCCCTTGGAGCAGCGTCTGAAATATAGAAGTGCTCAGTAGAGACCGCTCTCACACATGAGTGCACAGGCTGTGTCCTACTGATGACTGACAGGAAAGTACAGGTGGGCAAGCTTTGAGGCCACCTGACACCCCCACCCTGACCCAACCCAGGGCACCCCCATCAGGACCCTGTGGAGAGGAGGGCTGAACTAAGACAGCATCAGTCCGGTCAATGAAGATGGTGTGGAGGGAAGCCATGTTTAGAGTATGTGCAGTGTGGAGCAATGACACATAGGAATGTTGCAATCCCCCGAGTGTGCGCAGTACGATGTGCTCAAGGGCATTTACTTTTCTGACGGGTTACACCACCCTCTCAGAGCATGCACAGTGGAGCAATATAATCAACCTGTGCTTGTAGAGGTGGCACAGAACAACATGTATTAATAAGAGGCTGATGCAGCATTGCATCATAGAAGAATATGAAAGCAAAGGCCTTCAGATAGCTGAGATAGCCAAGAGGAGCTGAGGCGGCCGAGAGATGCTCCATTGCTCCAATCGACCTTGCTCTCTAGCTGGCTCTGAAGCCACCGTAGACGCTGTCTTGTAAGACACTGACTGGCTGCCTCCTGGATCAGACCTGATATGGACGCTTGGGACTCAGATTCATTATCCCCCATTTCTCTTGTGTGATGTTATCACTGGTTGTTTCTGAGTGATTATTATTGTTATTAGGTTAGTATGCATTTGGATTGAATCTGCATTAATAAAAGCTGAGTGAATAGCATAGTCACTTGTGTTGACTCATCGTTATGCCAGTTTGCCAGTGTTGCCTGTAGAGCTGATGGCAGTATTGGTGGCCTGGCACCTCCAGTCTGTGACAAAGGCTGGAGTCTGGCTTATAAAAATGACCGTAGCGTGGATACTCTTAAGGTTAGAGTATCTCTGGCAACAGCTGTTCACAATAGCCCTGAGAAAGTGGTGAGAACCCCAGACAAACATTCACAGGCTTGTAAAAACTGTCTACAGTTTCAAGGGTGGGGCTGGTGAGAACAGCTCAAATGCTGTGGTCAGTATTGCATATGCGTCATTGCATTTAGGACCCATGCCCTAGAAAAGACATTTCCCTTTCCTAAAAGAGGAAACTCAGCCTCAGCAAGTTTCCTGAGGCTGCTTGGGTGGCCCAAGATTATAGGTAACAAGAGACTTGAGACTTGAGTCCAGGGTGTTTGCCTCCAAAGCTGCAACTCCTAAGCCCTCCCAAGTGTCCAGGCGAGCCGTCTGTGCCATCGCTATCCCGGTCTGTCCTCCTCTACGCTCACCCGCACCTGCATACCCACATCCATCTTGTTCTTCTCTTAGCCTAACTTCTGTCACTTACCATCACCCGGCTCAGGCAGAATGATGAAACTCAGATATTATGACACAAAGGGAGAAAGGGAGGTTGCCAAGAGAGCAAACAGCACAGATGCCTGCAGGAAGCCCCCACAGGTGGAGTCAGGATTTGAACACAGATCCATCAGATTCCCAAACGGACCTGGCCAGGCCCACTGTATGGTGGCCTGGCCTGTCCCTTGTGTGGCCCTCCATGTGTCTCACCCTCGGTCTAGGACCCACTTGGGAACTCAGAACACTTTTCTGGAAGCTGGTGTGGCAGAGGGAGGGAACAGAGAGAGGGGACGGTATGGCCATGGCGCCCAAGCATTAATTTGCTCTCTAAGATAGGAGCTTCTCCTTTCCCACCCAGCGCCTTGGTTCCCTCTCTCCTCCTCCTTCCCCATTCTATCTCCTGCAGCTCTTCCCTCGCCATCAGCAGCCTGGCTTTCCCATCTGCTGAGCAGCCGTCCCGTCCTCTCCCTTCCACTGCCTGTCAGTCCCTGGCCTCTTGCTCTTTGAGGTAATAACTAGTGACTGAGCCCCCGCCGTGTAAACAACGCAGGCTGCGGCCAGGTGAGCAGATGTGCGGGCACGCACGGAGCAGAGAGCCGGGCAGGCTTCCAGGGTGAGGAGCCATTAAGCTGAGAACTGAAGAGCCGATCAGATCAAGCACTGTCTATCGCCAAGCAGAGGACAAAAGGGGGACGGAGGGGCTGCAGGAAGGCGGTGTAGATGGGTGTCAACGGGGAGCAGGAGGCTACACGGAGGAGAGGGCTGACCTGGCACTTAAGAGTCAAGCAACAGTAGGCAGAGACAAATGTATTTGAAAAAATAAATTAAAAAAAAAAAAAAAAGAAAAGAAAAAGAATCAAGCAACAGCTACAAGCCGTGAGCGCCCTAATGCTGCCTCTCCGCACGGCCCGAACTCAATCACTGCGCACAGCGTTCCCACCCCGCCTAGGTTCCACCCACCCGGGTGGCTGAGCTTATTACTACCCAGATTGAGCGCAGCGCCGAATCCCGCAGCAGAGGCAGCGTCGGGATTCGAAGCTGCGGCGCACTCTCCCGGGCTCCTGGCGCGCCAGCGGCGCCTCTGCCCCGACACCTCGGGAGACGCTGGCCGTGGCGGCGCTGCGCGGCGGGCGACCTCGGCCCCTCACTCACCCTGGAAGTAGACGCCCGAGCAGACTCGCAGCACTCGCGGGAGAGAGGCGGGGTCCAGGGCGCTAACGAAGTCCTGCAGCGGCACGGGCTCCATGGTCCGCGACGATCCCTGGACGTGGGCTGAGTGGCCGGGCGCCCGCGCTCCCGCCGGAGTCCCCGCCCGCGCTCCCGCCGGAGCCTCCGCCCCGCCCCGCCCCGCCCCGCCCCGCCCCGCGGAGGGGAGCCGCGCGGCAGGGGGACCCCACGCCGAGCTCTTGGGTAAGCCATTTCCCTCTGCCATCCCCAGTTTCCGCAACTCTAGAATGGGGTTACAGCACCTACCTGCCACATTAGTGGCACGATTTGGGGCTCGATCAGGAAGCTCTGAGTAAAGAAGAGCAGGTCCCCACGTCTGCAGTCGCCCGTGATGGACCGCTTGGCGGAGGGGAAGATGAAGCCCCAGGGGCCCCCTCCACCCGCTCCCCACCCCTCCTTCCCCATCTTCCTCCCAGGTACCAGGAAACGCGGCGGGCCGGGTACGGTTCTGCTTCTCACAGGAGGCACACAGCCCTGTCTTTGGCTCGGAGGAGGAAGATGCAGTGTCGCGCGCGGTTCCTGAATCCCTCTCCGGATCACCACTGACTCCTCACCTCCGGGGTCCTCTACTGACTGGGAACTCATTGTCTTTCCAGGACGCTGGTACTCCCTGGAAAGTTCTAGTTAAAAGGACTTCTTGGGCGAAAGAGAAATTTACTTAGAAGAGAGGCCACCCTCTTGTCCTGACCCCACAAGAACAGACAAAGCTTTTATATTTTCCTGTCCCTCAGGAGTGAGTCAGATTCACAGAGGTTCAAATCCCAGCTCCTCATCGTGTTTGTTATATGACTTGAGGCAAATCACTTAGATTTTCCAAGTTTTAGTTTCCCTATCTTACTTTGCTGGTTGTGAGGACTAAACGAGATGATAGAGGTAGTACACAAAATGCATCCTTTCATTTTTTTGGCACTATAAAATTAATAGAAGACCTGGCTGGTGTGGCTCAGTGGATTGAGCACCAGCCTGAGAGCCTAAGGGTCACCGGTTCGATTCCCAGTCAGGGCACATGCCTAGGTTGCAGGCCAGGTCCCCAGTTGGGGGCATGTGAGAGGCAACTGATCAATGTATCTCTCTTGCACATTGCTGATTCTCTCCCTCTTTTCCTCCTTCCCTTCCCCCTCTCTAAAAATAAATAAATAAATAAAATCTTTAAAAAAGTAATAGAAGACTTCCAATCAGGAAAAAGAACGTTTAAAAAAAAGGAATAAACTCTAAAGACACAAATAAAAAGAGGACATTCTTTTTCGACCACCCAAATATATTAACTACTAAAATTTGCTGTGTTTCTTTCCACTCTCTTCTGCCTATGGGGTTTTTTTTTTTTTCCAATTTTTGATTTACAGTAAAGTTGCAAAAATAATAGAGATTCCCATCTATCCCTCAGCTAGTTTCAAATTCCCCCAATGCTACCATCTCACATTACCATATCACATTTGTCAAAACTAAGAAACCAACTTTGCTGAATTACTGTTAGCTAAACTGTAGACTTTACTTGGGTTTTATCTGTTTTTCCACTGATGACCTTTTTCTGTTCCAGAACCTCATCCAGGATCCCATATTGCATTTTGTCATCTGTAACACTTTCTCAGTTTTTCTGGGTTCTTCTCATGACCTTGACAACCTTCTCATGACCTTGACAACCTTGAGGAGCACTGGTCAGTTATTTTGCAGGAGAATCTCCCTTAATCTTTTTTTTGCCCTGATGTTTTCCTCATGACCATCCTGGAGTGATGGCTTATAGGGCCTCTCATCACATCCTCTCAGGGGGACACATGGCATACCACATGACTTCTCACTGTGATATTAACTTTGATCACTTGTTAAGGTCGAGTTTCCAGGTTTCTCCACTGGAAAGTTGCTGTTTTCCCCTCTCCATACCCTGTTGTTTGGCAACAAGTCACTAAGTGCAGTCCACCATCATGGGGAGCTAAGCCAGACCCTCTGGAGGGGAGAGCAACCAAATAAATTACCGGGAATTCCTTGGTAAGAAAGATTTTCTCTTCTCCCCATTTATTTATTTATTTATTCAACTATTAATATATGCTAGCATGAACTCGTGCATATTTATTTTACACTCTTACAATCTAACCCTATGTTATTTAATTTGTTGCTCAGATTATTCCAGCTTTGTGAGTTCCTTCAGGTGGGCTCCTGGGTGCCCCTGCCGGGGCCCCTTCCCTCTGCTCCCAGAGCATGTATGTCCTTACTGTCTGGTGCTGCGAGAGGCTCCGGGCTCATCTTGTCTTGTTCCTTCCCCAGCCCTGCATTTCTCCCAGAAATCCTGGTTCCTTTTATTAGACAACGATGTTCAGGAACCATGGCCTGGTCACTGAGAGGGCTCCTTCCCACTGGGTAGCCTATTATTTTTGTTGTCTTTTTCTTCTCTTGCTGAAACATTTAGAGACACAACTGTGTACCCCAGGACCCATCCCTCGCCTTCAAGGAGAAACCCTTGGGCGATAATACTCAGAAAATTGCAACTTCCTTCCTTTCACTGGGACTTTACCTCGTAAGCATTTCCCCCAGGTTACTGAAACTAGCAGGCAAAAGCCTACTATGACGGATATAGCAAAACTATTTACTTGCCATTACAATTTGCAGTTATATGTTTATGTATGTAATTACTGCCTTAATAATTGGCAGAATCTCCTCAGCAATTAGACAGTTGGCTTCTGGGAGTCAGAGACTGGGGAACCAGATTCCTTTGCTTCCCCAGTGTATTGCACAGAGCCTGGCACACAGTGGGTGCTCAATAAATTAGCATTGAGACTCACAGAATAAATGGGTGAAAACTACTTTCTTTGGACAGGTTCCAGAAGTGAAATTTCCAGGTCAAATGGCAGGATGGTTTTACAGCCTCTAAGGGTGTGTTTCATTGGTGCTGAAAGGCTGCTGATCCTCCCATGAATGTGGTAAGGTGAGGAAGGAGCTGAGATGAGCAGAGCACAGAGGCTTGCCAGCGCCCCAGGCCCAGAAGGAGGGTCTGCTAAGCAGAGGAGATGAGACAGAGGGGGCATTTCTACATGTTTCCAGAAACATCAACAGATGTGATTCCCTGAGCGTGTACTCTGAGCTGACCTTGTACAACCATTTGCTCATTTAATTCTCCCTACAAGCAGGCAAAGCAAACATTATTATTTCCACTTTACAGATGTGGAAACTGAGGCTCAGAAAAGTGAAGGGACTTCCCTGAGACCATGCAATCAGAAGTGGAGATGCTAGAATTTTAACCCAGCTCTGCTGAGCTTTTCCTGCAGGCCAGAGAAATGGCAATTCTTCGTTTCTTCTCCCTGTATGAGCATTTCAGCAGACCGTATAAGTCCGGCAGATTTCTGCTCAGCCCAGTTTTGTCTAGAATTGTGGTAGAGGATGAGGAAAAAAAAGACAGGCTTTGGAAATAGAGCTGGGCTCAAATCTGGCTCCTCTACTTCCTAGCTCTGTGACCTTGGGCAAGTTCCTTAACTCCTCTGAGCCTCAGTTGCCTCCTGTACAATGGGGAGTGACGGGAGCCAGGGCGCTGGTGAAAATGAGAGTGTAACACAGGCACATGGGTGCGTGCTGAGCGCTCAGCCTCATGTCGTATCATTGTTATGTCCAAGGGCCTCCCGTGACTCTGACATTTCCCTGAAATTTAAGATGTCATGTGCTTTTCTCATCACCCTGCTTTCTGTTTTAGGAAAACAAGATTCTGAGTGGGAAACAATCTTCCCTGCTGTTGCACAACATGCAAATGGGGGAACTGGAATTTAAATCTACCATTGCTCAAGCCCTTTCCACTTCCCCAGATGGGAGCCCTGGTCTGGATCTCCATGGCGTCTTAAGGGCTGAGTGGTGTAGGGAGAGGGAAGCTCGAGTTTCCAGAGAGGACGGAGAAGTGGGGTGGAAAGGAGACCTGAGGAGGCCACAGGCAGCAGCCCGGAGCTGGAGTCCTCATTCCACCCCGCTCCGGTCTCCATCAGAGTTTTTGGAATCTGAAGGTGAACAGTTCAGGGCCTCCTGTAGGCAGTGACCGGTCAGAGTAGCAGAATGATGTGGGGTGACTGGGAACAGGTGCTAGGCCCTTGCCAGCTGTGTTGGCACCATACAATGCACTCTTGTAAACAATATCTCATGGCCTAGTGTTTCCCAGCAACATACCGGGGCGGGGGGTGGTCCTGCATTAGTTACCTACCCCCTTCCAGGAGGGGAAGAGGCCTAACATTGAAACAACATGAGATGGCGGTTGTTACAGTGACTTGATGTTCACTTAAATGTCCAATTCAGCACATTGGTCTAATGCGGTGGAAAACACGCCAGCAGTCAGGAAGGTCAAGACCAAGATGCGGGAGAGATGAGGAGAGTGCCCCAGCTCCAAGGATGAGTGGTAACAGGCCGAGGCTTGAAGCCGTCTGTCCGCTGGCCCCTCACGCCCGTCTGTGCCCACGGCCTGGAGAGTCCCCTGATGGCTGCTCTGAGGTAGCCTTGAGAAACGTGCTCTTTCACAAGTCCCAAGGCAGTCTGTCACGCAAGGATACTTGGGTGAGAGGGCGCCCCACCAGAGCAGACGCACAGCCACCCGGGGGCCTGACGCTCTGGTCCTTCTCCCTCTCCACAGCTGCCCTCTCCCTGGGGGAGCAAGAGCCCACCTGGTGCCAGAGCCTCCAGCAGAGACAAGTGCAGGACACTCACAGAATGAGACCAGAAGCCCTCCCACCCTGGGAACCGTGGGGGCTTGAAAGGCAATATGTTGTCCTTTCTGTTTTCTAGATTCCCCCCGACCTCCTCCCCGTCCGCTGCCCCGCCCGTTTACAAACAGAACAGTTCTCTGCCAAGGACCCCTGAGACCGCGTAGAGACAGCCTGGAAGGGGGCTTCCTCTCCTCGCAGATTTTCCCTGGGGGGAAAAAACCACTTCTGGAAAAAAAAATATTCAGTATCTTCAAGAAGTTGAGCATGTCTGGCTGTAAAGTTTCAAGGAACTAACTTGTGCTTTGGTGAGATGGGAAAGGGAGCATGGAGCTTTCTTGCATTCCTGACCTTG